TGCAGATATTATATAAAAAAAAAAGGTCAAAAAACTGATAAGAATTGTTTTTTTTTTGAGTCCATTACGTTAAGGAGCAAATTAATTTTGAAAATTCAAAACACATACATTTTTCTCTACTGTTTTGCTACTCCTTGCTATTAAATGGCATTTGATGATGAATAATAGGCCTTGAGTGACTTCCAGCCCTAAGACTTTGTATTTGAGGTAGATTTGTTTTGATTTTGAACAAGTTATAACTCCAAGAATTATTGCATATTAGACCTGCATCTTTGCAGTCTATCTGATGCTGTGGTTGTTCATTTTGTAGATATACATATACATATTTCAATAAATTCAATAGTCAATAAAGTAATTCAAATGGTGTGTGTAACAAGAGAAAATACTCTTAAGTATATAAATGTGCATTGATGTTTGATGTTCTTCTTAAGACAACATACCATTGATTTCATTGAATCATACAAATCAAAATATACTTTTGAGCTGGATGTATCTTTTACTACAGAAAAAGTCAGTAACCAAATTGGAGTTGTGGGTATATGGCAATTTATACCATATCTAATACATACACCAAAGGCCACTTTTAATATATCGTACATCATAAAGTTAAACTAAGTTTCCCAACGCTTTGACATTTTTTATAAGCAAACATCCCCATTCCTTTTTTTAAGGGAATCAAGTATCTTTTTAATGAGATGTTGGAAAGTCAGATTGACCCAATGTAAGTCTGATCCAGCCGATATGAAATGAGACCATTTTTGGGTACTTCTGACAAAAAGAAAGCAGGTTTGCTAAAATGAAAAGGTTGAATTCATTTCAAAATTTCCATCAAATCTGTATTAAAAGCTTGCTGCACACTGTAAGTAGTACAAGAGAGATCCTTTTCAGTAGATATTTAGTATTAAGTAGCTATTTAGCCCTACGTCGCTCAATGTGCAATATAAGACTGTAAGCCTTGCTTAATATGTCTTTCTGATATATCTATGGGTTTTTGCACTTTTAGCCACAAAGGTGATATCTAGCAAGAAAAAAAAAAAAAAAAAAGAACAAACAAAAAAAAAGAGAGAAGGTTGACATTTAAATATCAAACCCGCTTCTTTCAAGATATCTATTGTTTATCGTGTCCAAAACTCTTCCTTTTGACCTCAAAATTTCCAAGTGTTACAAAGTGATATGCTCGCTTATATTTTACGCATCAAATAATGTATAAAAAAAAATGCTAATCTACCAATCAGTATCTACTAAGAATGGCCTCTTTTTGTACTGGTTACAGTGTATAATGAACTTTGAATGCAGATTCGAAGGCAATACTTAGACTGATTCAACTTTTTCGTCTCAGTAAACTCGTTTTCTTTCTGTTAAAATTATTCAGAACTGGTCTCGCATCATATCGAATAGATTAGACCTACATTAGGGTCAATCTGACATTCAGAAATTTTTGATGAACTTCTTTTTTATATTCGAAAGCTCTTGTAAGTCCCTATGAATCATAGAACAGTTCTCACGTAGCTATCAAAACAATTGTACTATTCAGTTTCTAGTTGCCGAGCAATGGCATCAAAGAATGATATGTTTAAGCCCTGATTTAAGCGCTTTTACCCTGGACGCCATATATAACTTGTTAGCAATGGAGCTATAGAAGACTTTGAATGTTTTTTAGAGTGTGAATAAACATGGGAAAAGTAGAAATAGGGCTGATCTATGATGCAAATGTGGGACAAATGAACATAGGACATACCAGAAGGCAGTGTGTGAAGATTGAAAAAGGAAGCAATTCCAATTCTTCTTGCCGCCGCATCAAAATGGGGTTTTATGGTTCTTTCGCCTAACAAGCCAACCCACAACATGACATCCTCCAAAGGGTTTCGTGACAACGATAATTTACCCAGAACTTAGTCGCAAGTAGCGGCTAGAACTATTGTGTCTGCTAACCAGTCGTCATCATTGGCTGTCACAGCTTCATCTGCACGCACTTCTGGTTTTTCCCAGTCGAAGTATGCTAGTACCAACACCCTTTCTTCAGGCACCATTACGCCTTATATTTGTCGGTTTAGAAAAAGATAGCGTTTTGATTGATATCGCTAATATTCGTTATGTAAATGGCCTTAAACAGTTTTTTGGGTCACTCAATACAAATGAAAAGTGTTATTTCTTTGGCACTTTACTTGTTGAGCGCAAGTATTTGCAGAGATGCTTTATTGAAGCATGCTGGGATATCAACTCAGAAGTGTACAATAAATTGGTCAACTCCGGTTTGCAGATGGAAGATAATACGGCTATCAAAGGCTACCGCAGCTTGCCTCAAAACGCCAAAATTGCTCGAATTAAGGTTGAGCAAATGAAAAAGCGTTTTTCCATTTTGGTGAAATCCTGGATCTGGTATTTCATATGGACGGTGCTGTATTTTTTAGCCAGGGATATATCGTTGTTGATCTGAACAATCCTCACAAGACTGAGCCTGAGCAACTTGGTCGAGTAGTGGATTGGCCCGAATTTGATCGTGAACTTCTGCTTACGTGGGATGAAATGCCCCAATTTTGTCGTTTTTGTCAAGAATCCGACCATTGTCGAGCAGATTGCATGGAACTCATTAATACTCGTCGCTATTATAACTGCAATAAACGTGGTCATATCAGCCGTGATTGTCCTCGTCGTAGTCATGGATCAGGCCACCCTTCTAATAAGCGTATTGGAATCACAAAAGACAAGGCTAGTAGATCAGGATCCAACCTGCCCAATGAGCAACTGGCACAAAGTGCGAAGCATAAGCAAATTGTCTCTCCTGCTGCATTGACTACTGTTCCTCTTAGTCAAATAGCAACCGAGACTATTCAAACACTTTCAAACGATATTACAGTAGTCGAGCATGAATTGATGGATCATGAAATGAAAGAGCAAGGAGATAGTGAAGTAGAAATCATTGACTCCGATGGAGAGGATGATGATGAACATCTTCAAAATATTCCAAGCAATAATCCAACAAGAGGCTTTGAACTTAGAAAGGTTTATTCATGAACGTAAAAAGATCAAATTTAATCATGACGGTGAGAGACATAGAGTGGTGCCTAATCATAATACAGGTGGATCAACAGGTACCTCTCCTGACTTTCAATAAGATAATCTATGCCTAAAGTCTCTATGCAAATTGCCACCCTTAATTGTCGTGGCCTTACGAACACTTCAGATCCTTACAAACAGTCCTTATTCATCCGCTTTCTACGTTCAACTAAATATGACATTCTATGCTTACAAGAAACACACGCATCTACACTTAATATACAGAAACAGCTCAATCTCAAGTTCCAGACTAAATCTAGTCTTTGGACAGAACACTGTGGCATTGTTTCCTTAAAATCTCACTACAAAATTACAGCACATCCCACCATCAATTCTACCAATGGCCGCTTTCTCTTAGCGTCTATCGCTCATGCCTCTGAACCCTCCATTCCTTCTATGTATATCCTCAATATTTATGCTCCTGCTTATCGTAGTAGTCGATCCACATTCTTTCGCACGTTATCTTCTAATCAACCATTAATGTCACATTTACGGTCAACGTCTTTGCCTATTATTATTGCTGGCGATTTCAACTATGACATTTACCGTAAATCCAACATTGATACGTGCTGGAATGATCTACTTCTTACTTCATTCCAAGATTGTTTTCAAAGTGATCCTCTTCCTACATTCGTCAGTACCACTGGTAGTCGCACACATATTGACTATATATTTTGCACTCTACCTCATGCTGGCAATGTAATTTCTATGACTCAAAATTTTGTCAACTACAGTTGGACTGACCATGCCTTGCTTTCTATCAACTATCAACTGGTACACACTCCAGCTGGACCTGGTCCTTGGAAAGGTAATCCTAATCTTGCTCGACTATCTGCATATAGAAAAGGTTTGACAACACATATTGAACAATACATGGATAACATCAACCGTTTGGATCCTGATTGCCCTTCGAATCAATGAAAGATTAAGCAAGGAAAATTATAGAAAAACCATCAGACATCCAACACCTGTATATTCATATAGCGTCTCATTGCTGAGGTCTCTCAATAAAAGAGGCCTTGAACAGCATGTCATATAGAAAGTGTAGATTACATTGACTTGATTAAAGATTGAAACTGCTTTTTGTTTTAGATCTCTGAGAGTTAATAGCTATTAGATATTCCATCTTTACTACAATCAAATCTAGTAATATAGTCTGTCGAGTTCAAACTGCACTACTTGATCCAGGTACAACTGTATATGTCTGATGTTAATGCTTTATTCGTGGAACCTTGGTGGTATAACTTCTTCGTATGGCTATTAGAGTATTGCATTAGTCTTGGTCTTCTGCTACTGTGATGGTGCTAGCGAAAAGCAGCAGTGAAGATTACTGGGATTAATGGTCATTCCTTTGAAGGGTACCTGTCTATTCGTGACAAACTCTATTCATTTATGATCGACTATCGGATAAAGTAATGACTTCATGTAGTGTTCGTCCATTCAAATAAATGAATGGATGATCTATTAAAAATGATAGGCATTCCATTTTTCTTGATAACATGAATACTATAGTTGGGGTTTGAGAGCTTTCTAAAGTAGCTATCTCGTATAGTTTGCTTTGTGTCTACGTACATCATCTTTTTGGAGACTCAATTGAAACTGGTTTAGATTCTCGTCCTAGTTTTTGCAAACAAATACTTACTGTATTTCGCTACAGTATCAGGTTCTTTTCATTCAATAAAGCGTATGTTAGTATTTTGAAATGACGTATCTTTATCTTTGTTTTGTCTCTATTAAAGCCTTAAATATGGCTACTACATATCAAGTCTTTTTATAATTGAAACCATGATTATGTTGACAAAGAGTTGAAGAATGGCATGAAAGAATGTTAATAAATCAAAGTGTAAAAATCTCATTTTCCTTTTTTGAGCTTTTTCTCTAACATAATGTTTTTTTTATTACATTTCTACTTACTTTTTATTGGGATTAATGTTTCCCTAGTCATGGCCCAAGGAGTCACTTCGGTATATCTCATCGCTATCAAGAAGAACGGAACAAGCAGTATCTTTGTATTGAACTGTAATCCTCTTGCCGGAAACCATCCTAACCCATCTTCAGCTTGTGCTAAAGTAAATGCTGTCAGTGGTAATTTCAATCAAGTCCAGAATCCATTTGCCATCTGTACATTGGAATACAATCCAGTATCTGTGTCTTATTTGGGGTTGTACAATCATCAATTTGTTAGCTTTAACAAAACATACTCTAATGAATGTTTTGCTCGCGCTAACCTTGAAGGCTTTTATCCTTACTAATTAAATAAATAATTTCAGAGGTATCTATTTTATTTTTAAAATGAAATGTTTACATGGTTAAATCATCCGTCATGGTAGAATTATAGACATAACCAATGACAAGAGAATCATTTGACCGAGGCTTAGAGACCATACAGACATAAGAGCCAGGATTGATAAAATGATCACCGTTCATACCAAGGCTTTCTAGATGTTGAGCGACTGACTCTGCAGAAGAACCAAAGCTTTCTGCCAAACTTCTTCCAGTCACTGCTCTCAGTAACAAGAAAGGCTGACCTGCACAAGGCAATGGTAACATCTCCACATTTTTCCCACCTACAGGCACCAAGATGGGCAACTTGAATTCCTTGAATGCTAAATTGATACCACTGAAAGCATTGGCCAGTCGAGCAGAACTAGGTGTAGATAATTGTTTCAAATACCGCGCGGCTGCTTGGCCGTATTGCATACCGCCTAGATAAGGCACTGGATTTGAATAAGCATAACTTGCGTCCCACATCATGACACCGCCAAAGCTTTTACTACGCTGTACATCGTCTAAAATCACTGTAAGTTTTTCATAGGTCACATAGCCTGTATCCATATGATTTTCTTTTCCCATGACGCCCAAATAGACTTTGCTTTCACTCTTTTGAGCCCATGTGTTCCATTCATCAAAATTAAAAGCAGAGGCTCTGCTGGGATTATAGCCTGAAGCAGCACAGTTGTTGTTATAGAATTGAACAAACACAATATCAGGATAAGCATCGTATCCGGGTCTTGGATGAAGGATATTATAGACAGCATTTTTTGAATAATAGTCCAAGTCTGGGCATTGTGGTGCAGCTGTGATAAGATAATCTCGTGTAGGGTATTCTGTCTTGAAAAGTTTTCGTAGGGTATCTATATGACGATCATAGTTGGTGCCATCAACAGCTACAGAAAACTAAGTATATGAACATAGGCTATCGGAACCTACCTTCAGGATCGTAATCTACGCCGTCCAGGACAACATCACCAAACGGCCTCGTCACTGTATGATCTCTTCCGCCCAAATATTTATTCCACATCCACCAAGCTAAAAGATCAGGATCCCATGCTTGGCGATGATAAGGACCTACAGCACCACCCAAAGAAACCAAGACCTTGATGCCTTTACTTTGACAATATTTAATGTCTTTTGCTGCATCTATACAGTTATTGACGTTGTTACAATTATCCGACAAATCCAAAATGGGTTGCTTCTTGGGTCCACCTGCATAGTCAGCAATAAACGAAAGAATCATGATGGAAACACCTTCTTGATCACAATAATACGATAGTCGCTTTTCACCAAAGTCTCCCTGGCCCCAATACAGGGCTAGACCATCTTTTCTTTCACGTATCTATGTATCGATTAAAACAGAGACAGGGCTATCATATTCTTACGGAAGGCACTATTTCTTGTCTACTGAATGGTCTCTCAGGTAATACAATAAGATCTTCTAATGCATGCTGATTGATAAGCGTAAAATTTGTTTGTGCATACACTTGACATGATAATATCAAGATAGCAATAGATAAATATCGATAGATCATTCTCTAAACAAAACAAGAGTGAAGAATAGTAAAAAAAAAACAGACAACAAAATATGGATTCATTTTAAACAAGTCATAGTGCACAGTAAAAGGAATGCTTGCTTAAAGAATGCAATGACTATTGCTCACGATAAACGTTTCTCGGTATATTTGACACTTTTGTAAATGAGCTTTATAGACAGCAATCTAGTTGTAATCAAGATTGTATGCTATGTTTTGTTTGTTTGTTTTCTAAAAAATAGTTCCATCACTCTAAATAGTATGACAATCAGTAAACAAGAGCTAAAAATGCTATCCAATCCATACCTTAATGATAATAGGTGGGCCACCATCTTTAGGTCTCAACTGAGCAGCAATTTCTCTTCCGGCAGTCCAGGTACCACCTTCCAAGACCTGAGCCAAAGAGAGCTTTTGACCTAATTTTTGCTCTACGTGTGCCTTGATCTTGTCCAAATAGACAACAGTCAATGCACGCCATTCAATAATGACAGGATCCGAACCTTCAAAAGAAGGCAGGTCCCCTTCTCTCAAGGCACCACCGCGCTTTAATTCTTCAGGCTTCAAGGTCAATAGACCATAGTCAACTAAAAGACCACCATTTCTGTATTCCGGAAGACCCGTCATGTGTTCAACACCCTCAATAACAAGACCAAGTGAGATTTCGATAGATTCAATCAATGAGTAAGTTAGCCATTGAGAGAGTTTATGAAAAGGAACCAAATTTTCATGGTTACCAAGGTCTACAAGAGAAGCGCAAGGCCAGACATCACCTAATGCAACACCATTGATTTGAATACGTGCAGGCCAAATACCACCCAAACTCATCACTGCTTCCCATAATGTTTCTATACGGATTGTTTTTTCCCCTGGCTTTACAGAAGACAATAGGAAATCTAGCATAAGAGTATAAGAAACAAGAACATCATAAAGACTCTACCAATCAAGTTGCCAGGTCGTGGAGATTCATGGTGGATAGGAGGGAAATAAATAGGTTGATTTTTCAATACTTGAGATAGACGTTTCAATAGGTTAGAGCGACCTTCTAAACCCACCATAGGATTCTCATCAGTCACTTGAAATCCCTTTGTCATTTTGTCCACTGTAATCTGATCTAGTCCGGTAGCTATGCAGATTTAGTTTCTGTTTCCCACGTTTGTTTTGGTCTTACCATCGACACGATCAGGAACCTGAGCATGACTCGAAAAATACCCATTCAAGAACATATCAAAAGAAGCCAAAGCAAGTCCTTCTGATCTTCCAATTGATTGGCCTTGTTCTGTCTTGTACTTCCATACTTGACCTGCACCTGCATCAACCAAGACAGAAACAATAACCAGATCGACTAAACGACGCGCTTGTTCTACAGCATCCACTTGGTCATGCGTCCAACGGTTACGCAAGGCTTGCATTTGAGAGGCATCAAAATGACGCATACGTGAATGAGGAGGGATTTGATCTAATTGAGGGAAACGACGTGTTGTTGTGCTCACAACGTGTTCAACAATGTCTGGTAAGCGAGACTCGTCTATATCGAAAGCAACAAGGTTTTGACGGTTTTCATATACTTGAACACAGCGTTCACGAATAGCTGTCAGTGTACGTAAATAATCTTGAGGTAATAATGTCATATTAAAAGAGAGAAAAAAAGAAAGAAAGAAAGATAAGAAATGTACTCTATTTATCTCTGCATATGGTCTGCTGATAAGAACGTATAGTGTTTTGCATGATAAATCTAATATATGTGTTACCATCTTATTTTTATTATTGTTATTATTATTATACAGTCTATATATATATATATATATATGTTTATAAGGAAAGCACCCATCGAGTGCCTTCTCTACGTTGTTCTACCTGGATAGGTGGTAATGGCCAACTCTTGGGACCAAAACTAGGTACAACATAAACCAGTTTACGATCCTTTTTATCGCCAATGAATTTAGGCAGAGGGAAATCTAAAGGACGACCAAACGAACACAAGTCTTTACCAATATTTGCAATCCATTTAGATTCTACTGCAGTCACACCTTTGAGCCATGCTTTATTTGTGCCCTTGAAGAGTTCACTGTAGACAAGCATAGCAGGTGGTTCTTGACTGTACAAGACTGAGTTTGGATGGATAAAGGCTTCTTCATCACTCCATAATAGACGATAAACCACATTACGTGAATTCTTATAACGTGTGCCTTTTCCTCCTCCTGTATCCAATACATCTTGACGAATAGCCACAGAATCAATAAACCCGGCAGTCAGTACTTGCCTTAATACTTTGAGTTGTGTAGGGCTAGGTGGCTTCATTTTAGGGTCAAGACAGATATCAATGTCTGGGAAATTACTTGACACTAAATTCGTCAACTGGCGTCTTAATTTTCTGATTTCTTCCATTGCTTTAGGCCTTAGGAAATTGTCTTCACAGAAAGAAGTGGTAGCACCAGCATATTCATAAGCACCAACGACGTTCAGTAACTTAAGAATATCACTTGTAGGGTCCAAACCAGCATGTTTCTATGCCATACGTATTAGCTTCATTTTCTTAATTGATTACTTACCATTTGCGCTGTATAATACTTCTTTCGAACAAGCTTACGCTTTTCTTTTTCTGCAAATGACTCGTTCTTGATGTTTTGTAATTCACGGTGTTCCAAGTCATCTTCGTCCTCGTCTTCAGGTTGATTTTCATCCAAATGATAGTCTTGAATAAAAGGATCTCCTACTGACAATGCAGACACAATGGCAATCACATAAGGCAAACAACCATGCTGTTGACCAATAATCAACCTATTCTTATGTAAGTAAATCAATTTATATTAGCCACTTACATTTTAGCAAAGCGTGGTGTGATGGGGAACAAAGACATGGTCTGACCAAATTCGGTAATGCGCTTTGTGGTTGTATTGATAGCACCTAAATAGCCCAACAGTTTCTCTGCTTTAAACAAAGTCTCTCTTTTAGGTGGTGTAGGGAAAGGGAAGTTGACCACATTGTCGATATTCATGGCCTTCATGCTTAACACGACGCCTTCAATAGGCATACGATGAATTTCAGGCGTAGAAAATTTGCTGAATTCATGATCAAAAACAGCAGAAGAAAACAAGCGATAACAATGGCCTGGACCTGTTCTACCAGCACGACCAGCACGTTGGCCTGCAGAAGCTTGTGAAGTCCAGTCAATCTCGAATGATTGAACGCCTGTCTCTACATTGTATTTGCGTTCTTTAGATTTACCACAGTCAACGACATAGCGTACACCAGGAATAGTGACAGATGTTTCGGCTACGTTAGTAGCAATCACACACAGACGAGTGCCTTCAGGGGGAGGTTGGAATACACGCAATTGAGCTTCTGTAGGCAACATGGAATACAAGGGCAATACATGCAAAGGAGCATCTTTTACATCAGTTAATTCTTCATCTTCAAAACCTTCAGCAATATCATTCTCTTCTTCGTCACTGCTAAGATCAAAATCTTCTTCCTCTTGCTCATTATCGTCTTGTCCCAATTCAATGGCTTCTGGTTCCATATCTGTCTTACCAGCTGGTTCTTGGACTTGCTTTGATTCCATCTTGATCGCTTGCTCTTCTGCCTTCATTTCTTTTTTATTGGCCTGAGGAGGCAATGCAGGATACCGCTTACGAAGTTGCTTACACAACTGGTTAATCTCATTCTGACCTGTCAAAAAGACCAAAATACCACCTGTAGGCAATCGTTCATGAATTTTGCAAATCTTTTTGTAGGCTTCATTCACATGGTCCAAAGGCGTCTTTTTGTTGAAATGAATGGCAACAGGGTATTGACGAGCGTTGACATTGATAACAGGAGGTACTTGAGGAAACAAAGTCTTGTTCTCTGTGAAATCAGACACACGCAATGTAGCAGACATGATGACGACACGTAAAGGTTTGATCTTTTGACGGTCTTCTCTGCTTAATTCTGCTCTTAGCTTAAGCACACGGCTCACAACACCAATCAAGATATCTGTGTTCAAGTTGCGTTCATGGGCTTCATCAATAATAATGGTCGAATATTTAGTCAGCAATAAATCTTGCGACATTTCACGCAACAAGACACCATCTGTCATGAACTTGATACGTGTCTTGTCAGAGACAGTAGCATCATAACGAATTTGATGGGATACTTCTTTATCTGACAGGTTCAATTCTTCTGCTACACGTTTCGCCATACTGACAGTAGCTACTCGACGTGGTTGAGTAACACCAATCAAGCCAGGGTTATCGCTGTCAGGATGAGACCAGCCTGCTTCATACAAGAATTGAGGCACTTGCGTTGTCTTACCAGAACCTGTTTCACCACAAATGATGACCACTGTATTGTTACGAATGGCTTCCATAATCACTTGTTCCTCCCCCACCACAGGTAACTTGAGACGTGCTTCTTGGATCTCTGGCTTACGATTTACAGGCACATAAAACGGCTTTGCTTCATCTTGAGCCAAGTCACCTTCTCGGTTACTCTTGAGTAATTCGAGCTTGATATCATCAAATTCTTCTTCCTTTCTTTGAGGAATAGGTGCAACAATCGTCTTGGTAGCTTCTGTTACTGCTTCTAAATGAGTAGGTTGAGGTTGGCCCTTCTCTTCTTCATGATCACTATCGGGTTTGGTGCGCTCTTGTTCGTCTTCCGAAGATGATGAATCATTTGCAGAATCCGAACTATCAAATGAAGAATCAGAATCCATACCCTTTCTTTGTTTGTAGCGTTTCTTTGCAATGGAAGGAATGGTGGATTGCTTCTTCTTTCTTTTACGCTTGATCAATGTGGTGCCTGCTTTTAATGCACTTCCAACGACAGGTTGATCGACTGGCGTAGGTTCTGCATAAACCATCTCTGGCATAGGAGCCAAATCCTCGACTTCTTTTTCAACCACAAGGGGCACATCATCATTCGTCAACGGCACACCTGCTTTTTGTTCCAACATGGCTTGACGCAACTGTTCACGCAATGTTTGGCCTGATCGACCAATCAGCTTGGAAGACTTGAGTAGATCGGAAGACCATGATGCACTCGACAATTTCTCCAATAGACCTGCACGAGCATCTTTTTTCAATTTTTGTTCCTAGCCCATGTATGGTCAATAATAAGCTGCCAAACCATTACTTACAATATACTTTTCCATCTTTCTTTTCTTCTTTTTAGACATGTATTTGATGGGTTCTTTGAATGAAGGTGTCTTTTTACTGTCTTTAGATTCTTCTTCTTCTTTCTTATCAGAAGGTACAATCATAAGTTGATTGGTATCTCTATGCATCAAGTTAAGTCAATCAAGCTATGCCTAAGATCATCTTACGCTTCTTTTTTGGGTTGATCATCTTGTTGAGAAGAATCAAACAGTTGTGAAGCAAGACCTCCGTCCCTTGCTTTTGGATGAGGTCTTTGGTTGGGTCTTTTAGAAGAAGCACGGGCCTTTTCGTTAAAACGAGGTCTTGATTTACCCATAATGAATAACCTCAAGAGAAAAGAAAAAAAAATATTGTTTATGCAGTTAAAGCAGTCGATAGCTATATGTGACTGCTCTTTTGTATGTAAACAGCCACAAAAATTTTATCTGTCAAAGCAAAGTGCTTCTTTCATCATGAATACAAAAAAGCAAGATCTCTTTGGTTTAGAAAACGACAGTGAAAACGAAGTTAGTGCTCACTCTTCTGATGAAGAAGAACAGCAAGATTCTCGGTTTTCAGCAGCACGTCTTCAAGCATTCAGTAGTGATGAAGAAGGCAGTGATGCTAGTGACAACGATGAAGACAACGACGACAACGACGACAATGAAGGCAATGAAAAAGATGACCAGGCATTAGAAAACAGCAAAAAAGAACAAGAAGAAGATATCGATCGAGATTTTGAAGACGATGAAGGCTATGATGCCCCCAAAGATCTCAGCGAGTTTGGTATTGAAGAAAAGAAAAAGAGCAAGAAATCAAAGAAAGTCAAGAGTTTGACACCAGAAGAACTTGAAAAGTTTGAAAAAGCACGCAAAAAGACAGGTGTTTGTTATTTATCCCGTATCCCCTTGTTTATGAAACCTGGTCAACTTCGTACACATTTAGCTAAATATGCTGACATCGGGCGTATTTACTTGGTGCCAGAAGGTAATGAAGTTTCCATAAACCATTTGGCTCATTGGCAGTTTAGATCCAAAGATTACGGCACGTCGTAAGAAATACACAAAGAACAGAAGAACCAATTTTATTGAAGGATGGGTGGAATTCAAAGACAAAAAGATAGCCAAGTCATTAGCAGAGTATTTAAACATGAGACAGATTGGTGGTAAACGCAAGAGTATGTTTTATCATGAGACATGGAATATCAAATACCTGCCTAAGTTCAAGTGGAACCATTTGACTGAACATATGGGTATGTTCTATTGATATTTAACAACAATTAACCTATGTATTATAGCTCATGAAAGACAAGCACGTCAACAACGTCTTCGTAATGAAATTGCACAATCCAATAGAGAAAACAAAGCCTATATACAAAATGTGGAGAAGGCTAAAATGTTACAAAGCATGGAAGAAAAGAAACGTAAACGACAAGGAAGCGAACAAGAACAAGAGGAACCCAAGATTAAGCGCACATTTGCACAAAGAAGCAAAGTGGAACGCGAAGTGGATCCTTCAAGATCTGGTAAAGAAAGTATTCAAAAGATGGATCATCAACTTAAGGGCGTCTTGACCAATCTTTTTGCAAAGAAATAAATTAAAAACTCAGTTTTATGCAGTTTCTATTATTTTCGCTTTTTTCTGTTATGAGATATAGACCTATACTTCATTCCTTAATGGTTGGTACAAGTACTTGTACAACTGTTTTCTTTACAGCAGCCGTGATTCATGAGAGAGGAGAGAAACGAACGCCATGGTGGCAAAACCCAGTCTATAGAGATACACCACTCGGTTATCTTCAATCCTTTTATACCAAGAAACACAAGTGGTATCAAGACTGGAAAGCTTATTATACACAACAACTTCCTTGGCCCCTAACGCCATGTACTGAAGCAAAAAAGACAGTGGCAACTATCATGGTTTTGTATACAACAGCGTGTCTTGTCAGAGCCACTTTGATTCGACCTAAGCGTATTATGCTAACACAGTGGTCAGTTTCCATGCTTGGCTTAGGACTATGTGGGTCCTCTGTGCATGATCGTCTGGGCAGAGAGCAGTTTGTTGCTTTTTGGGTGTCTTTATGCTTAGGTGCTCATACAACAAGTCAAATAACACGTCATTTCTATCCAAGGCCACTTTCACCCACTCTATTTTCTATGGGCACAAGTGCTACTTATGGATTATTTGCTGCTGATATGGTGTATCAAGATCATTCATTTGCAAGGTAAAAAAAAATACCTTATCATACCCCTATTAAAGGCAATAGATATACTCTTCCTGCAGTCATGAGTGTAGATATCACTGGTATTTTGTTACGTTGGCATTGGGTGGATCATTTTGTAAGTCATACTGCTTCAAATGTGAACTTGACAAGTTCTATCTAGGCCCATTTAGGAGGAGCAGGATTAGGTTATTTGTATATGAACTATGGTCCTGATATCATATGGCCCTATATGCTACAGACGGTACGTGATTTGAAAAGAAAAGGAGAAGGAGAAAGAGGAAAAGGAGAAGGAGGAGGAGGAGATAAACCATCAGATACACTGATGGAGATACCCCGTCAAATGCGTATCAAACTATTGGGTAAAAAAGTCATTGTTCCTGAAGAGCAATAAAAGAAGTTTATTGAAATTCTTGTTGGTTTATCAATTTGCTTAAGGCTCGTCTGTAGAATCCAGCTCTTGTGGCTGCTAAATAAAGGGAATAAGCTCTTGTTTGTCCATCATCTAAAGGAATGGTTCTCAAGATAGGATAAGCTTCACTAGGATCAATGAGAGCATAGTTCAGGTAAAGGACACCTGCCCATGGACTCTGAATTGTGGGCGCCACACTGGCTAGTTTCTGTTCCCATTCTTGTTCTACAAATTCAGTTATACGGATATAATCAGCCAATATAGGTGTCATGGGTAGTTGCTGAATGCCATGAATGAATTCTAAATAGCGACCAAAATAAGTGGTCTATAGAGAAGAGGCATGAGTTCAGGGATAGGATGCAACTCCACTTACATAATCTGCTTTTTGTTCGAAATAGATGCCTACGACTTTATTTCGAACCATGTCGACAGGTCTGTTGGTGTTGTCATCCAACATCCAGAAATAAGCATAGGCTGTACGCTTTGTGATAGCCAATTGAAGGTTTGCCAGATCCACCAAGTCTTCATTCTCTGTGGCCAAACCCCATAGTTTCATACCCCAATAGAAATTGACTGACTCAGGCACAGATTCTTGATCTCTTCCATCCAATGCACCGTCTACTTTAATACCACCTGCCCAACTATGACCAGCAAACCAGTCCCAATTTCTAAACTGAGCAAAATGAGGATCATTTTCTACAGGATTATTGACGTCTTTGATCAATGTCTCTGTCCATGCTCTGAGTTCTTCTGTTCTCCATGTAGGGTCTAAATAATGAATGACAGCAGCTATCAATGAGGGTCAATATACAGATATCATAGATGCTATCCTTCTTTTACCAGTGACAACCAAATAGCCCTGATGATAATGATGATCATTATAGTAAGAATGGCCAAATTCTGCATCTTTGTTTCCTGTGCCTCCCATGTCTGTAGGCAATCCATCTCTTGCTACAATACCATGGTATACTTGATCATAGCGATAAGGATCTTGTTGTCTGTTCTCCAAGTAAGGCACCATGGCTTCTTTTAGTTTGGTCAAGGCTACGTCGGCTAATTCTTCATTTCTTAAGCCAGTCTCCTCGGGCCTGTTTAACAAAAGGGCCAACATGGCATATTTCTGAAGTGATTTACCAGAGAAATAGTTATCACCTCGTTGTGTTTCTTGCAGATAGTCGTCTCCATTGACTTCTTGAGCCAATACTTGCATGATTTCATTATGGGTGGAGGGTTCAGGGACAGCATGTTCAGGGAGCCAAGCAGTGTCTGGTAGATCAGGTTCTTCCAATACCCACGTATTACCTATCACAGCTCGCATAGTGCCTTTGGAAGCAGACTGAAGTTGAAGTGAAGTGACTTGAACACTGTCAGAAGCAAACGATTGAAGATGATGAGGATAAGCGTACGTCAATAACGGTTTGGAGGTATCACCTTGAGGTGTCCACTCAATCGAGTATGCTGTACTGTCACTGTTTGTCTTGACCTGTCCACCCGTGGCCCAGACACCATGGTGTTGATCCAAGACAGCCTCTGCTTCAGGAGAAGGCAATTTGGCTACTTGAATCACACCCTCATAAGGCGTGTCTGCCACCAATCGATTCATGCCATCTTTTCTTAGTCTGAGAGGCTGATCACCCAGCACATAAATCACAAAGGTCGACGTAGGATGATCGTTCATGGACACTTTGAATTTGTGGCCTGTGAAGGTATCTTGACCTTGTTCTATATCCGACACCACACTGAGGATAGCATGTTGTGTAAAGAAATGAGGAGTTAATTGATGATACTCTGCTGTCACAAAAGCAGCACCGCGCGATAAAGGGAATGTGATATAGGTCGTGGGTGTGCTTGACAATCGCAGCGTGGCTCCCAAGTGGTTCCATCGAGTGACCGAGGGTTTAGGGCGTGTCTGTTGCCATTCATTGGCAGTGATTCTGAAGTCAACCACTACACCATTGATCATGTAGCCTGCAGGTGAGGCAGGAATGTTGTTCATGGCTTCATATCGACCAATGACTTTCTGGCTTGGTTGGGAGATAGACAGACCAGGATTACCACCAAAATCATCCAGTAAACGCAAAATATAAGGATCAGGCGTGGTAGGGGCTAAGTTTTGTACACTGGGATAGAATAGATTACTGATCCATGCATTGGTAGGCACTACTTGATCACTCTCGGCATACACTGGACGGTAAGGGTGAGAAATGATGGGGAATACAAAAGGTAGTTCGTCTTGATTGATAGGGTAAAGAACACGGTCTAGTGGCTTCTTCTCTTGTGATAACATAGCCATACGGGTATGATTCGATGCAAAATAACCTGTATTGGTTGCTTGCACACTGCAGAAAAGCATGAGTGAGCTCAACAACAAGGTTTTCATGATATACACACAAAAAATAAAGAAAGAGAGAATGTAAACATTCTCTGGGTTTATAAAGACATTCTACTCTAGTTGTAATTCAAATCAAATTGTTTATTCTTCTTGACCCAAAACTTCTTTAAGAGAAGCATTGGCAGAGCCACGCTTCTTGGGTAAGGGTGTATTCTCTGAAGGCTTCCAGCCAATCTAATAAGCGTGTAAGCTAACCTTGTATCCTAGACTGATCAACACATACCAAATAAATAATAGAGAAGGTAGCAGGAATAGTGCCATCAGGATGTCCATGTAATTCTTTATAAATAGCTGCTGCAGACAAGAGTGTATCACGCTTTAAAAAGGGTCTTCTTGTCAAGACAGCATTGCTTTCGCCCATGGCTTTTAAATCTTCCATTAGTTCAAATGCACTTGGATAGTTGACTTGGATTTCATCCACATCCACTGTAGTTAATGCAAATCCTGCTCGTGTCAATAAACGAGACATATCACTTGAATCTGCCATAGGAGACACTCGAGGAGACACGCCAGACTCACGCTCTACTTCAGCTAATTGAAGAGAAGTGCGCAGTTCAAACAGTGTATCTCCACCAAACATGGCACCAATAAACACACCATCTGGCTTTAAGGCATTTTTGATCTGGATCAATGTACCAGGCAAATCATTCACCCAGTTAAGTGACAGACTGCTGACGACCGCATCAAGCGAGTTTTCTTTGAATGGCAAGTATTCTTCATCGACTATTTTACGCTCTACTTCCACTATAGACATGGATAAATACAACAAACAGTGGATCTTGCTTTACCTTCATAAGATACATCTTTATCACGTAACAAAGATTTCTCTAGCAACATTATCAGATCCAGGCCATCCTAAATATATATATATGTGTGTGTCTTCTCTTACCTGACATGTCACACATGACAAGTTTCTTCATCATGTCTTTGGTTGCATGTTTGACGATATGTCCACAACCGGATCCCAAATCAACCACTGTATCAAAGTCACGATTAATATCCTATACAAGTCAGGTTTTTTTTTTTTTTTTTTGTTTATTGATCACTACCAAAAGTCGATCAGCTACACGAGCTGCGATCTCGTCTTTAAGATAATCAACTGTTCTACTCTGTTCCACATCAGAAGCAGCACGATCTTTTTGCATTAGTTTGACATGACGATCAAACACTTGAAATGCTTGAGGTGTAGCAGTTGCAGTAGCATAAAACCGCTTTGGGATACGTTGAACAAAATGACGAGAAAACATAAAGAAATAAAAAATAAAAAAAAAAAAGTTCAAATCCCCTTGCATTTTATTTTTTATTCGCAGTAAATACAGCAGATAAAGCAGGTTCTGGATCAATGCTTACTAATTGACAAGCATGTCGGTAGCCATTCTTTACTTCACGAATACGATGTTGTTTCTTGGTCTTTTTAGCCTGTAGTAGCATATCAACATCTGTCTCCAATTGACCAAATACATGGATTTCTGACTTATTCATCCAACCCCTAAAAGGACAATCAATATGGCATGACAGTTCCATTGACTTACCATGTATGTGCTTCACTCACAAGATAGAAAGCAACTAGTATTTTACCAGGAAATTCAGCTTGTAGATCAGCAACACGCTCTGGTACATTTTTGTCGGTTGATTTGAGATCCACAATCTGTGCTGGATGAGGAGGGAATCCACGTACATGAGCCCATACAGTTTCTCCATTCACAAATCGAACGATAGGTTTCTTTGGCTTAAGTGTTCTTTTTTTAACAGGCAGTGGTAACAAGTCTGTCACAACACCTCTTGATCGTAATGATCGCTTATTCTTTTCAGTCGCACTACGTGTCACTCGTTTTACTTTGGGTTTTGGTTCTTCTTGAGCCACTGAACTTGTACGACGTCTTTTAGGCTCTCTTTGAGATTGATCGATATCAACAGGACGCTTTTCTGGCCATGGTTGAGTGGGTATCGTGGCTGGTTGACCATAAGAAAAGATAGCTGGGTCAATCTCTACATTCAATAGACCATGGTTCACATTGAACTGTTGATAGCTTGCTCTTGCATGAACCAGTAATTCCTGCATTATCTTCTCTAGTTTTTGAGCCAGTTTAAAGTAAGGCGTGTCTGCTTTGTTGTATAGCATACTGTTTTTCCATATAAGACACAGATCTTGTTCAAATTCATCCAGAGAGAGATACGAGTGTGTGCTTAATTTCTGTATGATGTCTGAAAATGACATGGGCTGCTGAATGATCTGGTGGTAATCGGGTGCTATTTCTTTCGTGACAGGGTATCTAAATAGCTCTTTTTTGTCCAGTTCAATCAATTGATCTAATACAGACTGAATGATACATTCAATAGGGTAAAAGATCATTTCCAGATAAGCCTTTTGTTTGCGAATTCTCTCTAGTTTTTGTCTTTCTCGTTTCTGTACTTGTTCAGATAACATTCTTACTCTTTCAAGGTCTGCTCTCAAGGTCATTAGAGCAGATGCCTTTTGTGCTTTTTCTACTTCAGATTGCTTCAGTTGAGAAGCAGAAGCAGTCCATGGCTCATATAGGATGAGTATAACAGTGTATTGTGTGGGACTTACCTCCAGATGTAACCGCTTTAATAAAGGAGCTCCTCTTCTGGATTCTCGCTTAAGTGACCAATATTTACAGATACTGGCTACCATCATTGCCTTCTTCTTGACCTTGGTTTCTTTTTGTACACATGGTAAATGCTCTAATTTGTTAAGAATGTATTCAGGCGCAATGGGAGCACCTGTTGTTGTATGGTAGTGGTGCTGGTGTGCTCTTGCGGCTTTATAAGACACTTTCTTTTTCTTTTTTGGGTCTTCTTGTTCCTCTTCATCCACATAACGCTTTCGAGGCATGGTATGTTTATGCTTTGAAAACCATCGTTGTGCTTGTTGAACAAGTGTTGTACCGCCATAATAGTCGCGTGGGGTATGTCGGTCGCAATAAGCTTTCAGGACTACACCATCATAGTGCGTTCCATGCAGTTTCATGCGCATACAAAGACGCGCCCATCGAGCACATGTCACGTGAAATGCAACAAAGCAATGCTTATTATCACACTGAATACAAGCACCGTGTTTTCGCTTACAGATATAACATGTCAGTTTCCAGCGTGATTTAGGGATGCTTTCAATGTTATCAATTGGCTCCATATAGACACTGTTGCTCAGACTGAGTTCAGGAATCCAAATAGCACATAACAAATGACCCCATTGGTTGGTCGTTGTCTGTTTAAATGCACCACCTTCATTAGGACAGAACCGACAAGAGACGGGATTTTCAGGTGAAATCATACATTTCCTACAGAGCCATTGACCTTCAGGAATATAAGGAATACCATAACAGTCTTGGTGAACAGCCAGATTGCAACCATCACAAAATACAATCGCATTACTGTTCTCACATTCACCATCATCACAGACAGCACATTTCGAATCTTCAGGTAAAGTGGGTTCTTCTGCTGTCTTTTTCGGTAAATTCTTGACAAGATTAAACCATTCTTTTTCTATTTGGTCCATCATGGCTTCAAATAGTTCGCTTGAAATCTCTCCTAGTTGGTCTTTTTTGCGTTCCTTGTTGTATATCTGAAGCCATACTTGGTCTAAAAAGCACATGAGCAGATGAGAATCATGGGCTGTATGCTTTACCTTGCTCATCCATATCATATTCAATCGTATTAAACAAGTCTGCTTCTAAGGGTTCTGTCATGTTGTTAAATACCTACATTATTAAAAAAAAAAAAAAAAAAAAAAAAAAGAGCCTACCTGCATAGCGAATGTAATGATCAGGTCTTTCGAAATAATCTTGATTTCCTTTCTGTTGTTGCTGTATGATCTGAAAAGAAGCCACAGGTAATTTGTGTTCTTGTCTGTTTGGTTCGGGTTTTTCTACTTCTTGATGGAGCGTGTGTAAAGAAGAAAGAGGAGACACCTTCAGAATTGTCAAAGGTTCCCTAATGTCTAGATCAGGAAAAAAGTCCTTGTACGATCTTTCTTCTCTTGGTTTATCTGCCATGGTTGTTGAAGGCAAAGGCTTTCGTGGTCTGCCTCTTCTATGTTTATGATCTCTCATAAGCATATCTCAACTCATAAAAAGAAAAAAACGCGATAGATTTTTTTATTTTATTTTTTTATTTATAGGGTGTGCACCTATCGTAATTTAGCAGACACAAAGGATCTTGCACCAGCATAGCCTATTAAACCAATATATTGTACATCAATATTATCAGACTCAACTTCTGCTCTTAATAGTTTAATCAGCATGTATTTTCCTGATCTGATAAAAAGTGTAAGTTAATAGTGGATAGAATACAAACGTATACCTTGTTTCTAAGTCAATGGTACATGTTCTATCTTGTGCGAGTGTAAACCATGCGACTGGGTCTGTGTCATCTTGATGTGTTTGCTTGTATTCTTCATAAAGCTGTCTTGTAAAATGATCAAATTTAGCAGTGTCTATTTTCTCTCTCTCTCTTTTTAGAAATCAAATCTAGACCTAAAAGACTAAATACCTTGTACATTGATTTCTTTATGTGAAATGAACACCAGTCCTTCTTTACCTACAAGTTCAAGTTACTCTTGATGTATCTCGGTAGAGTATCTTACAAGGCGCAGTAAAACTATGATAGACATGAATATGAAATTATCACTTCTACCTATTTACCCATGTTGCGGTGCTTTAATGATCATCTTGGACACAGAACAACTTGTGTCTGCAATAATCTTACTTTTGACATAACCACAGTACTGTAATAACAAATTGACAGTTCCTTTTCTTCCTGAACTAAAAATAGGCTCAATCATGCTGTATGTCAATCATTATTTACCAATACACAGAACCATCATTTGACAATACATTCTCTACACCATACATGGCTCTAGAGTAAGAGTCAGTTATTTTGCTTATGAATGCAATAAGGTTACCCATATTGTCCTCCGTCATCATAAATGACATCAAAATCCAACATTGTATAGATAGTCTCTCCATTCTCAGTTAACAATGGAGATGTATTACAAGCTTGTTCATTTAAACATTGATAAAGTCGCCTTGATTCTAATCTTCTTGTCCATCGTGTAGGTGGTGGTGGTGGTAACACAATGCCAATACGGTCTTGTGTGTCTTCAAACAATGAATGTGTCATGATAGGGGATACAGACAATGCCGAAGTTGGCATCATGTCTTCTGGTGTTGTCCATAAATGATCAATACTAGGCATAATATAATATATATATAAAAAGAACAAAATAGAAAATACCAAGGATTGCATAATAGACAAAAAGAAAGAAAGAAAAAAAAAAAGTGACTGTATTGTATGAAACAACCCACGGACCATTCAATGATAAGCAAACAAAGCAAAATCAGATTATATAATAGAACTCCTTTTCCGAGGAAAAAACGTCATGTATAACCCTTTTTGTCTATGCTTATAGGATCAAGAAACACATTGGTAACGACAAAGAGTTTATATCTGCAGCTTTCTTTAGTAAAAGACAAAGTTTAGTATCATTTGCTTTATTACAAGCAGGGTTTCTTTTGGTGTCTATTGTTTGTAAAACAACATAGCTCAAAGTCAATATTTGTTTGTTTATCATCAGGCAAAGAAAAAGGTTCAGATAATCCAGGGACATATATTTTCATTACATTTTCTTTAAAGGATAACATGTGTGCGACATTCCAACTGTCAAGCAATAAAGTCATGCATAGTACGACTATGCATCATTAGCTTCTGTTAGACTTGACATACATTGCCTTTACTTTAAAAAATAGCGTGTTGGGTCTCTCTTACAGTTTATTATACTTATCTATCAAAACGAATTCTTTGGGCTGACATATTGATTGATAGGTCACTCAGCTAGATAAAAAGGAAGACATATTGAATTGATTGTCAAAGCAAAGATAACCTGTGTGGGGAAAAAATGACATGATTATTTATAGTGGATTGCTTTCTTTCCAAGATGCATCGTTTGCTTTAACGAGGAAAACTCCACTTGGTCCAAATGGACAAGGAATTTTTTAAAGCCAAAGTAGCGGAAGGTATTGTCACAGAATTACCTTTCTATATCAGAACAATGTAAAAACTTGCAAGAAAAGGCGGGTATGATATTTTTGGCTATGCATGAACACTATTAAGGGCAAACAAAAGACCGTTTGATTGACAGAACATGATGATGCAGCTCCAAAAAGAGGTCGTTTGTTCTACATCAATATCATACAAAGCATCGAGTGATATAACTACTCGAGATCCCAACAAAAACCAAAGCGCATTAAAACATATAGAAACATACAGACAGTGTCTGCCGTCATATAGAATACCTTTGGAGTTGATCTGCACCAAAAAAGGCGACATGTCCAAAATGACCAAAATATGCCTCTCAACCAAAGGTATTCTATACGATGGCAGACACTGTCTGTATGCATTTGGCGCATTTATGCCAGCACAACAATGCCGTACACTCCCTCTGTATGTTTATGCAATACTCCAGTTTTGTCTATTCCTTTTGAAGGCTTATTGGTTATCTTGATACATTGAAAAAATTTGCACTTTTTTTTTTCTTTAACTAGACCTATTTCAAGAAATATAATAATGGAATCAATAATACCTTGCGGTTGAATAAAACTAATTCATCGTATTTATATGTCTTTCATGAAGAATTGTAACAAACAAGCATGAGACGCGGTCAACTGATAAAATACTTTCACTACATAAACTTGCTTTTTTTTTTCTTGATGATATACCTGCAAATACACTTTATTTGATTAAAAAAAAAACAAGATACTTACGCAAAAATGATCATTTCTTGAATTGAACACCAAAATAGACAGAGTGTCTCCCTATTGAATGAAGAGAAACAAATAACTGATGTTTGCAGTCTACTACGATATACAAAGAAAAGAGAAAGGCTAAATAATGTGTATGTGTGTGTGACTCTGTGGAAATGGGGTGCAAATTGGGCTGATGATAATGATGACGAAAAAAGACATAACTCGAGGTTATATTTATTATTTCTTTTTCTTTCTTTCTTTCACTTTTTCTATAAACAACTTGCTCTTTATAAAAAATGAACCCTGAATAGTAAGTAATCAGTTAAGATGAACAGATGAACTTATTCATGTAGTGACTATTTGTTTAAGCTTTTGCTTATTGGTGATTCTGGTGTAGGAAAATCTTGTCTTTTATTACGTTTTGCAGATGATACCTATACTGAAAGTTACATCTCCACTATTGGTGTAGACTTTGTAAGTAAAAAAAAAAAAAAAAAAAAAAAAAAAAAAAACTTATCATGTTGCTATACTAACTATAACATAGAAAATTAGAACTATTGAACTTGAAGGAAAGACTGTCAAGTTACAAATTGTAAGATAATGAGAAAGAGAAAGGGTGTTCAGGGGGTGAGAAGAGGGGGAGGGAAAGCTCATATTTTATTAGTGGGATACAGCTGGTCAAGAACGTTTCCGCACAATCACTTCTTCTTATTACAGAGGTGCACATGGTATCATTGTTGTTTATGATGTGACTGACGGAGACAGTTTTAACAATGTCAAGCAATGGTTGCAAGAAATTGACCGTTATGCTGCTGAAGGTGTCAACAAATTATTAGTTGGCAATAAGAGTGATTTGGTTGATAAAAAGGTGGTTGATACAAACCAAGCAAAGGTAAAAAAAAATACACATATACATGGTCAACTTAGACATGTTGATAGGAATTTGCTGATGGTCTTCATATTCCTCTTTTGGAAACTTCAGCTAAAGATTCCACTAATGTCGAGCAAGCTTTTTTGACAATGGCCAAGCAAATCAAAGACAGAATGGGTTCAACTATGCAACAACAACAACAACAACAACAAGCTAAATCAACCGTCAAGGTTGGTCAAGGTGCTGCTGTCCAACCTCAACAATCTGGTGGTTGTTGTTAGTTACTTTTTTTTTTATAACCGATGATTAAACCGATGCCGAAAATACACATATATAATATCTCTTTTTTCTTTTCTTTTTTAACTATCTATTCATGTGGCATTGGGAATATTTAACTATACAGAATTTTCAATGGATTTATGGTTCCACACCTATGTCTGATTTGAGTGTGATTTACACTAGTTGGGTAGTCTATTTTATTGGTATTTTGTCTATTCGATGGTATATGGCAGAAAGAACAAGAATTGAGAAATCACATAAAGGAATCTTGTCCTATAACGCATCCATGATCTTGTGTAGTATATGTGTGTGGTGCCTTTCATCCTGGTTTTTATGGCAACTCATTCATGCAAGTAAGCAAATAGCATTAAAAGTAAGCATTAATGGCTTTTGATAGACTCACCTAGGCACGTTTTGTCACGCACCTGAACACCCACTTTTTAATACGCATGGCAAATACATGCTGTATTCAATGTACCTGTGTTACCTGCTACGCTTTTACGCATTTCTCGATACTGTCATACTTGCGCTCAGAAAGGTAAAAATAACAACAACAATCGTAACTTAGTTTTTTTTTTATATATAAGAAATCAATTCCTTTTTTGCATTGGTATCAACATATGTTTGTCATTCTCATGATGTGGAGTTGGTTACAAGATCAAAGTATATTTGGAAGGTAAGTCTATAAACAGTATATGAGAAATCAGAATGAAAAAAAAACTAGTTTAGCCATATCCATCATTAGCTTTGTACAAATATTTCGATATTGTTATTTTTTTACCAGTGGTTTGGATATGCGTTATGCTTCTTGGATAAAGGTAAGTAGGTTGAATTGACTGATATAGACTTATTTTCCTTTATTATAGAGCATGGCTTTCTTGTTAGAAATAGTTCAATTCTTGGCTGGTATTGTACTAACAGCGTACCAAGTGAGTGTCTGTCCACAATCGAATTGTGTTTTGCTGTCTGCTAGTATCAATGTAACCATGGTCTATATGGTTGTCAAATACTATGACACCAATGAAAAAGCAGTGGCCACAACAAGAGACAAAAGAAGAAATAAAAGCAAGGAATAAAATCAATGCATCTTTTAGAATATAATTTTTTCGGCTGTGTAACGATCTGCAGGGAAAAAAAAGTTTAAACTTTACCTCTCTTCTCTTTTTTCCCTCTTCTTTTTATTTTTTATTTTTTATTTTTACTTACTTTCTTTTGCCATGTACGAATATCAATCTGACGTGTTTATTTCTGGTTCAGGTACTGAAAACACAAGACAAGATACACAGATGCTAATTCACTGAGAAAAGGAATTTCTGGCTTATATGCCGCCATTCTTCTTTCTAAAATTGGACTTTCTGTTCACATTGCAGGTAAAAAAAAAAAAAAAAAAAAAAAAAAAAAAAAAAAAAAATGAAAAGAAAAGAAAGGCAGAAGAGGATATATAAGATCTAAAAAGACCTATAGACAAACTCAGTGGTCATTTTCCTCGTCAAAACGAATTGTTAATATTTACACCAAGAAGTTTACAACTCCTCCAACAACTCGGTCTATTAACAGCCATTAGTCAAAAAAGTGTTCGTCATTACAAGTTTGATGTCTATCATACCAAAGGCAGTGGCAGTCAGGCCACAACCCTAGATCAACAAACAATACGCCTTTGGGAAAATGATACAACTGACTTTAATTACTGCTTCTCTTGTGAAAAGTCAATTGTCCATGCTATCTTGAAAGAACATCTTCATCAACTCGGTATTCAGATTGATTATAAACAAGAAATCATGGACATTGATCATCACATCAAACACACACATCAACGGTCTTTTTCTTCCCCTGAATTATACGCACCACTCACTTCTTCATTAATGGGAAGCCTGTACTATCAATACCGACCTCTGCCTATACCAGAAGATCATCAGCCTCAATTTAAATCAATTTTTACCAAAAACACAGACACACAAACCATGAAAGTTTGGAAATCCAATGTCGTGATTGGCGCAGACGGTCAAACAAGCTTTGTAAGACAAAAATTAGGTACTTCTCAGTCTCCTTCCCCATACGATTTTTCCCTTTTTCTGACCTTTTGTGGCAGGTATACCATTGAGAAATAATCATGGCAGTACAAAGGCAACCAGGATCTTCTATACATTACAAATCAATATTATTACAACCAACTTTCCTGGCGCAAAACACATTTCAGTCATATGCAAGAAAAAGGACATTTTGTACATTATTGGTAAGACTCGATTGGAAATTAAAATTTATACTTAATTTGTAATAGGTCACCAACATCAATTCTTTGTTACATTTGAGCATAAACCAAGCTGGAGTAAAGTATCGGTTGATCAAGAAATTCCTGTTCAATTGGCTATTGAGCATATACGTTCAGTGTTAGAACCTTACAAAGTCGAGTTTGGCAAGGTCAAGAACTATACTCGATGGAATGGTAATTTGCACATGAATGTTATGTATCTAAACCTTGTTATTTAGGAGGAGATCAAAGTGTGTCTGAAGAATACAGCACAGATGCTAGCTGTTTCTTGATTGGAAGTGCAGCTCAGCTCATTCACCCTCCTGGAATGTTTGATATCAACATGCACCTCACTCAAGTACATAACCTATGTTGGAAACTCGCTCTTCATTTGAGCCATCGTGCCTGCCCTCAACTGCTCCAGACGTTTGAGTCTGAAATGCGACACAAGACTGAAGAAGTGATGTATGTGTCTACGCTGTTTATGAACTTTATTGGGGATTATTATAAACTTCAGGAAGAAGGCGGGATCCTCGGCTTAAATTCCTCGCATACACGAGATTTGGTGTACCAATTGGAGCGACTCAAAAGTTGCTTTGTAGGAGACACGCCATTCTTGTCCAACATGTTAAACCATCAGGCTGTGGAACAAGATCTACTTTCGTTAAACGAAGACGATTTGAATCAAAGTACAAGTTCATTTGTGTTTATGGCACCACCTCCATCAACAACAGCACCCATCGAATTTCAGAAATCTCAACCAGGCTGTTTGGCACCCAATGCTAAATTAAAGCCTTATACTCTGTTTCAGTTATTATTTATGACTTCGTCTCAAAACACAACAAACTCAAAGCTTATTCTTTCACCCACTATATCAAGCAAAACATTACCTATACCACAAAAGCCATTATCACCACCACCACCACCATCATCATCATCATCTCAGACAGAACTTGAATTAGAAGAATTGAAAAGAAATCGATCTAACTCGGCTACAACCGGTAATCTATCTTCTACTCTCTTAGCTGTATTTCAGAAAAACCTAAATTCTGGATTAAAAAAGCGCAACAGTACACAATCCACACCATCAGCACCACCTGTGACACCGATCATTACTGCTTCAGCACTTATTTCGCCTGAAAGATGGAAAAGTATCAAGACGAATCATCATCAACTCTCAGAACGTATTCATCAACTCAACAAAGGTCTCACATTTACACTCTTAATCTTTTGTGGTCCACTTTTACAAGACTCCATTGAACGAGTGCAATCGTTTGTTCGAAGGTTTAATTCGCCCTTGTCTTTTATTCATCGATATGAATATGACCAACTCTATAACAACAATCGACATAGTGTAGGCGATAAATCCTTATCTTCTATATCTACCTGCTCTTCTTCTTTTGATTTTCGCAAGTCTTCATTAGACACTCCCAGAACTTCATTTGATTCACAATATCAATCACCAGATAATCATTCAACATCTCCTTTGTTTTCTATGATATTTATCACCAGTTCATGTAAAAACGAAGCAACTCGCTACCTCAACAACACACCACCCGCCATTGTTCATTCAACATTTCCTTGCGGTTTAGCTCAAGTCTTTATCGATCATGATCAACAGTGTTACAAGGCCTATGATATCTCACATCATCAACCTGAAGTGGTCGTTGTTCGTCCTGACGGTTATATTGGCACACGCGTCACGATTGACGAAGATCAAGATGCTAGCTTTGAACGTCTTTGTCACTATTTTGACTCGTTCCTAAGACCCTTTGTTGATATGAACAGTGCAGCTGCTGTAGTTGCTGCTGGCTATGATTGTTAAAATAAAGTCTTTTTTTTTTATTAATCAAATCGTTCACCATCAATATCATCATGAAAACTTTCTTTGATTAAATAAGGAGAACCTGTAGAATAGTCCATGTCATCAATGCATGATTCTCGCCAATTTCTTATGCCTTTAAGATAATTCTCATGTAAATCAAGTTTATATTCGTCCAATTTCTCCATATTTTCTATTGCCAAATCACGTCCAATACGTTGAATTTCTTGACCACGTAGTGTCATTTTCTCAGCCTGTTGAATGGCTGCATCTAGTAAATCACCTTGACATAGGCATGCGTCAATAAACTACATATTGTCTTTTGTTGCTTACCTGTCGTTGTTACAAGTTTGCCCATAATGAGACGTAATACATGATCATACCAAAACGATACAAGTGGTACAGATTGAAGAATCCCTTTATTGTTTTTTTTATTTAGTGTGCATGTGACCCATACACACGACCTACCTTCAAGAGTCCAACTATCTTCCTGTCGATATATCTTTAATAAACCGCTATCTTGATCTGTTTCCTTAAAGTAAAGTGTGGTAATAGAAGGTATTTCTAACTGGATAAAAGAAGGGAAAACACAAGGTGAAATGGTCTGTGTTAAATGAATCACGGCTGTTTGTCTATAGATTTTTATAATTATTTTCACATGAATTCTCTTACCCATCAAAAACGATGTTGTTAATTCTTGGTTCTCTCCTGTTCATGGCTTGCCATACAGTATAAACACTAATACAAATAAGTTACATAGCTTACGTACCCTAAACTTACTATTGAATGTTTAAAACGCCTTCTGTACTCATGATAGGTGAAGATAATGATGCATCCTCAAAAAAATAGTATTCCAATACTCGTTTTCTCCTGACTGTATTATACGAAAATAAATCTTCCACTATATCTAATATACGCATGAATAATATGTCTATGAATCATATCTCTTTACTTTTTATAAGTCCAGAAGGTGAGACTTGGGCATCACTTCCAATATCAGACATAGGATGATAAGTAACAAAAAAGAAAAGAAACGAAAAAAAGGAGAACGATAGTGTTTATGCATTAACCTTGCGTTTAAACTCAGATGTTTTTTAGGTTGACCTTTTCGGCAATCTTTTTCTTTATGTAAGAAGCTGCTTAATGACGCATAGGGCTCATTAAAAGAGACTTGTTTGTCTTGTGAAATATAGCAACAAATTTAGTATATCACAATCAGTTGTATCTGTAACGAAGTGTGATCGTTCTCAATCTCGCTCAACATTCTTCAATTAGGGTTTAAGCAAACAAAGTCAATAAGCATTAGACTTATGGCTCGGTCAAGTCTGATTTCATTTGTCGTAGATAGCTTATGAAAATTTGACTTAAAGTGCCTCTGCTTCATTTAGAGACTAATTTCACTTGGTGCTCCTTCTAAGAGACTTTAAAATATCCAAGATATTTTACGTGCTAAATGAATAAGCTTTTCTAGTGACTAAGGCATTGTCATTATTTTGTGGGCGCTTTTTACATAAGACAGTAAAGCAATGACAACTATCTTATATTGCATACAGCAGTGTTTACTTTATTTTTGTATTACTTAATAGCACGGCTAACATTTGTTACTAATACGATTGAAATCCGAGAATTTTGCTATATCATAGTCGCAGCTTAATAGCCACCTGAAATATGCAATACTTATTACCCTTAAGACTAACATAAGAAATTCAGCAGACGTAAAGCGAAAATAGAAATTAAAGGCCATAGAGTTGCTTTGTTGCTCATCTGAATTAAACCTAACCAGACGATGTTAGGCTGTTGTCATAGCAAAGATAAATATGATTTGTATAGCGGAATTATTGGTGCTTGTCTATGCATTCTCTAAGAAGATATAAGACGATGACTTTGATTTCCCCAAAAACTGTGAAAACGCATTAAAAGTAGCCTTTACAGCCCAATCGTTGATAGCCAGCATTACAACTATTAATTTCTCTTTCTTTTTTTTTTCTCTCTTTCACTACGCTTTATTATGCCAACACCTTTAGAGACTTGGTTCAACGAGATTCCTCCCATCACACGCATATATATTTCTGCAGCCTGTTGCACAAGTATAGCAGTGGTATGTTACTTTGTTTCCTATTACTACCAATGAACTTACTCTTCAAATAGCAAATGGGCTTCATACACCCTTTACAACTTTGGTTAAACTATGAAAGTATTGCACGCGACTTTCAGGTACAATAACAAAGCAAAACAATGCACATATTGACGTTTTTATTTAGTGGTGGCGATTGATAACCAACTTTTTCTATTTTGGACCATTATCTGTCGATTTCTGCTTTCATATCTTTTTCTTGCAAGTAAAACTATAAACCAACAACCAATGGATTGACACATAGATTGTAGGGCAAGATATAGTAGAATGATGGAAGAAGGTTTTTATAGAAACAAACCTGCAGATTATGTCTGGCTTATGTTATTCTCAGCTAGTGTTTTACTTGTTATATCTGTAAGCAACATTTTTCCTTTTTGATAGACGCTTATCATGCATAGGTGATGATTCCATTCGCCAGTTTGCCTTTTATGGGTTCAGCACTTTCATTTACCATGGTCTATATCTGGGCTAGAAGAAACCCATATGTTCGATTGAATTTCTTGGGTCTGGTTATTTTTACTGCACCTTATTTACCTTGGGTTCTTTTGATATTCTCATTATGCTTAGGAGGCCAGGTGCCTACAGGGGATATTTTAGGTGTCTTGGTAGGACACATTTACTATTTCTTTGAAGACGTTTGGCCTCGTGATCCTATGAGTGGTGGCAAAAAATGGCTAGCAACACCAAGACTTATGTAAGTGGAATAAGCTTTTATCAAAAGAACATTATCACTTAATTCTTTAGCTACATTATGGTATAATAGTCGATGGTTGGTTGAAGGAAATAGACCTAGAGATGATACAGTTGATATCCAGGAAGAAAATGACAGTAACGGGATCAACAATCAGGAATAAGCAGTTAAAAAGTGTGTTACTTTATCAAAAGAAAGAGCAGTTAGAAAACAAAATACTTTGAAGCATTTCTATTCTCGAGATTATCGTTTTTCTTTTCTTTGGGATGATATTCCAAGATGTACAATTCAATAAAAGAAAAAGGAGTTCGATTCATTATCAGCGAACATTAAATATTTCGACCTAATTAAAGAGAGTATGGATTTATCAGTTAAGTTTGATAAAAATAATTAATCAAAGAAATTATCTCGTTCTACTTTTCTTTTCTTTTTTTTCATTTTGCGGGAAGTGAACAAAGAAACGAACTCCGTACAATTAAACCATCTTTTCAATTCAACTTTTACTTTCTTTCTCTCTTTTTTACTTTTTCTTTAGTCATAATGGGAAACAGTCATTCAGATATCAAAAGTACCTTTTCATCAAAACATGTACCTGAACACCTGAAGCCAATAAAAAAAAAGAAACACAGGCGACCAAGATCAGTCAATTATATTGTAGAAGAAGATGAAAATGAATTAAAAAAACAAAAAGCTCTTCAAAAACCAGTCATCATGGATATTCCCACTGTAGTGATTGACAATGTTGACGAAGAGGATCTAGCTGAGGGAGAAGCGTCGCTTGTTGGATCTGGCCCACGTGGCGCCTTTCGATGGTTTAAGGGCAGACGATACATTAACCATCATGAGGTATGCGTTTAACATACGATAATGACTGATGATGACAGAAAGTATTAGATAAAAACCTATTACCAAACGACCAGTTAGAACTGGATAGGCTGCGTGTGTTATCTTTTATTATTCGTTGGGCATTTAGAAGGTAAGTTTATATTGCACAAGGCTTTTTTTTTAATGCTTGATTTAGTAATATTGTAGCTCCAATAGAAGAAGATTTACAAAAGGGTATGCATGTACTCAATGTAGGGTAAAGTATATACATAATAACGAGCATCTTTATTGACCACTTTTCTTTTGTAGCTACGGTCCAGGAATGTGGGTAAGTTTTTTTTTTTTGGTGAATTGTCTGTCAAATACCAATGTTTATTTTGTGCAACCTTCTGATTTTAGCCTGGACATTATATCATTGACATGGCATTAGATTACCGCCAATGTCACTTTACCGCTGTTGATTTATGTGATTTACTACCATCTGATTTTGAAGAAGATAATTCATTCAAATCCTCAGCCAATTCTTCCAGCATATCCTGCACAAAGCCCACACAGACACTATTTACACCCATGCATCCTAAACTGTCTACTAAACTACAGAACACAACCACACCCGTGATGGACTCATCCCTAGATACGACCCATAGTAGTGAAATTCACAGTCAGTTATTATCATCCCATATTGAAGACACAGCCACTGTTTCCTCAATGAGTGATATAGAGGAAGACCACCTGGAAACAACCACTCGTATTGGCCAGTTATTTATTAATGGTTCTCCACCAATATCACGCAAACTATTACAGAACCTCGAATTTTATGAGGCAAACGTAGTGAATGCTAAATTACCATTTGAAGATAATCATTTTGACTTTGTACAGCAAAGACTTGTCACATCCTCGTTTACCATTTCCGATTGGAAGTGCGCGATACAAGAATTAGTTCGTGTGACAAAGCCTGGTGGTTATATTCAACTGTTGGAGATCGATCATTATACCTTTAACCTCGGGCCACTGGGCAAACTATGGGAAGCCGAATGTAAGTTTCAAAAAGGAATTGCATTTTATTGATATCATTAGTGATCAACACGATAAGAGAAAAAAGAAAAATGGAGCCAAGGATGGCATGCCATTTACCAGACCTGTTAAAAGCAATGGGCATGGCAGATGTATCCTCTAAGCTTGTCTCCATTCCATTCGGTTCCTGGGGTCTCGATCTTGGTGTTTTATGGAAGAATAACATGGAATCATTTGCTGAATCGACAGCACCTTTATTTAGTAAGCTTGTGGGATGTACACCTGCAGAATATCGACAAAAATGGCGCACTTTAATAGAGGAAGCAAAAGACCGAAAAGCTTTTAGTAACATTCATGCCGCTTGGGCAAGAAAACCGGCTGATTATAAGCAAGATGCGATCGATTGGTCTCTATGCCCTCCTTTTTGTACAGATATTAAATAATACTCTCAAATCAGAATTAAACAATTAGAATGAATATATAGCTTTAGACTAACGATGAACCCTTTTTTTTTGGAATTTTGAAGCTGAATTTGACATGAAAGAATTCATATTGAAGTGGGACAAGAGAGAGAAAAAAGGAAAATAAGGGGTAAGGAAAAAAGGAGGAAGAGAGTTATGTCAGTTCATGTTGATGGTGACATGCAGAGAAATGAATACATTTGAAAAGAAAGCTGGTTTTGGATTGAATAGGCTGACACGAATAGTTCAAATGAGTTAAATCACCTATGTATGTCTTATTGTAATATCTCTTGTTTGATTACAAGCCATTCCCCCTTTTTCTTTCTTTGTTTATAAAAACAGTAGTTAGTGAAACAGAACCTTATAATGAACAAAGTACAATGACAGAGAAAAGGTTAAGGCTTTTATTATTTGTTTACATGAGTCGTCTCCTTTTCTATTTTTCTCTCCTTGATCTTGAGACTGCATAAATAAAGATGCCCATTGTCTTGTTTTTCTTTTCTTTTTCTTTAAACTATGTCAGAATCTTCAAAACAACATTTAAAAAACAATACTAATATTATCAAATTTTTGGCACGATTCCCTCACTCAAAGCCACCACCACTTTCACCTCATTCTAATGAGATGACTACACGCTGCCCAATGATGATATCAAACATCAGAGTCTCCATCGACCAAGAATTATCACCGACACAGACACAAATTGATCTTGTTCGTACAAGCTGGCAAAAAGTGACTCAAACAAGACACGACACAGACGATCGCAACGTATCACCTTCACATGCATTTGGTCTCGCTTTTTATGATGCTTTGTTTGAAATGGAGCCCGATTGTCGAGAATTGTTTACAAACGTATTTCAACAAGCAAGAGCATTGACAGGCATGATCTCTTATATTGCAAGAGCGCACCATGTAGCGCACTGTTGTCCAACTGGGCTGGATTCTCCACCTTCAACACCCACAACCATCAAAGATATTAATGAAAAAAAGAAAAGCGACAGTTATGATGAAGGTGATCCTGAATGGTTGGCACAACAATTAAGAGAATTAGGCGCCAGGCATTATTTCTATAAAGTCAAGCCACATCACTTAGAATTAGTGGGACCTGCTTTTGCTGCTGCATTGAAAAAGAGGTTAGGATCAGACTATACAGCTGAAATTGGAGATGCTTGGGTAAAAGCAAACTCTTATGCAGCTTATAATATGAAGATTGGCTTTGAGTCTCAGCAGGCCTGGGAGGAAGGCATTACAAGTCATCGATCTATCAGAAAAAGAAAAGCAACATGTATTATTTCATAATGGGCTAAAAGAATATAAGATATAATAAAAGGACAATAGTTGGTTAGAAGAGAGCTGAAAACATCAATTTTGTGATTGTGCAACATGACAAAATACCTATTCTTGCTTTCAACATTTCTCTCTTGCTATTATTATATGCAAAAAGGAACTTGTAGTATGCAGATACCAACGTGTAAATGTTTAAATGCATGAAATAAAGTATCTGTTATTTGAGTTCTAAGATAATTTTCTAGCTATGCCTAGTAAACAAAAAGCATAAGGAGAGAAGTATTAAGAAACTTCAAAGGGGAGATGGGCCTTTAAAGGAAAAGTAAAACGAAACAAGAACCAGAAACAAAAAGGACAGATCTTTCCCTTTGCCATAGAAGCAACACATTAAAAAAAATATCAGCATAAACAATCATTGATTTTTGTCAAAATCACTTCTGAACCTAGCTAGTACAAGGCATTGCTGGACATGCCACAAGAAGCTTGTAATAAAAAAAAAAAAAAAAAAGTATCGCACATTTGAAGTAGAAATCTGTTGTTCTACCGGAGAGCTAATGTATCGGAAAGTTATTTTACCGGAACTACAGTCAATGGTACCAGCTTGTTTTCTTTTTTTTTCTTCTTTTTCTTTTCTTTTGTTTATTGATATTATGGCTGACCATACAATACAACCAAAAATGCCTTCTTCTTTTAGGCCCATTATGCCTTCGACAGCACCACCACCGATATTACCTCGTCCAGAAACATCATCCAACGATAAAAGCTGGTTAAATACGACGTTGAATATGTCATCTAATATTAGTAAGCCGATGAGTATGTATTAGCTAAAATTTTAAATTGTTAATTGATTTCTCGGGTTATAGAAGACAAAGGTCCTAGCAATGCTCTACCATCGGCAGACCTTCGTGTGCGACGCAAAGAACAAAACAGGGCAGCACAACGAGCTTTTCGAGAACGAAAGGAGCGCTATGTCAAAGAACTAGAGGATCGAATCAAAGAAATAGAAGCAGCTCATGCGATCAAGGTAGCACAATTAGAAAAAGAGAATGAGGAACTTAGAGCAGCATTACGCCATTTTCAGTCGCAAGAAACCACGTATAGCATGTCACCTAACAAAAAAAAGGGGCAAAAGCGATCCCTGTCCCTTGTGGACGATCATTCATCACCACCTTCGTTTTCAGATACACAATCGCCTGTGATCACAACACCACCTACGACATTGCAGCGTGTGCCTTCATCTGCTGTTGCTTGTATTCGAGACAAAGACGGTATCAGTTTTTGTGAGCGATTGAAAGAAGAAGTATGTTCAAATGCTTATAACCAACTTTTGACCGAGCCCTTATTTGATTCACATGGATTTCTGAACGAGACAATTGCAAGTCATCCTGTACCTATTGTGACTAGTGAAGCAGGCAGAGAACGATCCAAATCCGAAATATTTAATGAAATGCAACAAGCATTGACAGATCATTTCTTGCAAAACAGCAGTCCGACTGTTGCTGATGATTTTATCTCTTGCTCTGAAGTATGGGCCCAAATTTCAGCACATCCTGATTTTGACCAGTTTGATGTGGAAGAATTGTGCGATGAAGTAAGGAAACGAGCCAAATGTTCAAGAACCGGACCTGTTTTTGAAGAGCATGACGTGACAGAAGTATTAGAAGTGATGGAATCAAGATTGAAATCAAAGCAATCATAGCACTATGGCTTGTTTGTTCATACCCCCTTTTTCTCTCTATTAAAAATGAAAATATATTTATCTATACATTCCGAATGCATTAGGAAATAATCTTTTTTTTTTATGAAGAGAATGATGGTTTATTTGTATCATGTAAGTTATGACTTCCGGGCATAAAGCTGTCATTTTGATTTTAGTATATTGGTTGATCTCTTTTAACGAAATGGTTCTATTAAAAGATTTGATTGTTCTCAACTGCAATGTCTATTGACATGTTAACTTTGCCTAGTTTATTGTTTATATCTCCTTGAACAAGATTATCTATTGAATAGCTCTAGTTTTTTTTTTATATAAACTAAAAATGCATGTTTGTATCCAGAACACTTGTTTAACAAAGAAATTTTTTTTTTTGCATTTCCGAGTCAATTCAAGAGGAGTTCATAAACGGTTTTCAAAATCCAAGAATAGCCCAAAAGCTCATACCATTTGCCAAAAAAAGATGAGTAGCATGATCATTTAAATATTCAACTCTGTCTTATTTATATTTCTTCATCTTCTTTTTCTTTCTTTTATATCCATGACATTTGTACAGTGTCCTTCTTTTGATAGAGTTAGGGTTCGAAAGTCAATTCCGTCTCATGATTATGTGTATCTAACAAAGCTTTCTTCTATTGGTGCAAGTCCTGTTCAAACCATTCTACGTCAATCAGATCGAAAGTCTATTGGTATTCAACTAAGGCAAGCCATTCGATATCGATCCAATAGTGAGGATGAAGAAGAGGATGATTTACCTTTAGGTATCATGTTAGCTAGCAAAAATGATGCCTATGTACTGCATGCATTAGAGAGAGTTTATCCTCTTATACAACATATTCCAGAAAAACCAGAATGACTTGAAATAGGTCTTGTACATAAATAAAAGGGGCTGTCAATATATATTTTATGTGTGTGTGTATGTTTCTTTATAGGAGTGGTCTCCTTAAAGGTTTTTGTTTAATGTACATTGTACGAAATGATCAATAAATATTTAATAAATAAAAAGGATCACCTTGAATATGTGAAAACGAATCCATAGATTTGTCTATGAAATTAAGGAACACATGAAGATTAATGGTAAAAGGGAAGAGATATATAGAATATAAATATGAATTTTAGGATTTGATGCAACTGCCAGGTACAGGAGCAGCAGGAGCATTACCACGGTTATGAGCCATGTGTGCCTTGACTAAATGACCAGCTGCTAAAGCAGCACAAAGCGATAATTCACCAGCCATGACAGAAGCACAAATAATACGAGCAAGGCGTTGAGCATTAGCTCCAGGTTTAGTAGGGTGAGGACCGCGTACACCAAGCATGTCAAGCATCGCCTGTTGAGGAGGCAAGATGGTACCACCACCAATGGTACCTACTTCAATACTGGGCATACTACAAGAAATATGTAAATCTTGGTTGTTGTTGACAGCCTTCATTAGGGTAATACAGTTAGAACTCTCAACATTCTGAGCAGGGTCTTGACCTGTAGCCAAATAGACAGCAGTCAAGATATTAGCAGCTTGTGCATTGAAGCCGCCTACAGAACCAGCCATGGCAGAACCAACCAAATTTTTGGAAATATTGAGTTCAACAAGGGCAGCAACGGTGGTCTTGAGGACTTTTTCGACAACAGCACCAGGAATCACAGCTTCAGCAACGACAGACTTACCACGACCCTCAATCCAATTGATAGCAGCGGGTTTCTTATCTGTACAATAGTTGCCAGAGAGTGAAATGATTTGCATGTCAGGGAAACGTTCAGCAAGAACAGAAAGTGCTTTCTCACAACCCTTGGAGATCATGTTCATACCCATAGCATCACCTGTGGTAGTAGAGAAACGAATAAAGACGAGTTTACCGGCAAGAGCAACCTTGAGTTTTCTAAGACGAGCAAAACGAGACGTTGAGTTGAAAGCTTCAGTAATCACAGCAGCACCTTCTTCCTCAATAAAGCGTTTACATGCAGCAGCACCAAGAATCGAGGGGAATTCAACACAAGGGCCACGGGTCATACCGTCAGCTGTCAAGATAGTGGAGGCACCGCCACCAGCATTGATGGCCTTAGAACCACGAGCCGTAGAAGCAATCAAACAACCTTCAGTAGTAGCCATAGGAATGTGAATCATGTCGCCATCAATGTTCATAGGACCAGCGATACCTACAGGAATAGGCATATAACCAATAACATTTTCACAACAAGCACCCATAACTTTGTCATAATGATAGTTGTGAAGAGGTAGCAAACTAGTTTCCAAGGTCTTTGTAATAGAGGCACGGGAAACCAAAGCACGACGGATACTGACTGCACGTTCAAGGTCACCCAAAACTCTTTCTAAAGCATAAGGAGCCATTTTGCCCTTTTGGACGAGAAGGATAACTTCTTCATCGGTCAAGGATTCAGGTGTTTGTGTCAATGCCATGCATTCTTCAAGTGTACGAATGACTCCATGAACACCAGCATGATGTTTCTTTTCATGAACAACAGGCTTTTTAAGCACTTGTTGAGGAGAAGGAGAAATAGGAGTCTTTTGTTGTTGTTGAATATCCGCAACTTTTGCAGGCTGCTTAGCTACTTTGAAAAGATAAGTGTTCAAGAACAAAGAGACAAAGAGAGCCACAATGATCCATTTAGAGATAACAGGATGTTGGATATAAACAGTGTAAGTCTCCAACAAGTAATCCAAAGGTCTTCGGATACTTTCAGGTACAAATGTCTTACGTACACTAGAAGTGATATGGAAAGGCAAAGGAGGAAAGACTTCAATCAAGAGTGACAAATTGCTATCATTGGATGCACGATGCTGCTTAAGGAGCTTTTCAAGCACATTACTAACGCCAGGCTCCATGACGCTGACTTGAGGACCAGCGGTTCCTTGGAATGTAGTGCAAACTTTAAATAGCTGCATGGCAACAAAGCCTACGATCTATTTATGCAACAAACAGGTTTTTTTAAGTTACTGTTGACGACAATAAGCTTCCTTACCATCAATAGCTTGACTCGTCCAATAAGAGGTTCATCAGACTTGAGGTTTTGATTGTTCGTTGTTGTTGATGTTGTTGTGCTATCACTGAAGGCTTTTACGACTGTACGACGAATGTAACCTGTTCCAGTAGTTTCACTGGTAGATGTTCCTTTAATCGTTGCATTAATCTCACGAATTCTCAACAGCTATCACGATATGTTAGTTCAACACAATTGTATGAAAAAAAAAAAGAAAATACCTCAAGTTTCAATGCCAATACAGCAGTATACCAAGTAAACATGATGATAAAATCATAAGCTAACAAGATAGCACTCAAAAGGCAGAATTCACGTAATCCAGAGATGCCAGACTTGGCGCCCAAGGCAAGCACTGTAATTTCCATAATGCAATCTCTAGTGATAGGCAAGGCAACGGAATCAACAGCACAAACAATGGTTTTTCTGATTTCTTGTTTGGTTAGTGATGTTTCTTTGCTGAACTCGAATACTCTTTTAGTGAGTTTAAAGTGACGTTCAAACCCAATTGTAACAGCTAAAAAGGGAATAGCCTCACTACAAGTTGTAAGTAAAAATGACAGTAAAAATGACAGTAAAAAAAGAAAAAAAGACTTACGCTAATACGACAGGATAGACATCAACACCAAGAGCATTTACTGTCAATAAGGCAAACATAAAACTAAAGAAACCATTGACAATGACAGCAGTGGCTAAAGTATAACGAGAGCCCATGGATCTCATATTCATATAAAGTGAAATGAAAGTAGTGACCATCATCAGATAGCCTGCCAAGATCACAATAATATCAATATTGTCAGCCATCTAAAAAATATAAGTACAGTGGTGATACAAGAAATAAATTACCTCAATCAATTCCTTGATACGGAAAACTATATTGCGAGTAATAATAAAACCCCAAGTAAAAATATCTTCTTGATGACCTGTGTCTGAAAGGGAAATGAGATCACCAGAAGATAAAGTGGCCACCTTTTGCTCCCATAAAGAAGACAGTTGTTGACGATAACCGGTAGAAGCATTAAAGGCAAAAGAGAGCAAAATAGAAGAAGCAGTAGAAGCATTTAAATCCAAATCACCAAAGATAGAATGAGCAAGTTCAGGATAAGTATTGATGGATTTCTTGATGTCGTCTGTCAATGTCTGACCAAAAATATCGGAAAGAGATTGAGAAAAACATTGGCCTTGAGCATCTTTAAAGCATAAAGCATTATAGCCAAACTGGCCGACATGGTCATCCAACAAGGTGTGTTCAATAGTGCGTTGAAAGCGAAGAATGTTATTAAGGGCATGTGTATCAATCACATTCTCTTTGTCAGCAGAAGTAATAGAAATTTGTTTGAGTTGAATCTTGACAGTATCTTGGTTGCTAGGTAATTCACTGCGTGTTAATTGTTGAAACTGAGTAGCGTCTTTATCAGCGTAAACGAAGGTCGGGTAAAGACGCGTAACAGTACCAGAGAATATGTCCGAAGTACGGGCCAAGTTGAACAAGTAAAAGTAGCTGAAAGAAGACAAGATCAATATGCCTGCAATCATCTCAATAGGATTGCGAGATGATAACTTGGCAGCACGATGAATACCTTTGCCAAACATGGTAGAAATGGACCGAAAAGCAGTTGTTCCACTATGTTTTGCAACTAGAGAAGCCATCCTTTTTTATTGTTATTTTTCTTCCCTCGTTATACTAGAAAAGAAAACAATTTGTGTTGAAACAAATAAAAGATAAAGAAGAAAAAAAAAGGAAGGGGGGTTTATAAAATGCTGCTATATCGAGAGACACAAAAAGAGACAGAAAGAGGGGTGGGGCAAAAAGAGGAGATTCAAAAAGAAAAAGCGGAGTCCCTGCCAGAAAAGATAAACACTGAGGAGAAACTTATTATAGGAGGTTGGTTTTTCATTGTTCTGCACGAGGAGGAGGGGTATCTGGCATCATATTGTGCCAAGTTAATCAAGCGAAACAACATGCGAGCCAATCAATATGCTGATACGCCATTATTTTGTGGCTTGTTTTTAAGTATATGCATAAGTGAATATCTGAAAACACTGTAGTTTATGACAAGGCTATTCAAAAAAGACTTTATTTGTCAGCAATTTCTTTTGTGTTTATTAAAGTATAGGTCATCTTCGATTTAGTAGCAAAAAAAAAAGAAAGTTTGGTTTTCATTCAAAGGCCACGATGAATTTCGATTCCGTTGCTTGAAACCCAACTAGGCACACTGTTATGAGAATGCCGTACATTATCGTTTAGCCGCAAAATATGTGTACACCCTTTTAGTAAGCTTCGTCATCATGATCAATGTTATCAAAATGCTTAGCCAGGGTCATTGTATTTTGTAGACATGACCGCCACTTAATTTTTGCATTTTGGTATTGATCATATCAAAAAACACTTGATAAGAAAGAAAGAAACTAGAGCATACACACTCGCCACAACGGTTGCACAACTTGTTTGAAAGCCATATCTGTTTCTGGTGATACAGTCCGGCTGATAAACACAGTGCGTCTGGTAGATTTTGTCCATTCTGAAAAAATAAATGGCGTTACCATGAAAATGATTGGCCGTTTATTAGCAAATGATTGCCGTTTTCGAGATTTTTGTCTTAAAAAAAATTCAGTTTGTCAGTAAATGTCCTTTCCTAAAAAATAAATGTCACTTTTGCCAAAATTAAATGACACTAAGCCAAAATTAATTGTCCCCAAGTAAGACCAAATTGTCCATATTTTTATTGTCATCAGTTGCATACTTACAGTCATCATTAGCAATATATGACAAACTTCCAGAAAAGATGAAACTTATTATTATTTGGACAAGTGTTATTTTTTTATTCTGTTCACTAATATCTAATATTGTAGAGGGCTAATAATTTACATGCGTAGTAGGTATAAATCACACTTATAAACAAGTTTAATCCAAACTATGACTTCAGTAAAAATCAATAGCTTCCGATCTGTGTCGATCTGTGTCGATGTGTGCCGGTTTCAATAGAAGTTACTGACTGTGATATCAAGCACGAATCGTTTATTAAACATACAAAACAGGGTGCTTTATATAGTTCTCTAATTACAAGAGAAACCGGGTAATCGTTGAGAATAAATAGATGGTCTGTGCTTGGATTATATGACCAATATACAGGACATCCTTATTGGATAATTCTATAGTGCGATCTTCTATATCTTCTATCATCACTATGTAACTTTAGACAAGAGAATATAGAACAGTAAACATAAATTGCTGCTCCAGCGTAAGAAAGATCAAAAACCTTCCGTAGTGTCGAAAAACTCCTGGTTTTCTTCATCATTGTTAGAGCCTTCATCAAGTTGAATCATTGGTAGATCTGCTCCAATTACTTGGTTGGTAAAGTCTACTACCGATAAGTGTTCCCGCCGATAATGGTTCTGAAATGTCCTTGAATCAACCCAGTTGTCCAGCGTCTGTATATCATCAAGAGATGTTCCTTGTTTCAACGCAATAGAGGACGCAATGGAGCGCACACTGGCTCTTGATTCGCTTGTAGACTGTCGTAGTACCTGTGATGATCTGACATTAAATAAGTCTTCAATTACATACTAAAATATATCATAATCAATTTACATCAGAAATAGACATAAAAGAACCTCTTGTACTGAATAAGACAATGTGCCTTTTAGTAGATCAAGACTTATAACCGAAATCCATAATTTACATTATTTAATTAATTTAAAGTAGTCTATGATAATAGAGACTCAGTCATTTGCATGAGCCCTACTACTATTTACTCCGACATCTCTTCATATATAAATACCTAGAGAATGAAGAGCTAGAAAACGATATATATCTATATTTTCTGGGATAATAAACCTATACAAGTTCTAATCGACTTCTTTGTTTTCTATCTTCTCTCTTACATCACAACAACATCGACACATATCGACACATATCGACTCTGATGTTGTGAGATGAAGAGAGAATAGATATAAAATTAGAGAAAAGGTAAGAGCACAGAGAAAATCCGTTAGAACTTGTATAGGCTTTTATTTCTCCAAGAAATGTTATCTTTTTCAATTGCTATAAAATGTCGAGATATTTATACTTTTTCTTCTCGGTCAAAATATTGTATAGGGATTAGCTACTTGACTACGGATTGGTTTGTTAGATCAGGAGCAATTAAGAGAAATATCTTTAGAGGAAGTTGTCAGCTCAGTCAATAGTACATGATCTGACCTGAACTTGAATAAACTATCACATATTTGTCAAATGCCAATGCTAATGTATTTGTCAGCTCTAACTGTCACTTTATGAGGGCCATTAATAATAACAGAGTCACTAGGTTCATAATCTCTGACTATGAAGATGATGTAGTACTTCTAGTAGAATGAGTGAACGTCAGTGACTATAGATCCATTGCAATTGCCATGCATGTGATCTGGTCTTCTACCATGATCATCATGTATTGATCTATGCATATGAATTCATATATGTTCATAACAAGTAAGATGAAAGGAAATTAAATAATAATGGCTCATAATGAAAAGAATCGTGTCTAAAGGACTTCCTTATATACAATATTACCAGTGTGAGGGCCTTGAACTTCTAAGGATTCGGTGCTTGTCCTTGAATTTTGCTAATTGCTATCTCAAAGACAGGTCAAAATAGAAATTGCCGTCTTTTGAATGATACAAACGTTTGTTGCTCATTTATAGTACAGGAATTTATTTTCCTGTAATTACAATGACAGCATATATATAATGATTCGTTATTTTAATTATAACATTACATTGTAAAGATGTATAGAGAAATATTTATTCTAATAAACGGTGTATTAGAAATAACAGAAAAAAAATGACTCTTGCACCGTCTTTCTTTTTTTTAGTTTTTCTATCTCTTCAAGATTTCTCTTGATCATAGCATTGTAAGCACTATGTTGAGATTGTTGGTAAGATTGTTGTTGCTGTTTTTGTTGAGATTCAACAACAGAGATTGATAGCACGGGGAAAGGGAGGAAGGAGATTGGTGGTTATGCATAATGCACCGGTTCATTATCACTGAATACAGGTAAAATGTACACTTTTCACCTCCGAGTGTAGCATGATCACGGCTGTAGAAATGTACAGGAGCAAGCTTATCACTTGAAAAGCACATGTAAGTACAGCTTAAATAGTGGTCTGTTAATAGCAACGGTTTTCTTATATACCACCACTTTTTTCTTAAGGACCACCCTCTATTGGACATGTTCAAACCAAAATTCACAGAGTATAGGGTAGAGAGAGGGTCACTAGAGAACACTACATCCACTCCAAAAAGCCATCACTTTTGTATGAGTAATGAAGAGGAAATAATTGTAGTCATTTTATGAAAAAGAAAAGAGAACAAATCATTTTATAACAATAAACAGTAATTTATCAAGTACATCTAAAAATAAATGATTTATTTGTGTGAAGAAAGAACATTACAAAATAAATCAGAAAGAATAGATATACTAAAAAAAATTAATAGCAGCTATATTGTCAAAACGCTTCTGTTTGGAATGGACGGAGCGTTCGTCATTAAAGAAATACATTTATGCACTTTATATATTCAGGGCCGCCTCTTCTCTAGCCAAAGTTATATGAACAGTTCCCTCTCTATCTGGTGCTCTGCAAATTAAGGTTAGCCAACAATTATCATTACAAAAATAAATTTGTCGAGGTGACGCATTTTAAGATTGACGGAGAGTGTCGGTTTTTTTTTGGTTTTAATATTTTATGTTGAAGGTATTCTTGAAAACGGAATAACGGCAAGGAGCGAAGTATATTGATCAATATATAATTATTAAACTGCAGGCACTTGTTTGTCTACTAGATTTGAGAAAGAACATATACAAATACACCTCCTTAAGTATATTTTCCCTTCTCCCCTGCCCTTGCTTTTCCTTGATAGTATCATTCTTTTCAAGGAACAACTTCTGGTTTAAATTATTCTTGGCAAAATGGATGATTAAATTTTGTTACACCATTGTTTGTTCGTATCTCCTAAAAGACAATTGTCTGTTTTGTCGTACCAAACGGCAGAGAGATTGCTATACAATGCAAACAAAAGTCAATAGATCATTCAATAGAAACATATTGAAAACGATGAAAGATTTCCATGAAAATTGATCTCTGCATTGAGGCTATTTAAATAGCTCATTACCTAATGTTCAAGCAACGTTAAGTCCGTTTACAATACGTGTAGGACAGCAAATGCCAAGAATCTACATGGCTTTTGAACTCTCTTTTACTTTGACGAAGCACAATGGCTTGTAAGAATGACATATTTTATATTTTGTCAAGCAAACATCATTATTATTATTTTTTAAGAACTTTCTAATACTTGGTCAATGCCTTCATTGACAGGCTTAATTTCGTCAGGAACACTAGATGAATTGGTAGAATTATTTTTTAACAAGCTGTGTCCAAAGTGATTTGAGAGAGTGACCATGTTGATAGCTTTCTTAAATGTACGACGAGCATTAAAGTTAGTACGCAAATTGGGTAACAAGTCGCCTCCTTCTTCAGAAGTTTTAGGCTGGTCGCCAGTACCAAGCAACCAAGGATGTTGAAGGGCTTCTTGAGCAGTAATACGCTCATTAGCATCAATCGTCAAACAACGATCAATAAAGTTCTTGGCTAAAATACAATCAATACACTTATTGTTCATTTACTCTTCTTTTCTAACCTGAATTACTAATGTTGTCCCAACAAGGATCATCATAGTTATAGTCAGCATGAATAATAGCATTCATTTCTTCAATATTGCTGGATCTTTCAAATGGTGTATAACCAGACAATAAGAAGTAAGTAATGACACCAATAGCCCACATATCACTATTGAGTTCCATCAATAATCACATTCTCTTTTTTTTTTAGTGAGCTTACACAGGCTTTCCATGACCCGTCTTTTTAAAGATTTCGGGTGCCTAAAAAGTTGAGTTATTTAAAAAGAAAAAGAGAAAAATCAGTTACCATATAACCAGGTGTACCACAAGTGGTTTTCAAAGTATGGAATTTGTCGGTGTCAATAATACGGGACAAACCAAAATCAGCAATCAACAGATCAGAATCTTCATCGCGTTCACGGAACAGGAGATTTTCAGGCTAATATAAATAAATGTAAGCACGCATCCATCTGTGCTTCATATTACCTTCAAATCTACATACAAAATGATTAGACTAGCAGCCAAAATCAACAAATACACCTACCACGATGAACAATGCCATTTTCATGAAGATAGGCAACTGCGGAACAAACAGTTTGAACAATATGAGCAGCATCTTTTTCAAAATAACTGCCCTTTTCACAAATACGATCAAACAATTCACCACCAGAGGCCAAGTCTGTAACAAGGTATACTTTTTTTTTAAGAAAAAAAGAGAGTGGGTAAGCTGAACGCGAAAAAAAAAGGGGGGAAACAACTTACAGTTGTTTAACGTTTCAAAGTAGTCGACCAAGCTCAAGATATTCTTATTGCCTTGAGAAATACGTTTCAAGATGTTGATCTCATTGCGAATCATATGTTCGCGACCTTCCATCAATTTCTTGTTGATAATTTTACAAGCATAATACTTGCCAGTTTCAATCTAAAATAATGTTTATATGGCTACTCTTTATCATTTTATATACTTGCGTGCATAGCCTCTATCATTTTTGCGTTAAAATTTCATTTACTTGTATTGAATTTACCTTTGACAGTAGCATAGGTACCGTTACCGAGAACTCGACCAGTCTTGTATTTACAAGGTACAGTGACAGGTTGACGCGACATATTTCGTTTTCAAAGAAGAAGAAAAAAAAAGAGCATGATACAACTTCACCTCATTTTATTTTTTTTTCTCGCTTACCTGTGAATTCCGGGCAGCTTTGCACAACCCTTATCCGGAACTCATATTTGAGTAACACGCTGAGATTGGAACACTGTTTGGCATTGTGTTCATGCTTCAGCAAATAATGGTTTAGTTATACAAGTTGAGAATGATTTTTTCTTGGCTAAAAAAGGATTGTTACCAAATAAAGTTGTTCTGTTTGAAAAAGATAGTACGCATGAAAATAGAAATATATCTTTGATAGTAGGAATAAAGCTATTTAATGAACAATAAAAACCACAGAATTCCTTCAATGAGAAGCAATACAATGATTTTACCTAAAAAAAATTGTATTTGAACACAAGTCTTTCTGCCCTTCCACTTTTACATCCATTGATAGCCCCTTTTATCAATCATCTACCGCCAGAATTACTTGAGACTATTTTAGAATGAAATCAACAATTCTTTCAAATGGCTACTTTAATACAATATCAACTTACATGCAAATACTGGCACATGTTGCTCAAAAAAATAATCTATAGAAATATTACAATCAAGACATACCGTCAATTGGTCTTGTTTATTCGAACCATTTCTACTCCACCTTCAAGCCCTGGTTTGTTTACAAAACAACTCTATATCACTTCAATCTTAGACAGTCAATATGAACAAGCCATGTTTAATCATTTAATTGAGTATTGTCCTAGGCTAAAGAGCATCAAAGTGGCACGAATAAATATTTCTTTTTGAGTCAGACTCATGCATGAAGTCTATGATGGTCGCTGGAAATACTTGAATGCACTGCAATACCCTAGAGAATACAAGGAATATGCTTATTGTAATCATGCTGTACTTGCTATGCGAAAAAACATCAAAAAATCAAAATCCATGATACTCTTTTACTGTTGCCAGACATAGAGCTCGACCATTTTCAACAAAACATACTAATAAACAGATTGAAAGAGTTTGAACAGTTAACCAAACTCACTATCTCAAGCAACAAAAAAAAAATTCTCTACGAATACGGCAATGAAATCAATGCTTGTCCTTCATTATTGTACTGCAAGGTTTAATCACACCTCTTATCATCCTTTCAGCTTCAAGACTATCAACATCACCACACGCTACCCATAGTAAAACCACATTTCAAGTTGCATACACTTAAAGTTACCAAACCAATCTTTGATGAAAATACCATGGCTTATATCACGACTAAGTTTCCCAACTTGAAGAAAATATCGCTAGGTGACGAGTTCAATCAGATTCAGCCTGACTTGACTCATTCAAACCCTGTGTTTTCTCAGCAAGTGCTCAACAGATTTGCTTGTTACCTGCAGGAATTATATTCGTATCTTGTTTTGAATTTGTTTGCAGAAAACATGAGTGATGTGGTCCGTACCTTGACTGGAACAGCTCTGAATGTATATTTTACAGTTAACCATGAATCTCAGGAATCAAGTCAACTTTGTGCCATTCTGTCCAAAACCAAAACCTCTATTTACGAAAACGGAATGCATTTGAAATCAAGATGTAACAACTATACATTAACACATTTCGAGTGATTTCAAAGGCGAACGATGCGCTGCATCGATTGAAAATCAAAAGTTATGGTTAGAGTGCCTCTTTTGCTGTTGGTCAAGATAGTTTTAACCAAATGATCTTGTGCTACTACTTGGATCTTATTTTAAATCCTGTTTTCAGCTAAAGAAACTGTCACTTGTATCCACAGCCCTTTTCTACTGCAATTCAAACGCAAGTGTCAACAACTCCATTGAGATTTTGAAATTAGAAGGATGTTTTTATCATCCCAAGGTCTTGAAACAGTTATCGGCTCGTCTTCCAAACTTAGAAGTGCTTAAAATGGAGCACTGTAATCTATCAGACTATGGAAATCATCAAGTAATTAACAGAAGAAACAACGTTTTGATTGATATGCTGTGTACTAATTTCACGAAAATTTTGTATGATACTGATATATGCAACATTACTCATTGTTTTTACTTGAGAATCAGTGCGATAAAAAAAAAGAAAAGTATTTTCAATGTGACAAAGACTCTATTAAACCAGCATTTTGCAGTGAATACAAAAAATCATTCATGGACAGAGACATCATGACTCTTCATATAAAATGCAAACACATAGGTCTGTTTACTTTGTGCTCTTATTGTGGTATTTAAAAAATACGACATCCCATCAACTTTCGATTTATTTATTGCTTTAACACGAAATAAACCAAGTGCTCTCTTTTTTAGTACAAGCTTATGAGTTAACTAAAGATGTTTTCAACACTTTTAGGGTTTCTTTCAAAATCATGTTCGTCTCTGCCTCTAGCTCAATGACTTTTTCTTGAATTTTGACTGATTTTTTCATCTCCTCAAGTAACTCTGTTTCCAGCTTGAGCTGTTCTACTTTCAATTTGAGTTTTTCCTTTCCATATTGAGCTCTTTTCGAAAAAGCATTTTCATCTAGATATTCATTTTCAGCTTTCATGACATGTAAAAATATAAGGCCAGCCAAAGTATTTAGCAGAAAAGCACCTGTAACGCCAAAAATATACTTGATGGGTTTTCTAAGCATGTGGATATAAAAGAAAGAAGCCTACATTTTTTTTAATGATAGACCTTATAAACAAATACCTGTTTATGCTGATTTAACAATAGGGCCAATCATAACAAAAGGTCGGTAGTACAATATGCATATTATTGTTATCGTATGTTCAAATTGATTCTTTCATCTACAGGTTTAAAATCTTGGTCTCACTTTTCTTCTTTTTATTTTTTTTTTTATTTTTTTCTCATGAAATCTTGGAGTAGCTTACCTTCCGAATTATTACAAAACATTCTTCACTTTTTGACGACAAAAGATGTTCTTCAGTGTCAACTTGTTTGCCATAACTGGACAAAAACGGCTCAACAAATCATATATAGAGATGTTAGATTGGAGAGTGAAGCTCAGGTAGCTTTGTTTATCAAGACGATATCCTGTTTAGACTTGTCCTTTGGGAACTATCTTAGAAAACTGTACATTCATTACAACTACCAAGACAACGAATCAAATAACACGTTTGAATATCTTACCAAGTACTGTCCCTACCTTGAAGACTTGGAGTTAACTACCACCAATGAAATGTATTGGAAAAGAATAAAACAAGAACAAGAGAAAGGAACTTGGCCTTATTTAAACACACTCCAATGCCCCTCATCCAAAGCAGAGTTCAAGTCGTATTATGAAACAATTACAGCCATGTGTGTCACCATGAAATCTATTATGTTGTGCGATTATTTCTTTTTCCAATATTCAGCAGAGAGCGTCAAACAATTCAGACGCGCAGAAAAACTTGCATTTATCCGATCAAGTGAACTTTCGTTACAAGAGCTGAATACTGTCATTGATGCCTTACCGTCATTGACGACACTGGTTCTCAAGCTGTATTCTCCCATGTCAGCACAACCTTTAGAACGATACGATATGTCAGCCGTCTTGCCATGCTCGAATTTAACTCGACTTGATGCTTTTATTTTTCTCGGTTCAGAAAATGCGTTCCTGTACATCATGAACAAGTTCCCTGGTTTAAAGCGCTTGGATGTGAATTACCCTAATGCACCGTTAATATCGCCCATGTATCCAGCTTTTAGCTTATCGATTATTGAGCGACTGGCAGACTATTTGAATGGATTAGAGAGTTTTCATATCAGACAAATCAGCTTTGAAAACATGGCAGACTTTGTGCTTGTGGCAGCGAAAAAGATGTGCAAAAAAAGGCTGCAGGTGGATATCGCTATTGACATACAATCTAACCAAATCAAGCTGACCAATCTTGACATATCTTGTAAACACAAAGATCAAGCAGGTGAACCAAGCATGAATCTACTTGTAAGAAACAAGAACCGTGTGCTTCCTCTCTCAACAGTCCTTGATAAATTTGGTACGCTGATAAAGAACTTGACAATTTACAACCGGGGTGCACCTTCCATCTTCTTTGTTGAAAAAGGAACCAACCATCTATGTATTCCACACAGACATTATCTTAGTGACATTTTTGAGGGATGTCCCAACATGACAGAACTAAAGCTCAGTGAAGCCAGGCTAATAGGATCTGATCTCAAAGACACAATCGTTACTTCTGTACATACCCTTATTTTAAACAAATGTGTTTATTCTCCCTCCGTCTTGCGACAGCTATCGACTCAATTGGCCTTTTTGAAAAAGATGGAAGTCTCTTGTTCAGAAATCATTGATCCAAACACATTGTTGCCTTTATCTACAGCTTCGCATTTCTTTTTCGATATGCCATACACCTCGTTTGATACGTTTGAGTTTACCAGACTCAGTGTTCATGCAAAACACAAGTACATATTCTTAAAACTCTCGACAGTTCATGGCGAATCTTTTCACAAGTTCAACAAGAAGGATGGATTTTCAGCTACAGAACAGGAATATGAACAATCAATCGGTAATCATTCAGTCCATACGCTTCATATCGTATGCAAAGAGATTAAATATGTACAGCTGTCTGATTTTGGACACCATGTTTATCATAAAGTTGTGCAATAAATCATCTTATTCAATATAATATGCGAGAAATTTATGCAAAATAGAAAAAAAAAACCATAAATTAAAAACCAATTTACGCTTCAGAAATACTCTCCGTTACTGCTAGATAGTATCAGACATGTTCCCCAAGAGGAATCATTCTTCACTTTTCAGCCTTTTGCATATCTCCAATCACTGTAAATGCACAGTTTACAACTCTAAGCACTAGATTGTATAAAACAATTCTTTATTTCTAACAAATCAGGATTTGCAGCAAAGGTATTGAACATTGACAGGGTTTGTAAGACAAGGAAGATCAAAAACTCTTGCCCATCCAGTACCAAATTCTGCTCTACAAGGATCTTGAATAAAAACAGTAGATTTGGAATAGCAGACAGGCATAAGTCGACAACTCACAAGTTGTTGATATTCAGCAGGTTCAATATCGGCAATAACTGATTGATATGAATATCCAACATAACATCAAATGATTTGTACTTACCAGAAGAAGAAGAAGAAGAAGAAGAAACAGCAGAAGCAAGTCGACTGATAGCAGCTGCTTGAGCACTAGTGGCAATAGCTAAACCAATATAGAGAATATGGGTAAATTGAACCATCTTGAATTAAAAGTAAAGAAAAGGAAGGCGAATGTTTTAAAATGGACAAAGCATCCACTAAATATAGCAAGGCGCCCACTTGCAAATGTTGCTGTGAGATTGTCAAAACAATCATGCATGCTAAATATTGTGGGAGTAAAGCATCAATTTAGGATGCATTTATGAAAAACAGCTCATAATTGTGTGTTCGTACAGCCCAACATCAGTTGAGAAAATATTCCGTGTAGACATGCCTTATTTTATGGGTTTAACAAGACATTCTTATAGCTAACTAGACTTCAATCAAATATACTTTTTGTTAAAATGTCCCGAGCGTAAACAAAAAAAAAACTTATTCTCAAAAGGAGAACACTATTTTATCTCCTTGATTACTGTAGGCAGAGTATAACTTTCTCTTTGTTGAAATTCGTTTATTTTTTCCCTTTTTGGTATATATGTCTCTTTTTTTACACATCAAAGTCTAATAATTGAAACGAAGTTCTTTCGCGACTACATAGAAAGAGAGTCAATCATCATACACATCATCCACAAAATAACTTACTTGTGAATAGCAACCACGCATTTACTTTTATCAAACGTCACCCACCATACACCTTTGACATCTGTCACTAAATCATACAAATATCTACCTGTCTTGATATCCCACATTTTCAATCCACCTTCAGACCCTGAAATCACCTTTTCTTCATCATGTTTAAAACAAGTAATAGCACCTTCATGTCCATGTTTCCCCGCTAGCACATGCTGACACACACCTGTAGTAGGATCCCAAACACGCAAAGTGCGATCAGCGGAAGCAGATACCAAATGATTTGGTGTCAAACCTAACAAGCCCACTAAGACACTATGTCCATCTAATTTATGCAAACATTCGCCTGTCACTAAATCCCATACATAGACCACTTGATCCATACTCCCACTCATGCATTGTTGTCGAATAGGATCAATCACAACAGAATATACATTACTTGTATGACCCTCCATACGATGTACCATTCGACCTGTGCTTAAGTCCCAAACAGCCACTGTATTATCGTAGCTTCCACTGACTAATGTATTTCCATGCGCTGCAATGGACCGCACTGAATGTGAATGACCAATCAACAAATACTTGAACCAAGGACTACTTCCCTCAGCCACAAAGGGTTCTTCTTGCTCTTCTTCTACATCTGGTAGTGTCCAAACACGTATACTGAAATCACGCGAACCAGTAACAATCAGTGGCTGACTGGGTTGCAATCGGCCTTGGATCATGACAGGCTCCACAATCTGTAGACAACGCACAGTAGAGGTATGTCCCTTAAAAATATGGGTGCATTTCCGTTTCTTGATGTTCCAGACACGCACTGTGCGATCAATGGATCCACTCACAAGTGTGTTGTTGAGATATTGAAGTGCCCATACGCCACCTGCATGTCCTTGTAACTGAACATAAGGAGATGTAGGGTCTTGCGTATCATAAATATTGATCATGGCATCTGTTGCACCCGAGACAATCTTCTCTTGGTCGAACTGGAGACATGTCACAATATGATTACTGTGACCTTCAAATTCGACTCGTTTAAATTGACCCTTTTTCCAATTCATCTTGAGTGTGTATTGATGTCGATAATGCGATTTGAGTTGCTTGGCTGAAAGAGATGTGGCAGGTATCTCAAAACCATCATTTTGTAATAGACGGTACCAAGTGTTTTTATCGCCATCAATGATTAATTGCCATGTTTTGCTGACAGACGAAGCGATGCAGAGTGACTGAACATCGAGATAGCCAATCACTTGAATCTTGAGCTCGTACGGTAGAGAAACAAGAAAATCTCGCTTAAGAATAGGCATCACAAGTGAGTTGACATATTGAAGTGTACTTTTGTTGGATCGTTGAAGGAGATCGAATAATGTGCTTGATTGGATATGTGGTGGTAAACAGTCATAGGCTTTCACGAAGTGCGGTAATTGTTCGACCGCATGGATGGTTTTCGTTGTTACTATGGTCTATATAGAGGGAGGGGGGATTCAATTTAGTAACGGGGTTTCTATGGTTACACTTACTTGTTCTGGTGCTTGTTCTTGAGATGAAAGAGGTATCAGAGATTGGTATACAGAGTCACTGTTGTTAGTGTCAGGATGAGTAGTAAAGGTGTTGTTTGGCTGAAATGTCATGTTGTGAGTCGAGGGATCTTCTGGTGGCTGTTGGTTTGGCATATATATATAATTATATATATGCAAGGAAAAAGAAGAAGAGAAAATAGATAGAAAAAAAAAGGGCAACTGCATCTCATTATTATGCCAATACCAAGTCACGTAAAGAGTTTCACAGAGGATTGTCCCCCCTTTTTTCTTTTTTCTTTGTTTTTTTTTCATACGAAATAAATGAATCAAAATATAGCCCGTGTTTATGCTACTGCTTGTCTTGATAGGTCTACTGACTATTATGAATATGAATGCTTACAAGTAACTTGGGGGTAAAAAAACTCACTATCTTATAAAGAAAGAATATATTGATATGAGATTAGTCATCAAGATGATTATGAAATATGTAGAAAAGTAGGCAGAGGTAAATACTCTGAAGTATTTGAAGGACTTCATACACCCACAAATCAACAATGCATCATCAAGGTCTTGAAGCCAGTCAAGAAAATGAAAATTAAGCGTGAAATCAAAATCCTGCAAAACTTGGCGGGTGGAACGAATATTATTCAACTGTTAGATATTGTGAGGGATCCTCAAGTAAGCACTGTTTCAATATATGTTGTGTTGATCGTTTGAATGTAGTCAAGAATACCTTCACTTGTGATGGAATATGTCCATAATACAGAATTCAAAATACTTTACCCAAAATTCACTGATTATGATGTACGATATTACATGTATGAACTATTAAAGGCTTTGGATTACTGTCACTCGCATGGCATTATGCATCGAGATGTCAAACCTCATAATGTCATGATTGATCATGAAAAACGTCAAGTAATTCTATTCATTAGTTTATACATATATGCTCATTGAAATTAGCTACGTTTGATTGATTGGGGATTAGCCGATTTTTATTTGCCTAATACAGAATATAATGTTCGTGTTGCTTCTCGTTGCTACAAAGGACCTGAACTCTTGGTAGACTTGAGACTCTATAATTACAGTCTGGATATGTGGAGTTATGGTGCCATGTTGGCTGGGATGGTGTTCAGAAAAGACCCATTTTTTAATGGACAAGATAACTATGATCAGTTAAGAGTGATTACAAAAGTATTGGGAACACCTTTGCTTGAAACATATCTCGATAAATACCAAGTGACGCTAAGTCATCATTACGATGGATTGATTCGAACGTAAGTCATTCTGTAACCGGGGTTAATAATCATGTATCTAGTTGTGAAGCTGTGCCTTGGTCTAAATTTGTAGGCCCACATAATAAGCGTTACATGTCAAATGAACTATTCGACTTTTTAAGCAAACTATTAAGATATGATCATCAAGAGAGATTAACAGCACAAGAAGCCATGTCACATTCATTTTTTGGTAAGCATGTCTATACCAAATACTTCAACTTATTGTTACTAGACATGATTCGAAAAGACAAGGTGTAATAAAATTCTATTTACAGTATTATATATATAAAAAGTGGTATCATTCGTATTCTCTAAAATACACATTCAGGATCATGTAATTTCAATAAGTCTGTATCTTTGGATTCAACCTTCGTTTCAGTACACACAACATCCAGAGGTAATCCAGAAGCAGTCATCAAATGAGCAGCTACGCCTTCAGGTCCTTTGTTTTCATGCTTGAGCACATCAATGGCATAACCAACAATCAACAATCCCGGAGGACGACTTCCACCACAACTTTCCAAGACATGTTCAATCGTGGCCAATTGACCCCATATCACACGTTGATCTTTACAACTGGCTCTTTCTACAATAGCGCAAGGGATATCAGGAGGATACTGTTGTGTGGTGATCAAATCGTGTGTTAAGGCACCTAAGCGATGAATAGCCATCAAAAACACATCCGTACGATGTTTATCAAAGGTCGGTAAAGGAGCAGACGAGTTACGAGCACCTGTGCCTGTGGTCACCAAGAACTGAGACGCAACACCACGATGGGTCAAGGGAATACCAGCCACTAAACCAGCAGCGACTGTGGACGAAATACCAGGAATTACACGAGGCACAATCCCATGTTGACGGAAAAACAAGACTTCTTCACCACCACGACCAAACAAATAAGGGTCTCCTTGTTTAAGACGGACCACATGCTTGCCTTGTTTGATGGCCTTTAAGGCAATTTCGTTAAATTCTTGTTGAGCAGCATCTGCATTCCCGGGGAATTTACGAGCAATCTTGAGTTCACATTGGACCAGGGCGACGATTTCTGCAGGCACGATTTTATCTGACAAGACCAGATCTGCTTCTTGAATGGCTTTGTGAGCGGCTAAGGTCAGTAGGTCAGGATGACCTGTGCCTGAACCAACCAAGGCTAAGCTGCCCCATGTTTTAGGTCCATGACTTGATGTGTCTGTATCTAAACTTTCATAACCTTCATCTTGATGATATGTTTCGAGTAATTCTTCCATGTCTTGATCTGATAATTGAGCCAGTCGATCCATACTCCAATACTCACAAATTTGAGCAAGCCAAGTCATGCGACGTATGCTAGAAGCGGAGCTTGGATCCGAAGCACGGACTTTTTTGCGCAACATGCCCATACGGTCAATGGCTTCACCTAAATGAGGAGGCAAACTGGCAGCCACATGGCGACGAATACGGCTTGAGAGTTTGGATGCTTGACCATTCGTAGACACTGCAATTTGAAGCGATTGGTCTCGATATGTGGATGTCATAAAGAAGTCGGATAATTCGCTGCAATCAGTAACATTGACAGGTACATGGGATGCACGAAATGTTTGCACCATGGATTCAAGTGTGTCTTGAGCATAGTTACAAATAAAGCCTAAATCAAATCGAATGCGGTCAAGTAAGTCAGATTGAAATGAAGAGCCAAGTAAAATGGCTTGGTGATGGTTGATTCTGTATTCAAGTTCGGGACACATGCGTGCTGGATTGGCAATCAAATAGACAGTGGCATCTGCTTCAAGACAAGACAAGACTCGGTTAGCAGCAATCGTATTGTCTCCAATCACAAGGACGTTTTTGTTTTTGCTTTGGAAAGCCAACATAAGTGAAGCACCACCTTGTGGTATAGGCACTCTAGGTTCAAAAGTCATTGTGTAAAGAGAAAGAAAAGAAAAAAGACAAATGAAAAAAATGTAACTGATATTTTTTTTTAAATAGCATAACCACTTGTCAAATCAGAATAACAAGCGATGAGGCAAATTGTGTTGTTTATCACCGAAACTCAGCTTGATTGGTTGAGAATGGCGTATAGCGATGGCGTGCCCGTTATCATCTTTTTCGAGCGCGACTGCTTTTCTGTGTTTATAGACTTTTATAGAGTTATCAATTGTTTGTTAGATAAACTTGTCATATGATTTTATTGTATTATCTTCTTTAAAAGTACAAGATAAGGTATCAAGAATACCCATAATTGAGCTAGATTTAGTATGGAATGATGGAGTTGAATAGGTATCTCAGTTGAGCTACCTTCAAAGGATCCAGTTTGATAGAATTGATGCATAAGTTGATCTTTTTCAACCCATCGTTCTAAATTCCAGTTATGAAACGCTTGTTCGTTTTCATGAGGTATAGCATCTATTTTAAATCGACGGATATGGACATGAATCTTCTTGGGGAAATGGCGAAAGAAAAAGATACTCTGTATTGTATAAACTTTCTCGGGAATATCGTTGCCATGGATACCAGAATAGCCAATTGTAAAATCATACACATCATCTACATTGTCTTTTAAGGCAGCGATACAAAGACGAAGGCCTGTTGATCTTGGTAACAGTGTATATCGGTTATCTTTCTATGAATTCTATCTGATAAGCTCAAGTTATTTTAAAAGGGATTTACCCTATCATTCTTTTCGGCATAAGCTTTGGATCTCAGGCGTGTGGATTCAGACACCACTTTTTAGTATGAGTCACCTGGTCTATCCATACTATTTCTTACCTGTTCCTTCAGGAAACAATACAAGCCACATGGGTTGATTGCTCTTTTTGGATCTTTCTAAATTCTGAACCATGTTGTCTTTATCTAATGCTAGTTTTCGCTTTAAAAATATAAAATCAAAGAACTGCATGCCCTATCATAATACTATGAATGACTGTCACTCTTTTGGACGCTAGCTTACTCTAACATTGAATTAGATACATATGATATGTAAATACAATCACTTACAATCCATAAACAGGTAAATGCTTTAGGCTCGCTTTTAAAATAATCTTGAGTGCACCATGCGCTTTAGCCAAGTAAGCAATACACCAAATATAAATCCAATCTGCATAAATCTAAAAAGGGTGGGTGAGTGAAGATATACCATAGCAACGGTTGCTTACTTGGTGATTAGCTGTAAAAATAGCGCGTTGAGGTAATACGAGTCGAGTATGGCCTTGTTCGTCTTTCTTGACGATAGACCCACAACTAGGATCCACTGTAAATACAATATCAGCAGGAGCAAACCATTGGACAATAGCCACCAAGTTTTGAGACCACATACGCATCGTATAGCCAATAAACATACGATAATAGTCATAAGAAAATGGATAGATACATAATGAAAATAGTTGTGTCAAAACAACCGTAGTTGACTGAAAAAATAAACCAAAATTAACAACAAGTATTTGAAAGAGTGTCTTTATCATTGAAATAGAAGAAAAAAGAAGAAAATAAAAATGAGTGTGTGGGACAGAAATTTATTGAGCAAAAACTTCACCACCTTGTTCACCAACAAAAGCACTAATTTTCTTGACTTGATTGTCCCATTCTTCAAGCTTACGTCTCATACCATCAATTTGGTCCTTGTCAAGCACACGGGGTTGAACCCAAGTAACAACGACCATTTGATCCACTTGGTCAATGGATCCACGAATAAGATTCAAAGACAATGCCTTCATCACCAAATGCTCTACTTCATCAACAGACAGACGTGTTTCTGCAGCAATTTCTGAAAAGGGGATCGAGCGATTGTCTGTTGAACGCTTAAAGATGGCTTCAATCAAAGACATTAAGCAAATCTTTCTTCTAAGACCAGCTTGGTTTTTTTCAAGTAAAGGTTGTTTGTTGAAATGAGGCACCAAGGCTTCAAATTTACCAATATCGCCTGAATTGAAAGCGAATAAAAGAGAACGGAGCCAGTCATGTTCAGTACCAGTAAGGGAATCCAGGATAGGGTGCATCAACTATTATATACATTATTCTTTCTATACATGGCTTGTATATACACTTACCAATTCACCAAAGTTATAAATCATATCACCCAATAAAGCAGAAAGTGAGAGATCATAAGCTCTTTCCATACGATCCATCACACTCAATTCTTCTACATCAACACAGGCCAAATACAACAAGGCACTCTTATAATATTGAGCATAATCAGCCTTGACTTTATAATATTCTGCACTGACACGGTAGAAACTAGCATAGATAATGGTCTCTACACTATCAAATCCATCTAGAATTTTCTCTGATTCGTCAATAGCCTTTTTAACTTGTTCTGTCTGATTTAACTTTAGCTTGAATTGTGCTGACTCCATCAGGGCAAGGACATAGACATCTTTAGTTTCAGGTGTATCTACTTTAGTGATAATGCCATCTAAAAAGCTAACAGATTCATTCGCATCTGTTCAAGTTTAGCCATCGCCTCTTATTTATTATATGTTCTTACCAGAGAATTGCTTGGCTACTTGAAGTGCAATAGTAACAAGGGATAACTTGTTAATCTTATCTTCCCATTCAGCAACAAAGTTTTGAAACAAAGACACTTGAAGAGCATTAGATTCAGGTTCCTTGAAGAAGTCCAATATTAAAAGTGTCAATTGATGCCATAACCTATCAACCAATGTCAGCAAAGAGATAAACAATAGACGCGTATAAATAATGCTGCTATTACTTTCTCTCGTAAAGATCCTCAAAGTTGGAATAATAGTGTTGGAATTGAGAAGGTACTTTTTGTCTTTCTTCAGAGAGGAATTTAGGAACATCAAAATCAACTTCCATAGATTGTGCCATTGTTCTTATACGTGTAATAGAAAAAAAAAAAGGTAAAAGGGATTGCGTGTCGTTTCTTTTTTCTTTTTCGCTAGCCAATAAAGTTTAGGCGGAGATACAATTGAGTTGACAGTTTTAATACGCTACTGATAGAATATTGTCATTGATCAATATGAATTATAATAAAACAGGTTTCTTATGCGCCACACCTTCTCTTCCTCTTAGGAAGCTCTTCTAACGGGTATATATCGACCGGAATTAACAGATTATTAGGTAGAAAGAGAAGGTGGTCCATAAGTTAATGGTGAAATGTAGAAGAAATAATAGTTATTGCACGATTTAGGATTACTTGTATTATTTAAAATCTGTCAAAGGCCAAGAAAAAAAAGATGTTATTCAAATATTGATAATTTCTGTTCCTGAGTAGAACATGATTATTATTGTTATTGTTATTATTTTGGACATGTCTTGTGAAGAGGAACACAGACTATGCAAGCTATTAGGTTTTAAGAGACTTCTACTCTTAACACTGTTTTCGCTGCTTCTTATTTTCTTTCCATTGAATAGGTCTCTCTAGTTTCAATCTATTGCTGTAGGAGCCTGAGCCTTAGTGCTTGATATATTTTTTTATGAATTGATATCATTTGATGAAAAATGAAGCTAGAGCTATGGAAATGACACCACAAGGCTCGCTCTCACATGGCTACAATATATTTGTATTTATTTTTTTTTTTTTTGAAGGGGGAGGGGTACACTGACAGGTGTGCTGAAATAGCAAGTATGTCAATTGTGAACCAAAATAAATTGTACATAGAAAAAAATTGCAGTTCGCTAGTTTTTTTTTTTTTTTTTTTTTTTTTTTTTTTTTTTTTTCATGTGGGATAACTACTAATGATTGTGCTTAAATATGGCAATGTAAGACGTCTAGATGTAATGACAATAACAGTGTAAGGTTCATCAATCCTAATAAAAACGAGTTGCAGTTGATTGTAGTTGGTTAGTCACTCGGTCTTCTCTTTTTGCTTGATCTTGATAGGTGATATGAACTATGAGAAAGCCACGATCTCGGAGGGTTGCATTGTTGACGGTGCATTGAACTGTTTGCTGATAAAATACTATCTTCTGCTTTTCTTACGTTTCCAAGTATGATGTTCTGTTTGTATTATTTAGAAGAGAAACTAAACACTTTGTTTTTACCTTAATTTGAATAAGCTTGGATATGAAGACAGGCAACAGATGTAATTCATAGACGTTTCTACATAAAGTTAAACTTGAGAGCTTAATCAAGCGGTAAGTCTGAGGAGAAGGCATATCCATCATGAACGTGTATAAGTTCTCTCCTTGGCATAGTAATCCGCATAGCTCTGGTTGGGGTGTTCTTTTCTGCACTATGTCATTGTACATCAGTTTCATTTGTTTTCCTAGTTTGACCAAGTCGGATTCAACACTCGAGTTATATGACTTTGGCTTAAATTCTGCAACAACAACAACAAGCTTGATATTAATGCAACGAGTAGAAACTTGAAAGTCTGGTTTAAAAGACAAATCTTGATTTAATGCGCCATTTGCCCTATGAAAATGCATTAAATAGGTCTATTTTAAAGCTGTTAACATAGTTACCATCGGACTCCGAATCTCTCATTTGTGCTGAAGATTGATTGTAAGATGGGTGCTAGATAATGATGTACGTAGGAGTCTTCAACCGAGCAATCATCTGATCCGGCAACAAGCACAGGTAATCTAAGTGAATATATGTTACTAAAACACATTGGCGTTTATGTATATTTACAACTGTGTCAAACTATGGGCCACATGAAGATCAACTTCATTATTCTGTTGAATGGCTTGACATAAGAAATTACTACACAATTTCAACGTTGACATAAGATCATTAGGTGGATCCTTTATATGGATAAGGTCATTAATTATCTATATAATCCTAACTTACTTCAATAACCTCAAGGCACCAAGCATGAGCTTTGTTTGGCTTAGGAGGGCGATAAGAGTTAAAGTCGATATCAGACATAATCAGTTTATGTAGGTCTACTCCAAAGTATTTGGTTACAGATTTATCAATCTTTTCATCAAATATATATATGTCATTCAATGCTCTATAAAATGAAATGTTTATGCTCAAGTATTTTTTTTTCTCTCTCTCTACTTACAGTAATCTGATATCTGAAAGACTAGATGGATTCTTTTTTAAACCTAACGTATTTTCTTTCATTGATTTGCATTTATCAGACACATTGAAATTCTCAACAATCCAATCATCGTCATCATCATCGTCTTGTTTATCTGTTTCTTCAGAGAAGTCATCATGGTAGAGAAAATAGCCAGCTTTTCGCTGAAGATGGTGGTTCAAAGTCAGATCTGATGGAAAATCTTCAATTTCGCCATTTTCTTGATCATTATCTTCTTGCTCTTCCAACTAAAAACATAAATATATGGCATTTAATGCTTTATGAATTTTCTCGCTTACAGTTTCGTATGACTTTGAGCCTGACACTAATTCATCATAATACTCATCGTTACACTGTGATGTTATTAGAGTTGCATTTCTGAATCCTTGTTTTCTGTTGTATTTTCTCAGTTCCTGCGTTCGAAATTTTGTGATCTTTAAGGCGAAATTCTTATCAAACAGACTTTTGATATGATCTTGCTTTAAATAATGACTACATTTCAAGCTATATGAGGCTAGCGCAATATTGTTTTTCGTTTTTTGATGTATTGATTCCAAAGAGGTAACAATACTATTAAAGACTTCTGTACTTTCAAGCGTATCGTGATAACATTTAATAGACTCAGCAATCAGTTTAGTCACTTCAGACCATTGAGTTGTTGGTAGATTGTTGAATACTTTATCAATCATCAATGAACTGCATTGTTTCTCTGTCAATTTGAATCTTCTGATTGTCTTTTCCGGATTAGGTCTTCTTATTATTGAATTACTACGCTCTGTTTTTCTTTTAGGCATAGTATATTTTATCAAAGTGAAAAGAAAAAAAAAGGTCAATTCTTGATGCATTAATTTATATGCACAAACATTCACAAAGCGTGACTGCAATTTTGCAACTTTTGTGAAAGTTTGTCTATCTCTTTTTTTTTTTCCTATCCTTTCTACTATGTACTTACTATCCTTATAAGAAAAAGAAAAGTAGCTGAGCAAATACAATCAGTCATTAAGACCTGGGAGAAGCTAATGTAACCGCCAATACGTCCGCCGGTTATTGTCTTTATGGCTTTAAGGCTTGGCAATGGGTGCATTTTGGGGACACCAGGCTGATTGTAGTAGCAAGTTCTAACCTTTTGCCATTATCGTATAAAGGTTATGGGATGGCGGTCACAATATAAATCCTGAACTGTTACGCGTATTTGTATAGTGTAGTCAGTCATTAAGACCTGGGAGAAGCTGATGTAACCGCCAATACGTCCGCCGGTTATTGTCTTTATGGCTTTAAGGCTTGGCAATGGGTGCATTTTGGGGACACCAGGCTGATTGTAGTAGCAAGTTCTAACCTTTTGCCATTATCGTATAAAGGTTATGGGATGGCGGTCACAATATAAATCCTGAACTGTTACGTGCATTTTCAGCTTCACTTGTTTCTATGTGATATCAATGTTATTCCAAGGTAATTTTTAATACAATCTCTTCAAGCTTTAGTTTATAATGCTCTAACAATGTACTTTACTTTTACCGCTATTTGTCTTGATCTGAATCGAGCCTGGGTATAAAGTCGGGTTGACAAATAGGCCAGCGTATATCTTTGGGACTTGGTTGTAGTATGTATGCCCTCGGCCAGATTAATCGTGTGAGCTTGAGTGGTTCTCCATACCATTGACAATAGCCTTCCCTTAGGTTCTTCTCTACAAAGCCGAGCTATTGGACGTGGCTTCAAGATCAATGTCTGTTTATTTAATTCGTGTACTATGTGGCCAATTGAAGTCATTGAAACAGTTAGCTAATTAGTGGTATTAACATAATCTAATTCTTTTATTGTTGTTTAGTGTATCATAAAAAAGAAGACACTTATTACTTATGAATTATATACTTTGTTGGAAAATAAAATAAAATATTAAATTCTAGAGATTAAGCAGAACATAAGTAATGTTTATTGTTAGTAAAGGAGGCTTGGCTAACGGTCTCTTGCGACTGGCAGCTAGGACTATCCAAGGCTGTTACTGGAGAATCAGAACCGCATTCTATTCTTGTCATATTCATATAAATCCTAGTTTTTTGGTCGTACCACATTAGGCTTTAAAAATGCCTAATACGCTATTTTATTATACTATGGCAAAAATATTTAAAATTGTGTTTACTAGATCGATACAAGAGGCAAACAGAAGAAGCATTACTCTCTCTAGTTCGGGGAACTGTTGTGTGACAAAGCAAGATGAAATTGAGTATAAAGAATCTGAATGGCATTTAAACTATCAAGGATGGATGTATGGATCGTTAAAACTAAATTTATAAACTTATATATTGTTTTTGTCTAACAATGAGAGCATTTGTCTATTTTAACGCATCTTCTATGCAGAAACATTTCTTTTAGCTCATCATATTTGACGCTTGCTTAGAACGACACCATTTGTCCAGTCAGCACTATTTATTTTCTCATGAATTTATCCACGGCATGAAATGTTTCCGCTGAATTTTAAAAACAAAGGTATATAAACATTGAATGAAGTGAATGTTGATATATTATGATGAACACTACAAAAGCAAAAGGAGATATTAGTTCTGTCTTTTCCCATCTCGGAGGCAAAGAAAACACTTTGGATCTTTCTCTGTTGGCCCTCAAGAAACAGATTTGTCCTCAAGACCCTATTGTGATCACGAAGGCCTATCAGCGTCTTTTAGAAGCCATAGAACAAGCCTCACAGGACATCAAGGCTAAAGGATCGATGGCTGTGCCTCAAATCAGTCTGAAAACAATTGAAGCGAATGGGGGTCGATTTCCAGATACGATGGCTGCCGAAATTCGTCGCCATGGTTGTGTGGTCATTCGTGATGTGATTCCTGAACAAGAAGCAAGAGACTATAAGCATCAAATTCAAGCGTATTTAAACAACCATCCAAATCAAGTGGAAGGTTTTCCTAAGCATGATCCTCAGGTCTGGGAATTGTATTGGAGTAAGTCACAAGTAGCTGCAAGAAGCCATGCTGGCTTTGAAAAGGCTACATTGGCATTGAACACACTCTGGCATGCGAGTGAACACACGGCCATTGATCTGACCAAGAATTTGGGTTATTGTGATCGTCTTCGTATTCGTAAGCCTGGAGATAGCTTATTTGCTTTACAAGAGCATGTGGATAGTGGATCTCTGGAACGTAAGTAGTGATATATCAGTATACATATTCATTCTATATCTATATAGGCTGGCAAGATCCTGAATATCGTCAATGCTATACAGATATATTTCATGGTGAATGGGAGGTAATTCTATTGTTTAGTCTAAAGTTATTTTGACCGCGAAGATCAGAAATATGATCCTTTTGATGCTACTCATCGCGTAGAAGCTCGTATGGATTATTATAATTCCCCTGGAGGTTGTTCTGCTTTCAGAAACTTTCAAGGCTGGGTTGCTATTTCTGATATCAAGACTGGTTCTGGTACGCTTCGCGTATGTCCTCTTTTAAAAGAAGCCACTGCTTTGTTCTTGATGAAACCATTGACAGAAGACTATATTGACAAGCTGTAATGTTTGATTTTTATTCTGATGCCATTTGACTCATTTTAGACCTGTAGGGACTATGTGGGTGCTTATCCTGGCTTAGCTCAAGGTATTGATAAACAGGATTATCCTCAGATTGTTGATAATATGGTCTCTATGCCTGATGTGAAGCCTGGTGATGCTGTCTTTTGGTAAAATAGGACACATAAGATATGTATCTCATCCATTTATAGGCATTGTGATTTAGTTCATTCAGTTGAATCTAAACATGAAGGTCAAGTTGATTCTTCTGTTCTGTATATTCCCTCTGTCCCTCTTTGTCGTATTAATTCTGAATACTTGAAACAACAACGCGATGCATTCATAAAGGGACTGTAGGTGAGATGCGTATTATATATTAAATCTAATTTGTTTTTGCTATTAGTACACCTCCTGATTTTCCTGGAAATCATTTTGAACAGCATTTTGAAGACAGAATGAAGCCTGAAGATTTAGATGAACCAGCCAAATTAAACATGGGATTCATTGAGTTTCCAACATTGCCAAGTGATGCAACTGTGGGTCAAAAGAAGGCTTTGGAGCTACACCATCATATCCTTGGTTTCTTAAATAAATAAGCTGTGTTGTTTAAAAGTAATTGTTCTCCTGAACGATCTTGCCAAGAGCAATCAGTCAAAAAGCCTTTTTTATTATTATTGTTGTTATTATTATTTCTTTTCTTTTTCTACAATACATCCCATTACATTCTTTTTCTTAAAAAAACCCATTACTTTCCTTTACTTTTTCTATGATGAAATCAGTCCGTTTCTACTTAAACAATACATCATTTGATAGTCAATATACATTTGAACTTCAAGGCTATGTAAGTTAAAATTCAAATGCATTCTCATATTGACTCCATTAGATTTCACCTCAAGATTTTCAATTCATTATGGGCACATTGAATGCAACTGTACTTGATGCTTTACCACCTGGAGACAAAATAATTTGGTCTATAACATTATGTGTCCTTTGGTTACTGGGTATCATGACTCATTGTCTATCATGGCATTATACCCATCGAAACAGTCTTCCATTCCTTTCTTGCTTTATGATCTTTACTACTCTCTTGTTTATCTGGCGATACCGTTCACTTCGACAAAGGGTAAGTTGGCTTGAAAACACTATCTAGACTCACTAGGACTTTAGTTTGAAATTGCCATGTTGAATACATGTCACCAAATCAATGCCACTGAAAATATTCGAGGTATTCATGTCCGATTAAGTCAACAAAATCCAAATAAGATGTTGTCTACTGTCTATGTAAGTTATACAAGTGAGTTGAATGACACTCATATTCTTTACCAAAAAGTCGATTGTGATTGGATTTGATGACAGATACAATACACTCTCAAGTCAACAATTCAATCGCTATTCCTCTGTGGACTTTGTTACTGTACCTTTGAATGTCCATAGAATGTCAAAGGACGATAAGAATAACAGCAGCATTTGGGCTAAACAATACCCAGCTTATTATGATGAAAAATACATCATTCCGTATCATCTTTAGTTACTCCCCTCAATAAACAATCTCTCCTCATTCTAACTCCTTGACTATCCTCTCCCTGTGTATGAATGCATCATTGAAAAAGCCAATGGACTTCGTGACCGTCAAAACGAAACACTTTTTTCTTTTCTTTTTTTTAAACAAGAATGGATACAACCGAGATTCTTTCATTGACGTTAGAGCAGTTGGAAGAAAGACACAAAGCAGAAAAAAAGAAATTGACAGACAAAATTATCACGCTTCGTAAAAGTGCACCTAAAAGTGACAAGAGAAAGAAACGTGAAGTAGCTTCTAAAATAGCAGATCTTGAATACGATCTTAACAAGAAACACCAAGAAGAACTAAACCTACTTAAGGCAAAAGAAACAGGCCTCGATCCGAACGAACAAGAGGTATATTGGATCACTATGGCATGTGTATTGACTCTTTGTCTTAGTCCGAACAAGACAATGATGGTATTTCTCTAGACCGTCTCAACGAACTCACACTTGAAGATAAACAACAAAAGCCTGAAGAGCAGCCTCAGCCAAAAGCTAAAAAAGTCAATCGAGCCAGACAAAGAATTGAAAAGAGAAATGCAGAAATGGAACGCTTGCGTCAAGAAGCAGAAAAAGAAGCAGAGAATCAAGTGGATATGTCTGTCGTGGAAACAGAGGCTATTCAGAAATTACTAGACCCAATGCAGTTAAGAATCAAGCAAATTTCTGCTGATGGTCATTGGTAAGCTATGATTGAATTTGTGATGTTGCTGACAAATACAAAGTTTGTACAATGCTTTTGCAGACCAATTAAAGATGCGATATGAAGATGTGGTTAGTTATAAAGATCTTCGAAAATCAGCTGCTGAATATATGCGTCAACATCCTGATGATTTCACTCCCTTTTTGTACCTTGAAGATGGTGACTTTAATCGCTATTGTCATGATATTGAGAATACAGCTTGCTGGGGTGGCCAATTAGAAGTAAGTTTGAATACAGTGATCAGTCCATAACGCTATTAGATCTTGGCTTTGGCAAAAGCAAAACAAGTGCCTGTAGATATTGTTCAATATGGTGGTCCTGTCATTCGAATTTGTGAAGATGAATACCCAAACAAATCACCTATCAAACTATCGTAAGTTGATGAGCCAATAAGACATGATTAAAAAATTTTTTTTTTTTTTTTTTTAGCTATCATAAACACCTTTATTCATTGGGTGCTCACTATAATTCCTTGACTGACCAATAAAATCTGTTCATTATGGTACTTTTTGTCCATTCAATGGTCTTTATTTTTGCGCCATTTTACAAGTGTAGATCTATTTTGATTATAAATACAAGCTGTCAGATTTTTATGTTTTCTTCTATTCTTTTTATATCTTTGATTAAACATGACTACAGGTCCTATTGAAAAAGCTACTTTTGCTGCTGGTTGTTTCTGGGGTGTTGAACATATTTACAACAAACATTTCAAAGACCTTGGTATTGAAACCAAGGTAGGCTATATGGGTGGTGAACTCGAAAACCCTACTTATAAACAAGTCAAGACGGGTACAACAAACCATGCTGAAGTATGTCAAATTCTGTTTGATCCTTCCAAGGTTTCTTTTGAAACATTAACTGAATTCTTTTACAAGATGCATGGTAAAGTAAAATAAAAACAAACGAGAGATAACTCATGGTTATTATAGATCCTACCACATTAAATGCTCAAGGTCCCGAAGATATTGGTACTCAATATCGCTCTGCCATCTTTTATCACAGTGATGAACAAAAAGCCATTGCTGAAAAAGTCACAAAAGAAGTGCAAGAAAAGCATTATGCTGATACCAAGATTGTCACTGAAATTACACCTGCTGCTACTTTTTATGATGCTGAAGAATACCATCAATTCTATTTAGAAAGAAACCCTGAAGGTTACGCTGTAAGTTTTTTTTATTATTATTATTCGTTTTTGTGAATTTATAGAGACTTATTCGTTCTATAGTGTCCTACACATTACCTTCGTTGGTAAATCTTACCATTGAATTATTTCAACATATATCCCTTCTTTTTTTTTATGAAGACATTTGTAATATATTTATACATAACCTATTTTTTTTAAAGAGTTTTTTTTTCCGCTGATTATTGTACATTTTGTGTGCCTGAAGGAACCAATTGACCAAAGTAACGAATAAATCATCCTGTATTTTTCCCACACTTGTATGCTTGTGTTACTCTGACAAAATGTTTATTAAATAAATCTAAGAGACAACTAAAGCTGAACCACAATGAATGCACCAAGAGCAATGAGTAAGGATAACATTCGTAATCAGTGTATTTTCTTTTTCATCAGGATATAAGCTTTTAGCTCCACAAGAAACACATTTGCGTGTAATGGGAGAATGCAAAACACGCTTTGTCATACTGCAGAGTTCTACAGGAAAATCAGTACTGTTACCTCCTTTTTTTTTGTTCTTACCCCAGAAATGACCAGCATCGCATTGAGCCAAAGAACTGCTATTGATGACTTGAACATGCGCTTGACACACAAGGCATTTCTCTCTTGCTTTAGGTTCAAATACAATACTTGCATCTTTTGCTGAAGTAACATAACTGATTTCTTTATATAGATCTAAATCAGGGAATTTGTCTTGAAGTCGAGCATAGATTTCCATACTCTTTTGAATCATGGCATCATTGCCTGTCATAACAGCTGTGTCCGACAGCAGTAACAAGACCATCTTATCTTGTTCTAGCATAGAATTAGAAACAATCAGACCTGAAAAAAAAATTACATACCGCTCAATCCAACAAACTCTTGATCTGATAAGTTTAAAGCAAAGCCAAGAATCGTGCTTAAATAATGCGTTTGAATTAAAGCACTAGCACTAGTATAAGCCTGCTTTAATTCATGTTCAAACACCTGAGGACTATAGTTCTATTGAATAGGTTAGACTAGATAGTCTATAATAAACAGCCTACTTTTAATTCTAAATTGGCATTGACCAAGATTCTAGAGGCAATCATGCTTGGTTCACTGTAGATTGTTCGGGTCATATCATCATAGTCACTATGAATGGATCAGGCATAAGTGTGTGTGTATACTGTATTTACCTAGAGGGTTCTTGTTTAAAATACTCGCACAACTTTTCTAACCAAGTATAAAATGGCTTTGACATATCATCGTCTACAAGGTATTGCAATATTTCACGCACTAACCCTTTGATGGACCGAACAAAGACTAAGCTAGTGTTAAACATGATTAACATATCGTATGATGCTTACTGAAATCAGGATCATTCACATAAGCATCAATGTCTTTGCAAAGTATATCGATATCTTGATTACGCTCTTTTTGTAAAATAAAAGCCAAAGTAGAATCTTCACCTGATTCTGGTCCATAACGTACATCCACATTCGGTATCAAACTAAACAAAGGAGGTATGAGCTTCGTTTAGTCAGACAACTCAAATCTACCTAAAGTAAATAGCCGTAAACAAATGATGAGGTGCATCACAGGCGCCCCAGACATACGGTGTAGCATCTGAAGCACCAATAATATGATCATCCACTCTCATTTGTTCTTCTGCCCATTGCTGTTTGTATTTCTGTAAGAGCTTTACGTTCAGTACAGCGTTGGTTTGTGAGTCCATGGCTAGTGTGTCTATATCGATCGAGATCCCTTCTCCTTCCATAGTATAGGTAGTAAATACATTGCCTTGCCAAACACCACCTGCTAATCCCAGCATAGAATGGGCTAAATCCACACTCTTCCATTCACTTTCTACTGCATCTAAGGTGAAACTGTTTAGATAGAGACAGACACCTTTGCATAAAGCAATCTGAATACGAGGTTCATGATCTGTATTGAAGTTATCTGTGGTCTTGATCAAAGTGATATGTCCTGGTTGTTGATCAAACCAGGTATGCACAACCTTGGCTTCTGTCTTTTGAATCCATGTCCTTTTTTCAGTCACCAAGAGTTCAGCTTGCACTTTAGACAAAGCCACTGTACCATCAGTACAACTGGAGACAACATAAGTCATGTCTAACAAAGAATAAGTGAATGGATTGGTATGATAGCTTACATGTTGTCTCGTTCAATTTCTTCCAATCTGTCCAGTCTAATAAGTTGACAAAAGATGTATGTGGTGTGATAACAGTGGCAAATTCGAACCCAGTATCAATTGTGTAGGTCCAAATGTTGACATCGCCTGCTTTGTTGCTTAAGGCAAGTAATGTTGGCTTTGTTGCCAATGAGTTAGGTATTAATCGCTTTGACCAACTGGCATCTAGTGATGTTTATGAGTATGAGTTGCATGTCTATCGAAACATTACATAGTGTATGAAAAGGGTTGATCTTGGTAGGGTGGGTATGCTTGATTTGATGGTGTTCAATGCGATTTGTCAAATCTTCTGCCTATATCTATGTTAGATAATGTATCAATATGATTCAACATACTAATTTCCAGTCTGAATTTAAAGCATCTTTCGTTGGACTCTGATAGATCAAGACACGATGTTTGGTTGTCACTACAACCAAGAAAGGACTAGGGCATGTTGATACACTATATACTATGCATAATGAATCCTACCTTTGAGAAGAAGATAAGCCTGCTGAAGACCAATTGGCACAACGAAAGCCTTCTTCATTTAAATAAGAGGTCTGAACATGTTCCATATTGGTAATAATCGTATTTTCTGTCTTTTTCTCAAGAGGAGGTAAGAATAAACCAGCGTGGCTATAGGTTTCTTTTTTTGAAGTCATGCCCACAAGAATAGGTGTCTGATAGTAACTTTTATTTTATTATTTTTGCGCGCGTCAATATGTATTATTTACCATGATATGAACTTGGTTAGCTAAACAGATAACCAACTGACCATCCTCATTCCACTTTATACAGTCGTTAAAGTAAGGCTTATTCTTGAGTGAAATCCCTGGTTGGTTTTCCATACGATCTAGATCTTGAAAAAAAAAAAGAGTGAAAAAATTAAAGTGACAAGACTTTTATCCCAGCCACTTTTGACATTTTGCATGAACTTTTATGATGAGACACTCTATTCATTTCACTATCGATTTGGGGAGGGGGGGGGGAAGGGGGAAAGTGCTCATTTGTGCACACGTATCTATAGTTTGTTTTCAAAAGGACTGTAATTGTAAGTATCTCATAAACAATAATAGGTTTCATGGTAGCTTCTTTCAGCGCAAGATGTCCATTCAATTATACTAAAGAACATTCTAATTGAAATAAATGCACCTTCTCTATCAGAAAATATGTTCGTGTTCTTCATAAGTTAATTCAGGCAACAAACCATTAAAAGGAACAGACAAATATACAGCATTGCATAACTACATAAAGGGAGCATAAAGCCTATTCATACCCACATAAATGATATAAATACCTGCAAGCTATGCTTGCTATCATATAGGATACCTTTGGAGTTGATCTGGACTAAAAAAAAAAAGAAAGAAAAAAAGAAAAGATACCTTTCGACCAAAGAGTATCAGCCGTGAAAATATTGAACTGGACAACCCTTTGAGCTTCTTTTGAGCACTACAAGACGAGAAATGGAGCTACCAACAAGCTTAAATACTCAGAGTGAGCACAAGACGCTCTAGTGTATGATCAACGCGTTTGTCTGCTGATTGTTCTATGGAAATAATGCGATATGACCTAAAAAACCTCATAAGCATGTTTGCGTATTTGGTTCATATTTCACTAGTAAAAATGCCATGTTCTTTGCCTCAGTAGACTTGGAAAACAAAACACTATTATTTTTGTTACTACGCCAAAGTCATACAACTGCGCCTTTAGGTTGTTCTAAGCAAAATGCTCGATTTGGATGTGGCGATAGAAAGAAGTGATTTACTTCCATTTTTAATTTCCGCTCTTTGGCCATCAAGTATGTCCTATATTCATTTACTCTATGTTCGCATCATAGATAGACCGTGTTCTTATTTCCTTGTGTTCTATATCACACTAGATATTACATGATGCTCTACAAGATTTTATAGCTAGCAAGTTCTATAGAATGCCTGTAACAAAAATGGTCAAACCACAGCTTAAACATGCCAATCTTTGATGGACCATTACTCGACAGCCACGCTATCAAAATGGTCCATTTTTTTTTTTTATTTAAAGCATGTTCTTTGGAGCCCAGAAATCGAATGGTACTATTGGTTTGGTTTCTATATGAAATTTATTTCTTGAATCATGGAGGATCCACAGAGGTTCGTGAAGCTAAAAGGATTTTTGGAATGAGCCATTGTAGGCCTGATACAACTGAAATCGGGTAAGACCATGACTAGGTACTTCTTGCAAAAAGAAAACGGGTCTGCTAAGATGAAACAGGCGAGTTCATTTGAGCATTGGCATTCAAAGCTGGTTATACACTGTAAATGCTTATGTGAAGCGATCTATTATTTAATGTAATTATGCTTTTTAGAACTCTTTTTTTGTCATACAGCAGAATTTTTTTTTTTTTTTTTGTTAACCTCATCCACCAAATATGCTTCAACACACTTACAACAAGAGGTAATACAGAAGTATGATAATGAACAATAGAAAGCAATCACAAAAACGTACATCAGTCAATAAAAGCGCAATTCCATATTTTTACCTGTATAGAAAAAGATTCATTAATTCATCATTTAGTTACATAATTTCTTGAGAATCCATGATATCGAATGGAAACCGAAAACCGGTCTCTTAACAAATTGGTTTAAACATGGAAAGTAATCACACGTTTGATGTATTTTAGCTTGGATAAAAAATCTACAGAAAAGTAATAATCACTTTAGTCATTTTACAAAGTTACACAAGTGTAATTTAGACAGACGCGCACAATAAGGAAAAAGCAGAATATCTTTTGTTAATTTAATACAGCTTGAGAAAATAAGGAAAAATAACTAGGATAGAACACTGAGAAAGGAAACACATAATATATTGACACTATAAATACGAACCTTGCTTATTTTATTTTATTTTGTTATTATTATTATCATTGCTTTATTCTTATCAAACCAGCCCCATTCCTTTCATTTCAAATTATGCAAATTTCAATCATTTCGATTGCAATGGCTATTTCTGTCATTGTGCCTTTATCAGCACTTGACATGAAAGAAGACATTGCTATTGTTCATGGTAATTTAACTGCTCGTTTTGCTGCTAGTTATCTTGCCCCTTTTGCCCCTGAAGGCGCTACCGAGCCACTCTTTGAATTGATTGATGATCATGAAGATTTAATTCAAAAGCGTGATGGTACACTTGTTTCTTTAAGAAGACGTGGTGATGACTGTCAAAAATATCATAAAGGTAAAGTACATATATATATATATATGTTATACTGTTCTCTCATCGATTTTAAGCTGTACGTGATGATAATTGTTATACATTAAGTCTCCAATACAACATTGGCATGTCCAGTCTGTATGAATGGAACAATCAGATCAACACCAAATGTACCAACCTTTATCCTGGTAAAAAATACTGTGTCAAGAAACACAATGAATCCACTTTAGAAAAAACCTGCGTCGATTCTTATTATGGTAGGCTTCAGATCATCAAACTACTTTTATATTCATTCTAGCCTATAGTCAAGAGCAGCGATAATTGTTTAACGGTAGCCAAAGCGCATAGCATTTCTTTGGATCAATTCTATGACATGAATCCCTCTGTTAACCGAGACTCTTGTGATAATTTGCTAACAGGTGGAACTTACTGTGTAAAGGAGTCCATGGTTTCCAAACATGTTGCTGATAAAGTATCTAAGAAAAAGACGTCTGTAAAGAAGATCAAGACTAAAAGAAAGAAGAAGACTACTACCAGGAAGACCACCAAGAAGACCACCAAAAAAAAGTCCGTCAAAAAGTCTACAACCAAAAAGACAACTACGAAAAAGGTTGCTCACAAAGTAGCCAAGAAGACCACCATCAAGACGACAATCAAGAAAAAAACAGCCACAAAAAAGACGACAACCACCAAGAGAAAGACCACTATCAAAAAGACTACGAAAAAGCCCAAGACGACGGCGAAGACGACTAAAAAGACAACCATTACTACAAAACCTACCACTACCAAAGTTGAAGAGCACAAGGCCACCAGTACCTCTACCGACAAACGTAAATTACTTCAAAAAGGTTCTGCCTTGACTTATTACTGGATTGCTCATCCTGAAGACTATGACCACAGTGGCAAGTCCATTACTGTCAAGACATGTGATGGCAAAAGTCTGGGTACTGTTTCTCAAGAATATGCTGATGCCTTGGTCATGGAAGGCACCGGTATCGTTGGTGATAAAGTCATTAATTTAGGTGGTTGTACCTGCAAAAATTATGAATGCTTTATGGAAGTCGATAAAAAAGAAGACCCTTTTGGCTTAACAGGTAACAGATATGCTTCATGAATTTAAGCTGATCTTTATGTATAGCCTATGGTAGCCCTCTTCGTCCTTTTATCACCATTGCGGCTAACGATATTAAACGCAACACAAAGATTTTTGTTCCTGAAATTGAAGGGTGGGACATTCCCGGTACTTCTAAAAAGCACAATGGCTGTTTGCTTGTAGATGGTAAACGATACGCATATAAAATACAATGCACTCATAAAATACATAGACCAAAGTTGGAGTTTTGATAATAATCATATTGACTTGTATGTCTACCGCGAAAAACATTACCGTACTTTAAACAGTGAACACAAAGTCAACAAGGTCGATATTTATGAAGGCGGTGATTGTCACCTTTTAAACTATTCTTGAATAAATAAAGTTTTTCCAAATGCTGTTGTGATAAACTGTCCTTCTTTTGACAAATGAGCCACTTGTTGACGGGGTAAAAGATAAGGTTCATTTGATTTCATAAAAGTACCCCAATGAATGCCTACAGTGAAGGGAGATCCTAAATGGTGATGAGCTTTCACTGCTTCTTCTGGGTTCATATGGTTTGATTTCAACAAGCGACGAGGTTCAAATGTACCAATGGGTAAAGCAGCCAAAGTAAAAGGAGCATACAGGTCCCGGATAGCATCAAATAATTCAGGAACATAGCCTGTATCACCACTATATAAAACAATTAGACTTTTTGTGATGTTCAATGTGAACACTTGCCAAAAAAAGAGTCGGTCTGATTTTGACTTGATGACAAAACTACACCACAAAGATTCATCTTTTTCAAATGCATGTCCACTTGAATGCTAACAGTGCATAAGAACATAAATATATAGAAAGACGCTTACCATAGCAGGCACACATGCTATTAAAATATCAGGTCTTCCTTTATGGTGTAATTCTTGAAACCAGTCTAATTCTATCACATTGTCTATACCTCGTTTGACAAACCATTCCCTTAATCCTAATGGAATATACCAAGTCACTTCATTACCAAACTGTAAGGCTGTCTTTTCATCTATCAGAGTATAAGCCTATGTTTTCCCACTGGTGTGTATTACCTAAATGATCAAAATGATGGTGTGAAATCAAAATAATATCCACACATCCTTTTAATTCTTCTAGTTGGCATGGTGGAGGTCTTAGGCGATCCTTGTGTTCAAATATAGGATCTGTCAAGATACGGAGTCCTTCTAAGCTAAATAAACAAGTGGATTGTCCTAACCAAGTGAAACTTGTCTTTTGTGTATGTTTAATTTGGTCTATGTCTGGTTTAAACATAGGTAAAGAGGCTACCAAGTCCTAATTCGGGCATATGAATAAGCCAATACACAGATATGTGTAAGTCTTACCTGCTCTATTTTAGGTAGTTGATTGTTATTGTTGATACCAAGCCAGTACAAGAAAGAATCCTTCCAGGACAATGTAGGCCATGTCCATTCTGAAAAGGGGTTCACAAACTGTTTCTCAATCTTGAGAGAAGCAAACTTGTCTTCTTGACGTTTACAGTGTTTTCTTTTGGATATCACTCTAAGTCGAATCGCTTCTTTCAAGTCCTGTTCATGTTGTGCCTGAAGTGAGTAATACAACAAGGCAGATGCACCCACAGTCATCACAAGTGTAGGGATAGTATAAGGATGATCAAATGGTATAGGAAAGTTAACAAATGAAGGTCGTTTATGGTTCATGTCAAGATGAGGAGAAAGAGAAAGAGAGAGAGAAAAAAAATATTTTATTCAAGCGTGTCAAAATCATCTTTTATGCCAAAGGTTTGATCAAACACAGCTCGTTCCATGCCAAATTTGTTTACACAATAAGACTGAATTTCCCATACACTTTCAGTCCATCGATTGGCTGCTTCTTTAGCTATTTGAGCAGCATGTTCTAAGCTGATCAGTAGAGGCTACATACACTGTGTATTTTACCTTTCTTTTCATAAAGGGTCGGGTCATTGTCTTTGTACTGTTGAATTTCTTTTAAAAGGGCTTTTGCTTCTTGTTCAAGTTGTTCTAGTTCTGATAATACCTGTTCTCTTTTATCTGAAGGTTGTCTATCTTGTTGTGCTTCTTCAATAGACTTCTCTAGTTTTGTCTTGCGCTCATTTTCCTTATTTACTTTCTGCTGTAAATCCTTTAATCTGTTTGTTTTCTAGACTATTGTCAGTGTATGCTCTATTATTTTTGCTGCTTACTGCTTTGAGTGCTTCAGATGGATAAGACCAAAAGTAATTGGATGTGCCAATCTTATCTGTAACAACTAAACCATCATCCACTAGACTCATCAAGACTTCTTTTACAGACTGAGCCACTGTATTGCGATGAGTAATGTCCATATTTCAGTCAATACCACTTGCCTACTCCCTTTTTAGGGCCCATCTTTTCAACGTCTTTTAACTGATAGAATTCACCCTAGGATAAAATTGCATGAATAACAAAAAAGATGCTTGTCAATGACACATACACTATCATGAAATATTTGTTCAATGCGTTTACGTTTCTCTTCAAAAGAAAGACCTTTCTAATAAACACTTGCGTTAGAAAGAAAAGGAATGCATGAGGGTTGTCATTTTACCACCATGGTATGTTGAAAGAAAAAAAAAAAGAAGAAAAAAAGAAAACGGCTTCTTTCTTTTTATACATGTCGACTATTTATCGATCGAAACCAGTGATTTATAAACCCAACGATCCGTTCTTTCAAGAAGGAAATGTAGCTCTTCGATCTATATGGCTACAAAAAGAAGCAGAGACAAAGCAAGAGATCGCTATGATTCAACAAGAAACGATGGATCTTATGAATGAGTATACTGTTCAGATTGACTGTGATCCATGTCGCATCAAGTTCCCTTCTATCAGTGCCTATCAATACCATTATGAAGCAGTGCATCAACATGTATGTTCTGTATGCCACAAGATATTTCCTGGTGAACGGTGGTTACAATTCCATCTGGATGAATTTCATGATGTCTTGTTGCAGATCAAGAAAGAAAAGGGTGAAAAGATTGTAAGTTCAAACAGAACATGGCATGAGTAATAAGGTAGCATAAATGTTATGTAGAAGATTGCATCAAGGTCTTTTCAACACCTCGTATGCGTAGACTTCATCTGGTAGACAAACATCATTATCCAAAGTATTTTCCTTTTGATCTTGTCTATACAGGCACATTGACTTTTGCTCAACGCAAGATACGCGACAAAAGAAAGAGAAATGTCGATATGCACGCAAAGACTGAAGAGATGGATATGCATACAAAGAGTAAAGATGTAGATATGCATGAACTCACTGAAAGCATGTCCAAACTTACATTGCCTAAAACTATTTCTTTTGGCCATGCGACACGCTCTTTGCCATCCCATCCTCATAGAAAAATGCCCCAGGATATTGACATGACACCTTCAGAACCAAAAAAATACCCTTACCCTAGAAAAAGAGGCCCCAAAAAACCAAGACAAAAGATGTTTATTGATGAGCAGCAATAGAAGCAATCTGTGTCATTAAATGCAATACTTGTAAATGTTCATCTGCACCTTGTACAAGGTCAATGTCTACTGTGGACATATGTTGTGCTATTCTTGATTTCTGTAGTGTATTCAGTGTCTCATTCTTGATAATGGCTTCATGGATTTGAGATACAATATGTTCGCCTGAATAACCTTCATTCATCATATGTTGAACTCGGTCTTGAATCACTTGAATAGGTGTGGATTCCTCCCATACTTGACGTAAGTTGTCCATTGTCTCATCAGGAATAACACCTGCCATTTCATGAATCATACGAGGTGTGATAGGTTCTTTTCCTTGTAGATTATAACCACTCTGTAAGAAGGTAATAGCCTTTCTCAAATCACCTTGTGAACAATCAATCAATGCCTTCAGTGTATCAGGTGCTAATTGAACGCCTTCTAATCCACAAATCATCTGTATACGTGCCTCTAAATCACTCATGGGTAAAGGCTTAAAGCGAAATTTAGCACAACGAGAAGTGATAGGTTCAATGATACTATGGAAATGAGCTATACAGGCACTATCATTTGAACTTACCGACTAACATAATTACAGACAAGACAGAAACGGGTCGTTTTAGAATATGTCTCCATTGTTCTTCTTAATGCAGACTGTGCATCTTTTGTCATTGAATCAGCTTCATCCAAAATAACGATTTTATAAGGAGGACAAGGATAACCACTAAGAAGAATAAGTGACCCAATGTATCATACAATAAAACAACCTACTCTATTTTGCTAGTGACAGTCGTTCTAGAGAAATTTTTGACTTTATCACGTACGATTTGAATACCTCTTTCATCAGACGCGTTTAATTCCAATACACGCGATTTCATTAATTGAGGACCATAAAGTTCATTGGCCAAGGCTAAAATGGTGGAAGTCTTACCCGTACCAGGAGGACCATAAAAGAGTAAATGAGGCAACTATAGAGAAAATAAGTATGTGACATAAATTAATCATACACTTACATTATCTGATTGAAGTGCTTTCTTCAAGACCATGACAGCTTGCTCTTGAGAAGCAATATCGTCCATTGTTTTAGGTCGACTGAAGTAGTTAGCTATCATACGGTATACTTTTGTATCTTACTATTTCTCAACCCAAGGTTGGCTCTTTTTTAATAAAGCCTCTTTTTCATTCTTGGTAGTCTTAGTTGTGCTTTTACTCGAAGCTGTTCTTGGTGCAAAGAAACTCATAGTGCAAGGTAAAAAAAAAAAAAAAAAAGAAACGCGATCATGAATCAGACGCGCTTTGTTCGTGACTTTTGGAATTGATATCCCGCAACTCGGACTTTAAGCATGATCAACTTCTGTAAACATCCAAATCGAGCATTTTGCTTAGAACAACCTAAAGGCGCAGTTGTATGACTTTGGCGTAGTAACAAAAACGATAGTGTTTTGTTTTCCAAGTCTACTGAGGCAAAGAACATGGCATTTTTACTAGTGAAATATGAACCAAATACGCAAACATGCTTATGAGGTTTTTTAGGTCATATCGCATTATTTCCATAGAACAATCAGCAGACAAACGCGTTGATCATAAACTAGAGCGTCTTATGCTCACTCTGAGTATTTGAGCTTGTTGGTAGCTCCATTTCTTGTCTTGTAGTGCTCAAAAGAAGCTCAAAGGGTTGTCCAGTTCAATATTTTCACGGCTGATACTCTTTGGTCGAAAGGTATCTTTTCTTTTTTTTTTTTTTTTTTAGTCCAGATCAACTCCAAAGGTATCCTATATGATAGCAAGCATAGCTTGTAGGTATTTATGAGTGTATAATCTGGTTTCAGACTACCTGTATATCGTGAAAAAACCTTATGGTTTCGTCTGTTCATCTTCTCAAAGTAACATTTTCTGGCAATGAAATCAAACATAAGCCTTTTAAGCATGGCTAGTAAGTCTTTAACCAAAAACTACTGGGAGAGATGAAAGCATGGTTATTTTGACCTGTGTATCCTCTTATGACAATGGAAATTCATTGATTCCTTAGCGGATATTTAATTTTCCATACTATCGATTGACAGCCATGTTCAATCTTCATCTTGGTAAGATTATTATTTTTGATTATCCATATGGATCATGTGACGAAGTCAAGTGATTCATCTCTGTCATGTGATGCATTTGACCCATATTTTTTAGGCCTCCCCTTTTTTTTTTTTCATATAAAAACTTTTCTTGTTCTTTTTTTTTTTTTTTTTATTTATTGTTTTGAGCTTGATGAACCAAGACAGTCAGTTTAGTTTGGGTCTTGAAAATACTCAAAAACCCAACAGTCGTTTGTCATTTGATCATTCCGATAATGACATCAAACGTAGACGACTTGTTTCAGAAGTCCCAACTCGATCGCCACAAGGATCTGCCAATGTAAGAGACTGCCATGTCCATCGGAAACTGATTCTATTAGACTCTAGAAGTGCAGTCTGCACCTAACCTGTCAACACCACCGGTATCGCAACAAATGAACCAATTACATATTCAGGATAGTCCACCTAAATCAAGACAACAATTGTTTTTGGAACAAATGCATATTCGTAATCAAATCAGTAAGAACAAAGAAACATCCAATAGAGGTTCAATCAGAGCAGCACTAGAGGATGCACCCCTCATCCATCATGCATCCCAACCCATGTATGCGCAACAGTCACAGCCTATGCAAGTCAAACAAACACCCTTAGATAAACTTAGAGAACCATTACAGCAGCAACAAGAACAAGAACAACAAAGAGTCAATGTGATAGGTAGATCAAAAAAGAGAAATGTATGCATCGGCATGATTAGTACAGATATTGTCGTAGAAAAACACCCTTTGATCCTTATCCGCGATCATAATTTCGAAATTGTCACAATGGAATCAGAAGGACGTCTTAACAATCAAAACTACTCCTTCCGTGTCATTTCTCGTAGTGTACCCAAGAAATTCGTAAGTAATGCCATCAAACGATCTTTTGAATAACCTGTTCAAGTATGGTTGGATTCCATTTAAAGATACCAAGGTATTAGGTCCCTTAGTTGATCACCGTTTGATTTGGTGGGATACAGTGATTCCTCGAGGCAAAGCCAATCATACACGTACACCTATTTACGTGATTCTGTATTGTCAACCGGATATGGTAGCCACTCTCTCAAAATATCTGATGTCACAGCACGTGTTTCTCAAGACACCACCTTTTTACAACCCTGAATGTCGATTACATAACCCACATGCGTATCTGTCAGAACAACGGCCCCTTCACGCTTACCTGAGACTGATATTCAAACCCAGCATCAAAAAGACATTGAGAACTTATTAGCCAGTATTCCAAGTGATGTTGCGAGGATACCCAAAAAGAAACGACAGTTATCGAGTGTGAATTCGTTTGGTGTGATTGAAATCTTGAGTGATGATGAAGAGAATGAGTTACATGAAGATGATCCAAGTTATGTAGAAGGCATGACAGTCAGGTTGATGGAGCATCAGATTCAAGGTGTGGGTTGGATGATGGATAGAGAAAACAACAAGTCAAGCCAAGGTGGTATCCTTGCTGATGTAAGTAGGATAGGCACGTGATCTGTATCTCACTTTGTATGTAGGATGTAAGTTGTATCGATGTGAATCATTTTACTGAGTGGTATATTATAGATGGGCTTAGGTAAGACCATTCAAACAATTGCCCTGATCTTGTCGACTTTAAAGTCAGAAGATCAAGCAACTTCAGAGCACCGAATGACGTTGATTGTGACACCACTTTCACTACTTCAACAATGGGTAGATGAAATCAAGAACAAGACAGAGACCAATACATTGCGTGTGCTTAAACACCATGGAGCCAATCGTATCAAGGATCCCTGTCTTTTTCACAACTATGATGTAGTTGTGACTACCTATCAAGTCTTGGCTTCTGATATGGGTGAAAAAAAAACAAGCATTCGCATCAAAAAGAACAAAGATGGACTGGATGATTTTGTGATAGATGAAGAAGAAGAAGACAAGATCAAATCTGCTTGTGATTTACCTCTTGCATGGCAAAAACTAAAAAAGGGCTATGGTGCACTATTTCAAGTCAACTGGTATCGTGTGGTGCTTGATGAAGCTCAGCAAATCAAGAACAGGACGACCAAAGCTTCTTTATCGTGTGCTGAACTTTCTTCTGTCAAACGGTGGTGTTTGACGGGTACACCGATCCAAAACAATGTGGATGAACTCTATAGTCTTCTGAGATTTCTCAAGATTCAACCCTTGGCTGACTATAACAGTTTTCGACACAATATCACCAACCCCATTCATGCTGGAGATTCTCAACGTGCGATGGAACGATTAAAAGCAGTGTTGATGGCAGTCATGTTAAGGCGTACAAAGAATGTTCTGAAAGAAGAAGATGGTCTGGTCGATGTGAGGGTAGAAGATGAACTCAAGGCAGCAGCCAATCTTCAGCTTCCAAACAAACAAAGACAGGATCTCATGCTCAGGTTGACTGAACCTGAAAAAGCCTTGTATGACAACATTATTGCTCGAGGTAAAAGTAATCTACAGGCCTTGTTTGACAAACAGCATGGTGCTTATGCCAGTGTGCTTTATTTACTGCTTAGATTACGCCAAGGTAACATGGAGAATGGCTGTTTAATAGATGATTCTGATTGGTTGAATAGCATGTGATCATCCTCAACTTATTCTAAAAGAGTTTGATAAAGATAGTCTAGATATTGAGTCAGATGTCAACTTGAATGACGATGTGATCAACAAGTGTCAATTATGCGGCAGGTAAAAATAAGAAGAAGAAGAAGAATAAGAATTTGGAATATTCTGACAGAATGTATATATGCAGGCCTGATGTATTGCGTGTGTGTACAGAATGTGGAGAAACCAGTAGTGTCTCGCTCCAGAGCGAAACATTCAAATCAAGCACAAAAGTCAACAAACTGATTGAGATTCTAAAGGAAACTCGAGAAAACAATCCTGGTGAGAAAACCATTGTGTTTTCTCAGTTTACTTCCATGTTGGATCTGATTGAAAACCCCTTAAGAGAACATGGATTTCATTTCTGTCGTTGTAAGTAAGACAGTATTGTTGTTTATGTCCAATTGACTGGGATAGATGATGGTTCTATGTCTGGCAATACAAGAGAGAGAAACCTGGATAGTTTAAGATATGATCCAACTTGCACAGTCATGCTGATATCATTAAAATGTGGATCATTAGGGTAAATATAACAAAACAAAACAAAAGAATATCAAGAATTAAATAGTCCTTAGTTTGAATCTTACTGCAGCCAATCGAGTGATTCTGATGGATATCTGGTGGAATCCAGCATTAGAAGGTAACAGAGAGACAATAGAAGAAGGCTATTTACCATTATCCTATAGAACAAGCTATTGATAGAGTACATCGTATTGGTCAAAGACTACCCGTTTATGTCACCAGATTGATTGTGGATGACACAGTAGAATTAAAGATCATGGCCTTACAGAATGAAAAAGTAAGTGGAAAAGAAAAAATAAAGACTTATCTTTTGGTTTAGGCACAATTAACTAAGGGTGCTATTGGGGATGGACTGGTCAAGTCAACCAAATTAACTGCAAATGAAATTAGAAAACTATTTGACTTGTAGACCTGTCGATCCTTCTATGTATTCTTTCTTCTCTTTATAGAATATCACTTGTTACACTTTGTATTTATATGCCCACACGGAACATTCTGATCGAATGATCCAATGAGGTTATGCCCAAAAAGGAAATTGATGACCAATCAGTTTAATAGAAAGAATAAATGGGCGATCTCTCTCTTTTTTTTTTAAAATAAGTAGTTTGCTCTTATTTTGTACACTCTTGACAAAAAAACTTGCTCGGAGTTGAATATGATTTCTTAGAATTCGTTGTGATTTTCTGTATTCTTATATAAATACTTGCTTTCTTTTTTTTGTATTTTCTCGGTTTCTTTCATTATTCACCATGTCCACTCAAATAAAATTAAAAGATGATATTTCAATACAGCATGAATCAATACAAGTAGACATGAGAGATTCACTAACTACACCCCATTCTGATCCAACAAATCCATTTGCATTCACTCCAGATCAATTGGCTGCCTTACAAGACCCAAAGAACATAGAATTACTCCATACGTTTGGAGGTTTAGAAGGTGTGGCTAAGGGTTTACAGGCTGATGTCCATCATGGTCTTACACCCAATACAACACACCAGCAACATATCAGTCTAAAAGATGTCACATCAGATGCAAGTAAATTAACAGTCGTCCATACACCCAGTGAGATACATGAAAAACCTCAACTAAAAAAATCAGCCACTTTCTTATCCACACAAGAACGCCATAGTCTATTCAGCCAACGTGTGTCTGTGTTTGGTGCAAACACACTCCCTCCTGTCAAAGCTAAAAATATCTTTCAATTGATGTGGATGGCCTTTCAAGACAAAACACTTGTAAATACAAGCATGATTTTTTTTTGTTATATGCATTATCTCATTTATATATATATATATATATAGATCTTATTAAGTGTGGCTGCTGTGGTTTCTTTGGCTGTAGGCATTTATGAAGATATTGCTGTGCCCGAATATGATGCTCAAGGAAATAAAATTGCTGGTGTCAAATGGGTCGAAGGTGTTGCTATCATTGTTGCTATTTTGATTGTTGTCCTTGTTGGCAGTGTCAATGATTTTCAAAAAGAAAAACAGTTCCGTAAACTGAATGCTAAAAAAGATGACCGAGTTGTCAAGGTAAAAGCAACATCGAATGGTCTGATTGATGTATCTCATCCATATTATAGGCTACTCGAGAAGGCCAAACCATTCAAATCTCTGTCTATGATATTCAAGTAGGTGATGTCCTTCATCTTGAACCAGGTGATATTGTTGCTGCTGATGGTATCTATATTGAAGGCCATAATGTTCGCTGTGATGAATCTGCTGCGACAGGTGAATCAGACGCTGTTCGCAAACAACCATTTGAAGCTTGTTATCGATTGATGCATACTGAAGAAGAAAAAAATACCCAGTTTTTATCTGTTCCTCATACCAACGATGCTGCTGCTGCTGCTTCTTCTTCCTCTTCTATGCTCAGCAGTGTTGAGAAATCAACCGTAGTCGACCATCATAAATCTTATCCCGATCCATTTATTATCTCTGGCTCTAAAGTCTTGGAAGGTGTCTGTACCTATCTTGTGACAGGTGTCGGTGTGAACTCATACCATGGTCGCACCATGATGGCTCTCCGTACAGACAATGAAACCACACCCTTACAAGAAAAACTCAATGGCTTGGCTGGTATGATTGCCAAATTGGGTTCTGCTGTCGGCCTTTTAATGCTGATTGTCCTTTTGATTCGTTATTTTGTGAACTGGAAATTCGATGGTATTCCTACAGTGGCTACTGAGATTGTTCAAAGCGTCATGGGTATCTTGATTGTAGTGGTCACCATTGTAGTAGTTGCTGTTCCCGAAGGTTTACCTTTGGCTGTCACTTTGGGTAAGTACCTAAGAAAAAAAAAATAGGATTGTTTGAACTCATTTATTTTAGCGCTTGCTTATGCAACACAACGTATGTTGAAAGATAACAACTTGGTGCGTGTACTGGCTGCTTGTGAAACCATGGGCAATGCTACCACTGTCTGTTCTGATAAGACAGGTACCTTAACACAAAACAAAATGACGGTGGTTGTCGGTACTTTGGGCTCTTCTTTTCGATTCATTCAAGATCCTCCTAGTAACCGTGTTGACCTCATCGATATCCAAGCCGTAGCTCAAAAGGTACCTAATCCCATCTTACGTCTTGTGCATCAAGGTATTGCTGTCAACTCGACTGCGTTTGAATCCACAGATGAAGATGGTCAAAAGCAATTCGTCGGCAACAAGACTGAAACCGCCTTGTTACAGTTTGGCAAGACCACGGGTTCTGAACCCTTTGAGACATTGCGTACCCAATGGCCTGTTGAACAAGTGTTTCCTTTTAGTTCTGAACGTAAGGCCATGGTCACCATCATTCGTATGCCTCATCCTACTGAACAAGGTCGCTTTGTCTATCGTGCTCATGTCAAGGGTGCCTCCGAAATATTGGTCCAAAACTGCCGTGAGATCTTGACGTTGAACGCTGCTAAATACAAGTCTTCAGAAGACATCAAGACACGCCCATTCACACAGGAGGATCGCCATAGAATTGAACGTATCATTCAAAGCTATGCCACGCGCAGTCTTCGTACATTGGGTCTTGCTTATCGTGACTTTGATAGCTGGCCGCCAAAGAACGGACATGCCAAGACGGTCGGTACTGAAACCGAAGTGCCTTATGAAGACATCATTGAAGGTCAAGGTCTTACTCTGATTGGTATTGTGGGTATTGAAGACCCTCTTCGTCCTGGTGTCAAAGAAGCTGTGAAGGCCTGTCAAAGAGCTGGTGTCTTTATCCGTATGGTCACGGGTGACAACGTCGTCACAGCTAAATCGATTGCTAAGCAATGTGGTATCTATACACCAGGCGGCATTGTCATGGAAGGACCTGTGTTCCGTAACTTACCTCCCAGTCAGATGGACGCCATCTTGCCTCGTCTTCAAGTCTTGGCTCGTTCAAGTCCTGAAGATAAACAGATCTTGGTCGGTCGTCTTCGTGAACTAGGTGATATTGTCGCCGTCACTGGTGATGGTACCAACGATGGTCCTGCGCTTAAACTGGCTGATGTGGGCTTTTCGATGGGTATTGCTGGTACTGAAGTGGCCAAGGAAGCCTCAAGTATTATCTTGATGGATGATAATTTCTCCAGTATCGTCAAAGCTATCATGTGGGGTCGTTGTGTGAATGATTCGGTCAAGAAGTTTTTAGAGTTCCAAATTACGGTCAATATCACGGCTGTCATCTTGACCTTTGTGTCTGCTGTGGCCAGCCATTCTCAAAAATCTGTCTTGACAGCTGTTCAATTGCTTTGGGTTAACTTGATCATGGACACTTTTGCTGCTCTTGCTTTGGCTACGGATCCTCCTACAGAAGAATTACTTGAACGAGGCCCTGAATCTCGTTCTTCTCCCTTGATTACGTTCAAAATGTGGAAGATGATTATCGGTCAAGCCATTTTCCAGATTGTAGTCACGATTGTGTTATTGTACAGCGATGTACTTCATTACGAATCTGATGACCCTATCTTACAGACTATTGTGTTTAACACCTTTGTGTTCTGTCAAATCTTTAACGAAATCAATTGTCGTCGTATTGATTCTAAACTGAATGTGTTCCACAATATTTTGGCCAATCGATTCTTTATGTTCATCTTTGTGTTCTGTATTGCACTTCAATGTATCATTGTCAATTTTGGTGGTACTGCTTTTCAGGTAGTGCGTATTGATGGTGTTGGCTGGGCTATTTCGATCGTGGTCGGTCTTTTGGCTCTCCCTATTGGTGTTGTGATTCGATTGATTCCTGATGAAGTCTTTGGATTTGTGTTTATGTTTAATCCTAAGGCACGTCAACGATATCTTGGTGGTAGCCATGAACAAGCATCTCCCAGTGTGTATGTAGCTGGTAATGAACGTGTGGCATGGCATGGTCCTACTTATGAAAAGCAACAAGTGGAAATGGATGAAGCAGTTCCTGCTTATTCACCTCCTATCATTGATATGAAAGAAACCGCCTTTGAAGAACAAAACCAAGACACTGTGCTTTCTTCTGGTTCCTTAGACTCAATTCAACGCAATCATTAAATTGTATCTGTACATTAAACTTAATAAACAAAAAAGGAAATATCGATTCAGACATGACGTTGGTAATTTTTTAAATTTTTATATTTTTCTCTTTTTCTTTTTCTTCTTCTTTTTCTTTTCTTTATGTACTTGCTTGATGGTTGATCCTGGCTGATAATAATAATAATAATAAAGTAAATCAAAGGCTTGCGCTATTTTCTTGTTTACTTATAATTTCTTCATAGACATATACTACCTTCTTTTATAAACTAATAGTAAGTTTATTTCAATACAATAACTGTATAACTAAAAGAATCCTATTAGATAGAACACTATATTTTCATTCAAACCAACACTTATTGTAGATACCTTCTTTTTTCTTTCCCCCTTTTTTTTCTCTGTCTCTCTCTCTCTCTCTCTCTCTTCATATTTCAAATGTATGTGTTGTTTTATCTATAGTTTATTAACTCCTTATTATTAGTCTCCATGTATTCTCGATCTTCTCCTTATCCAAACAACGGCGGAGTGAGATCATTGATTAATCCTCCTACTTTTATCGAATACAACCAACTTCGCTTCTTGATTGTAGATGCACCCAGTTCCAACAATTTGCCCTTATATATCAACGTAGGTCTATCTTCTTGTTATTCATCTTACACCGTTTAGGAATTTGAGAGATGGCATGTGACAGATGTCGTTCGTTGTTGTGAAGCAACATATCCTAAAGAACCGTTAAACGAAAAAGGCATTCAAGTGCATGACTTTGTTTTTGTTGATGGTGAAGCACCTCCAACACCCATTGTAGATGCATGGCTTCAATTGATTGAAGCAAGATTTAGTAAACAACAGCCCTCGTCGGATGAGAAATTATCTTGTATTGCCATTCATTGCGTGGCTGGATTAGGAAGGTAGAGAAATAAGATCCATATAGACTTGAAAGACTTAAAAAAAAGGACAATAGAGCTCCTGTTTTAGTTGCTATTGCATTGATTGAAGAAGACATGCCTGCATTAGATGCTGTAGCCTACATACGTGAACGTCGCAGAGGTGCTATCAATAAGAAACAGCTCAAGTATATTGAAAGTTACAAACCACGATCCAAGAGCCAATGCATTATCATGTAACATTGTCTGATAGAAAATTATATATATATAAAGTATACTTTATTATTTCTTTCTTTTTTTTTTGTTGGAGAGGGAATAAAGAATAAGGGTAAATAGTAATAGTAATTATTATCCAGACAGGATGATTAATGTTTACATATATTAAGTGTACAGAGTTTTTCTTTCTTTCTTTGATTAGAAGAATTGAGCCAAGAAGAGGGAGACCATACCGATAGCAATAGCAGGCATGAAGGGCTTAGTGGAAGCACCGGCATTTTGAGGGGCAGCAGTTTGAGAGGCACTAGCACTGGCACTGACAGAAGAAATGACAGAAGCAGAAGAAGCAGCAAGTTGAGAAGAAATAGCAGAAGAAGCACTGACAACAGCAGAAGAGGCAGCAGAGGAAGCAACAGAGGCAATAGAAGAAATGATGGAGCTATCAACAGGAGCAGCAGAGCTAGTAGCAGAAGCAATGATGCTGGCAGAGCTGATCAAGACATTAGAGGCAGTGGAAGTAGGTTCAGCAGCACTAGTAGAGATGAGGGTGATAGTAGTGGCAGTGGTAGTAGCGGCTCTGGTAGTTTGAGCAGTGGTAGTTTGAGCAGTGGTAGTTTGAGCAGTGGTAGTTTGAGCAGTGGTGGTTTGAGCAGTGGTGGTTTGAGCAGTGGTGGTGGTATCAGCACGGGTAGTAGAAGAGGAAGAAGAGTCGGTTTCACCGGGCCAGTGGTTAGAAATACAGTTGTTGTAACAGTCAGTATCGCCATCACAGCCATCAATACAAGATTGACCAGTGGTGACTATAGACATTACTTAATACATTGCCAAGAAATATATAAATGTTTACTTACCACATTGTCTAAGACAGCTAGTATCACTGGGATCACAGTTACAAGCAGCATTTACTTGAGCGAAGAAGAAGATGACGATTGCAAATAGAAGAGCGTAAACCTTGGATTGCATATTAGTTGTTTTGTTTAATAGATTACAAAGTAAAGAAAGAAGAAAACAAAGAATTATGCGTTTATATATGTTGTTGCATTTAAGGTTTGCAAAAAAGAAAAGCAAAGAATACCTTGTTTTATTGGCCAGGAAGGTTGTTTTCAAAATAACAGTATAAAAATAGACTTTTAAAAATCATTATTATGTCATTCAATGTAACTTTGGATTGTCAGTGTGAAAGGTGTCAATAACTGAAATCGTACCATTTCTAAAGGGTATTACACTTGAGGAAAATATGATGTATTGTCCATCTTGTTATGATATCAACACCATGATGTCGAAATGATTGCTGCACAAAAACTTCAAATCAGTGTCTCTTTCTTTTTTGTAGGACAATGCTACGTTTTGTTTATGTATCTCTTCCTGTATATCAAGAATATTGAGACAGAGAGAGAATATCCGGATCGGGTCGGAGTTTCGTACCTCTTTTTTATATATATATATCTGTGCCTGAGATATTATCATAGAAACTGTATGATTATACTGTTGTATTCAGGTGCACGCAATGATACATATGATTCCCTAGCCTAAACTAAATAGAACTCTAAACGCGGCTGTTTCGACTAGTGTAACAGGGAAAAAATTGTACAACAGTATCATGATTTATGACGACGACCATAACAACAACAACATTTTCTTTTATATGATATTCAAAGAATAGTCAAATATCTCCGTCCTTCTTAATATAAAGAAATTTATAAACAATAACAATCATGAACCTTGTTTCTTGAGAAAAAAAAAATACGAGACCCAGATCTCTTCTTTTTGTTGCCTAAGATCTGATCATAGATTACATAAACGCGCTGTTGTGTTTCCAATGCAAATCACCAGACCTTTGCTCCTTGAAGCGGGAACTCAAAAACAGTGTTATACAGAAGATTGGCTATGGACAGCGAAATTCTCGATATAGTAAATCATCCTTAATACTTTTCACTTCAAGCAATCACGCAAGTATGTTTGGATTTGTGTAGAAAAAGAAACGTATACAAACGCGCAATTTGACTTGTTTGATGAAGTACTATGTTTTTCAAGAAAACTATAGACAGGTTATAGCAGCAAAAAGAATGTCAAGAATGAAATCTCGCTTTTGATCCGTCTCGAACAAATTTTTTTCTTCGAGAACCATCTGAGCTTCAATTTATTATACACCATTTTAAGCTTTGCATATCACATCCAAAGGATGGAACTTTTGTTATGGTAATTTTTGAATTAGATTAAGGTTTGGTCGTTAAAGAATATGTGATTCAAGCGCAGTGCCAAATCAAGGATCAAGGCCTGTATGGGGGTTTATTCTACAGAAGAGAAATACTCCAAGAAGCACAGAAAGAGTTCCATATACATTTGGGCCAGATTTGATATCCTTTTTAGTAAAGATACCGAGAATGAGAGTCTCATCATTGGTGCTATACACACATTCAATGATTTGTCTTTAACTTACTCAGTGCTTGTTTTTGGAGTCTGCATATCTATCCAAACGACAAAGTAGGACTTACTGTCACATTTGTCCTTTTCACTCGGCGAAAACCATCAAAGCGGCCGATTTTGCATTTTTGTTGTCTGAGAACGATGGTTACAACAAACCGGTCTACTCAAGTGTTAAAAGAAGTAAAAATATAGCAACAAAGTAAATGTACTAGTTATTACCTACATTTCACATAGAATTCAGTATCTTTTCATGCATAAAAAAAAGCAAGATGGTTCAACATGCATTTCACTGTTTTTTCTTGTCTAAAACATCGTTTACTTTTGCCCCCCAAAAAAAAATTCTACGATATCTTTTGCCGACGCATAGCGGCTCATGAATAGAGCTTCTTCACAAATGAATATACTACTTGAATTTGTAATGCGAAACGAGATTCAAGTAATTAATAGCAACTATCAGATGATAAAATACATGCATCTTTGTATGCGATGAGATAAAAGATGGGTTTATGCAAAAAGATGCACTTGTCTAATCGAAGAATACACACCAACAATGCTTGTACTGATGCGTTCGTGACTGCGCGCATATACAAAGCATGAGATAAGCGACCGAAGGCTTCAAAGATCAAACAATTGTTTCCTGCTTTGCTTCCTCAAATGATAAAAAGACTTGAGGAGTCGTTCTACAAACGATTCATTAAACTCTATTAAAACTCTGACGTCTTTAAATAAATTCTTCCAGCTTTGCAATTTAAAAGAGCTTCTTGACGAACAGCTTTCTTGTCTGATTTATATGAGGCTCTATATTACATTAGTACGAATAACGTGCCGAAATTTAAAGATGTTGTGTGTACTTTAGTTCATAAAGGCAAACAAAGACAGAACCTAGCACTAAGCTTTGTTTTTCAAGTCATTTGGGGCTCTTTTCAGGTGAAATGCTTATCAAGGTGCTAATAAAGCCTTGATAAACAGTCTACAAATGAAGTACAATTGCTCATTGAAAATTGAAAAAGCGCCGATCGAGATTGTATTTCCCACCTGTAAATGCATCCAATAGCTTTGCAAGGACTGCATTTTTCCCAACCTCTCTCTTTCTTTTTTTTCTCTATATTTTGTGCTTTCTCGTCTCGAAAACAGTAACCGTTGTTCACATATTCTTTCAGCCATAAGACATTAGCGATCATCTAGGATTAATATAGCTTTGATTTCAAACCAACTCGACTAAACAATTAGTCCATAAAATGATGGAAACAAAAGGTGTTTGTCACGCTCAAACTCATGATAATTCATCTACAAATCAGATGTCAAGCACACCACATAATGATGTTACACAAGATCAATACATCAAAGAACATCATCAAGAGAACGATATTGAATTAGGTCCTCAATTAACTCGGGTGTCGACTAAAGAGTCTGTCAAAAAGGCAGTCAACTTTACTTTCAATGGACCCGTATTTGCTGGTCTATTGTTAGTGCTAGCTGGTGCAGCTATTGCATTTCAAGCTGGTACTGTATTTCTTAGTAGCATGTCGTTGAGACTCATAATTTTTGTAGGTTGTAATGCTACTTTAAATCACTACGGTGGAAGAGCATTTTCTTCAGTGATCTCATTTGCTGTAGGTGCTACTTGCTGTCTTTTGTTCTTTTTGATAGATAGTACTGTAGGAAAAACGCCTTTGCCAAATGCAAAGATTAAAAGTAAGTATAGAACTTGATGCGCTAATTAACGCATATATTAGCTGCACCTTGGTATGCTTGGTTAGGTGGTGTTTTTGGTGCGTATTATGTCATTATCAATATATTGACAGTCCCAAGATTAGGTGCTGCGACTGTGTTGAGGTAAGTAAAAGATCGAATTAGTAAAATGACTAATAATTTATAGTATTTTTGTTTGTGCACAGGTACTAAAACAAAAACCTTATTATGAGTATGAATGTTTAAATGCAATTATAGATTATTATGGCGTGTATTATTGATCATTTCGCTCTTGTTGGTGTAGCAAGACGAAGGTTCACTATCTGGAGAATCTTGGCTTCATTAGGACTGGTTGGTTGTGTGGTAGTGATAGCTAAATTCTAATGCTTTGTTTGCTGCATAAACCTGTTTGATTGATTCAAAATACCCAAAATAAATATCACTGAGAAATTCCCATCTCTATATTCATTTGTCACAGGAAGGATTTACTTTTGACCGAGATACTACACTTGTTTTTCTACCGAGAGATAGGACTCTTTTTAAAAGGTAAAAAAGTACCAAATATGGTGTCTTTTTTATGTTACACAATTCGCGTGTGATGTGTGTATAATTTGTATCAGCTAAAATAAATATTTAACAAGCTTTTCTCTGCTTCTCTCTACTTTTCTCTTTCTTTATTGTCATGTCTGGAAAGGGAGGATACTCATCCATAGATGATCCTAATGAAGGGTCTTCATCAGAACCACTTTTATCGTCGCCCAACAAAAAGAATACTTGGAAAGATCATGTTAAACGCGCTCAACTCTATGTGAAACAAAACCTGTTACATATCTTGACTCTTCTTGCAGTGATTGCTATCATGGCTGTCTTGATCATTTATATGTTCTTGCCTGAAGCATCTGTGTTGCCCCATAAACCCAAAAATAATCGTATAATTAAACCTGGTGTATCTAAATTGACCATGGAGGCCGGCCGTGCCAAATGTGAAGCTATTCAGACCAGAAAGAGAGATAAAAGCACACCCAGCCCTAACCGTAAAAATCCTCGTGCCGATCCTACACAGAAGCCTATCTTATTCAAACATGCTGTAGTTTGGGATGGCCAAGGTGGTGTTTTGGACGATGTAGATGTCTATGTTGAAGACGGTGTTATTCGTCAAGTTGAAAAGAACATCAAGGTGAAGCGTGATGATGTTAAAGTGATTGATGTTGCTGGTCATATTATGGGTCCTGGTTTAGTAGATATGCATAGGTAATATCATGAAAGACAAATAGTTTTATGCTAATACGTCGTTATAGCCATATGGGTGTTGATTCTTGGCCTGAATTTGCTGGTACAGATGATACCAATGAAATGACTCAACCACTTACACCTTTTGTTCGTACCATTGATGCTTTTAATCCATCTGATAAGGCTATTCGTATTGTGTCATCTGGTGGTGTAACAACTGCTTTAGTGTTGCCTGGTTCCGGCAATTTGATCGGTGGTGAAGCTTTTGCTTTTAAGCTTCTTCCTAAAGCAACGGTTAGTAACGAAGATATGCTTGCCCAAGCTAATATCAACCCTGAAGAAGAAACTAAATGGCGTTGGATGAAGCATGCATGTGGTGAAAATCCAAAGGTAAAAAATCCCTTATTGTAACACAGAAATAACACCACTTTTTGACATTATAGCGCGTCTATGGTAACAGAGGACAAATGCCTTCTACTCGTATGTTTACAGCATTTTGTATACATGTCGTTAATTATTGGTTATAGGTTTGGGTGAAGCTTATCTTTTCCGTAAGGAATATCAAAGAGCTCAGCAGCTTAAGCAAGCACAAGATGACTGGTGTGAAGCCGCTAGTCACTCACCTTCTGCTCGTTTCGAATCACCTTTCCCTGAAGACTTGGAACTTGAATCTCTTATTGCCCTATTACGTCATGAAGTACTTCTCAATGTTCATTGCTATGAAACCCACGATATTGAAGCCATGATCCGTCACTCCCTCGAATTCAACTTTACCATTAGTGCTTTTCATCATGCTCTTGATGCTTACCGTATTCCTGACATTTTACGTCGTGCACCCAATAATATCACGATTGCTACATTTGCTGATCATTGGGGCTATAAAAAGGAAGCCTTCCAAGCCATTCCTGAAGCTCCCAAGATCCTTTATGAGGCTGGTGTTCCTTTAGCTTTAAAGAGTGATCATCCTGTATTGAATTCTCAACATTTGATTTTTGAAGCTGCCAAGACAACCCATTACGGATTGCCTCCTCAAGAAGCTTTCAAGGCTGTTACTTCTACCCCTGCTAATGCTATTGGTTTAGGTCACCGCATAGGCTCACTCAAGGTCGGTTACGATGCTGATCTTGTCATTTGGGACCGTGAGCCTCTTGAATTAGGTGCCACTCCTTTACAAGTCTTTATTGATGGCGTACCTTTGTTTAGAGAACCTGCGATTGAACCCGTCGTTGCTCATGCTCAAACTGAACAGAAAAAGACAAATGCAAAGGCACCCAAGAAGCTCGAAGGTGCTACATCATTCGCTTTGAAGAATGTAGGCTATTCATTTTTGGGCGAGTCTCCTGTCAAAGGACCTATTGAAGTTGTTGTTAAAGACGGTTCTGTTATTTGTTCTGCTGCTGACTGTACTCCTGCCATTGCTTCTGTTCAAAATACTCTTCCTGAATACGATCTCCAAGGCGGCTATGTTCTTCCTGTAAGTATATTGGAGTAACCACAGTTAGGTATTATCGAGTACTCATATGTGTACAGGGTCTTATTGGTGTTGGTTCTAGCCTTGGTCTTATTGAAATCGATGGTGAAGCTCATACCGGTGATGGAAGAGTTGCCTCTAGTAAATCATATGATCCTAAAGACATTGTCCAAGCTGTTGACGGTATCAAATTGAGCACACGTCATTTAGAAGAAGCATACAAGGGTGGTATTTTATCCTTGATTACGGCTCCTATGTCTAACAACGTTGTTGCTGGTGTTTCCGCTGCTTTTAAGACGGGTGCTGACTCATGTAAGTGTGTGATTGACTACAAGTTCATAGGTTAATTCAAACTAGTGCTTACCGATGGCGCTCTCATTTCACCTGCTGTTGCTCTTCATTTACAAATTGGCGATGATTACAAATCAAGCAGCTTCCCTACCATTTCTAGTCAAATCAGCTTTATTCGTCAAATCTTGAAAGACAATCTCAAGAACGACAACGATTACGGAAAGGCTGCTAATGGTATTATTCCTACCATCATTACTGCTTACAACAAGGACGAAATTGCTTCTTTAATCACTCTTAAGAAAGAACATCTTCCCAAGGCACGCTTCGTCATTTTGGGTGGTCATGAAGCTCATTTGGTTGCTCCCTATTTGGCTGAAGCAAATATTCCTGTTGTACTTCAACCTGTTTTGTGTACGCCTTCTCGATTCGACTCCATTCACTGTTTAACAGGTGCCCCCTTGACCAACGGTACAGCTGCTCATGTGTTGCATAGCCACGGCGTAAAGCTCGGTGTTGGTATTTACGATAATGGTCTTGCTCGTAACTTGGCTTGGGATGCTGGATGGTTAGCTGCCACATCTCCTTCTTCTTCTGCTTTAGAAGGTGGTGCTATCTCTGAAGTGCAAGCTATCCAATTCATCACAAGTAACATTCGTGACATCTACGGTCTTCAAACAACTGCTTTCAATGGCGATGATTTCATTGTCTATTCTGGCAGTCCATTTGATGTTCAAAGCCGTATTATCCTTATCCATTCTGAAACCAATGGTCTTCATACTGTGTAAATAAATAAACTCTAAAGTAGTATGCGCATTTTAGTGTAACAGTCAATCAGTTTTTTGATAGAGCGTCCAAGAAATTAATTTAATGAGAAAGGGGGAAGAGCTTTTAATTAATAGACGTAGTCATAGAATAGAAGGTCCAATTGAGATTTTTAATTAGATAAAGAGCCTCTTTTTGACAAAAAGAGTCGGGTCACTGCGATATCATTGAAAACGATATTTATGATACTACATCCCCACTCTTTGTCATGGTTCTTTGCCTATCAACCGATTAATCAATAAACATTTATACAGCAAGACTGCACTGATAAAGTCTCTGATACAAAAATATAACTCGTCATTTCTGATGTCAGATCAATTTGCAACTCAAAGAACATTTAAAAAAAGAACAAGAGCGTTCTTTTTTATGTACCAGTGAAAATGCAACAATTATTTTTTCAAGACTGTGAGAGAATATCACTTGAAAAGTAGAGCAAATAGAAAATACTTCTTACATAGAAAAGGGAGTGGTCTAGAAGTACGTTAATATATTGCTCATTATATTAAACAAACATGGAAATAAGACTTGGTTGCGTCTAGTTCATTATAATATGTATATCCTTTGTTTTCTTTTGTGGCAGATGTTTAGAATATATCAAAAATAGGCTAATCATATAGCTGAGTCTACTGGTATTAGAGTGGAGGCTCAATCTGAGAACACGTTACAGTGGACAAAATGATCTTCTCTCTATTTTTTTTCAGCACGACTTTATTAATCTTGGAACTGTGGAACTCTCTCTTTTTAGAGAAAAAAAAACGTAGACAAAGGTGCCAAAGAGGCGTTAAAATAATTAGACAGACACCGCCTTATACTTATATATGGCTCCCCTATTTTTACTCTCCCCTTGATGAAATCTTCTCTCTGAAGCATCATCTGAAGCAGGAGGATGCAGGCACAAGACGCTAAATCCTCATTAGAAACACAGCAAGAGAAAAAAAGTGATTTATGCTGGGTCTGTATAATTATAGTAACACAGAGAGTGTATCTTACTATCCACCATAGCTCAACGTAATGGCAAAGGAAATGAAGAAAGATCATGGAATGGGCCAGAATCATACGTTTCTGTCGATTGATTGTTTTCTCAAAAAAGGAATCAAAGAGTAAAGTAGACTGCATGACAAAAAAAAAAGGAAAGAATCAAACCCATAGCGGATCTTATAGAATGAATGCTATTTTTTCTACATTAACAAACTCTAGTTTAATAAATAGCAAAACAAAAAAGAAGAGGTCTGTTGCTTTCTCCTTGATGATACTTTATAAGAAAAAAGTAATATTTTGATGCTTGTACAACATTTCATTTTACAAGCATCAATTCTGATCTATATAAAAAAAAGCACGTTTTCTCTTCTCTTTTTCTCTCTCTCTTTTTTCCTTACTTTTTCTTTTTTTTTTTGCATGTTGAAGAAAATCTTACACTTGACAAGAAGGCTAAACAGAATTGAGGCTAAAGAGGCACCTTCAGTTATAGCAAGATTATCTCATGAAAAGCAAACAATTGGGTTCCTCAAATTAAGGTTGTCACCACCTTCTCAAATCCGAAGCTTAAAAGATGTTGGCAGTATTTTCATGAGTCATGAATTTGCTCGAGTACTCCTTGTTTTTATCTGGCTTGTAATCTGCGGCTTAATAGAGACTTTTATGGCACAATTAAGTGACATGCGTTACTATGCTTTACCTGAAATGAGCAAGGTATGCTATTGGCAACATAAGATAGTGTCTCACCATTTTATAGCATCCTTTGCGTGACCTTTTGCACGATGCATTCCCTAGAGTAGCAGATACTCAGATTGTAAATTATTTGCTTACGATGACTTTACTCTACACACTGGTCGGATTTGCTGTGCAATCGCCTGATTGGAGTACACGTTTTATGATCCTGCGTCGATTTGGTTTTATCATGGGCTTTATTTATGTTTTTCGAGGTATTACCTTGCTCGTTACTACTTTACCTTCCTCATTAATTGACGAATGTCGCCCACCGGAAATCGAATTGACTGGCACTGTTGCACAACGTTTTGGCTTTTTATTTAGTGTCATTGGTGGATCTGCCTTAACCTGTACCGACAACATTTTCTCAGGTCACACCTCCATGATGATGTCTTGTTGTATGGTCTGGCGTGTTCACTCTAAACTTCGTAGACCTTTTGCTTGGATTCTTTACTTAATTGCTACTGCTGGTATTTTGATGATTTTATTCACTCGTTTTCATTATTCGATTGACGTTGTGCTTGCTATTTGTAAGTAATAGTGGTGATAACAAGTGCAGTTACACTAACTTCAAAAACAGATATTACTTATACAGCCTGGAATATTTATTTGCGCTATATCCAAGAGGCCTCGGTTAAGTATATGTTTGGTTTCACAAATCACTCTACACTTGAGGTATTCCAATCTCACCTCACATCGGATGCAGCACTCACATACGAGTATTTGAATTGGCAGCCTCATCCTTTAGGCAAGCATTGGCTTATGTGGTTCTTTATGTACATTGATGGTCTAGATATTCGTCTTAGAGCAATTGGTGTCTTTGATGAATATGGTGCCTGGAAAAAGGAATACCATAAGCCTAGTATGGTAGAAAAGAAGTCGTGTGCTATTGTTTAAACTTGTACTAGTAATGCATATACTGTTCATAATAATACTATTAATAATAATAATACTAATGCTAATAATAATGCTAATAATAATAATAATAATAATAATAATAATAATAATAATAACAATTTATAATTTTATGATCTATTTAGTCTGTTTCTTTCTCAAATGCATCCCAGTCAAAATCATCATAATTTTCTTCATCACTGTTCAATTGCTCTTCCTTTTTACTTGTTGGCTCACCATCCTCTTGTTTAGCTAGAATCTCATCGTACCATTTTAAAAGTTGGCTTTTTTGTTTGGTTGTGAAACAAGGTACTTTCAATGCATCTTCAATCAATGGGAAGGCCGAGACTTTATCTGTTAGCCCACTATAGACGCGTAAGCAGTGTATTCTTTTGATAGAGTTTTTTACCTTCGATCAAAGGCAGTAAAATAAGCCTCTATACAAGCAAATAATTTATTTTTTTCCTTGTCAGAAAATCTGTAATCCTTTTTAATGTAAGCAAGTATTTATTTGATTTCCTTCTTTTCTTTTTTTACTTGATTTTTAAATATAAACTTCTTGAGTGTATTCATTTGTTTAATAGTTTTTGCTGTAGGTGGTTTTGGGATCGTCTTTGTGTCATCGTGAAACTGTTGAATACGCTGCTCCATAGTTAAAATGAAAAAAGTAAAAGAAAAAAATTTATTCTGTGTTTCAATTATTTAGACAGCTGTGAAGGGTTCTCCATCCAAAGGTTGCAACCAATTATCAGATGGGTAGTGAGCTTCACCCTCAATACAGTGAAAAGTATAGATATAACGAGAGTGTTCAGATAAATTATGACCTGACTTGTGAAGGACACTACCGTGGATCAAGACTAAAGCACCAGCATCAACTTCACATTTGACATACTTTGATTCGTCTACTTCAAATGTATCTTCTCCTTGGAAGATAGTACCCGAACCATTAGGATTACGGACAAATCGCTTTGTAACAGGTGAAGCTATTTATTTATGCTCAACAATCAGCTCTTACGGTATGTACTTACTTTTGTGTGATCCAGGAATAAACCAAAGACAGCCATTTGATTCAGTGCAATCTTCTAAAGCAAACCAAAAGCCAATAGCAGAAAGAGGTTCAGTATACAAAAATGCAGAATCCTGATGAGGTGGCACTATACAGAGATGTTACTTCAAGAACATAACGTCTATGTTTACCTTGTCCGCCAATATAAGGTTGCTACGAAAAGGAGCGTTATTTTTCGAAATAAACTCTAAACCAAAACTTACTTTAAAAATCAACATGGATTGAAGCACTTGAGGCTTCTTAAATCCAAGTTCACGGGTCATAGAGGAAATTGTCTCATTTTGCGAGAATGCTTTAAATTGAGGATCCAAAGCATGTAAGCCTGTAAAAACATGTCAATACATGTCATACTCTATATCTGTTTACCATGTCCAATCTTGTTAATCGCTCTCTCCTTGGGCACTTTGAGTTGTCCTTGCTCATCAAAAGCATCTTCTTCAAAAAAGAAACGAATCTTATTACCTGACTCTAAAAAGTACTTGTCTCCTACATGTTGCTTGTCGTTGGAACCTGTACTAAAAGTTGTCATGGGATGGCCTTCAAGCGAAAAGTCAGACAACAATTGTTTTGCTCTTGACTTGAGTTCTTCTGCTGTTGATTTAGAAAAGAAATCAGGAATAACTAGACAACTTGACAAAAGTCAATGCATTTTGTGCATGTGCTTTGTTGTTTACCCATCTTGGTCAAACTAAGCAGGGATTAGACAAATATTTTACAAACAACAGTATAAATGTTTACTTTCTCTAATTGTTCTTTGGTCAACACTGTCATTTAATAAGATAAAAAGTGAAAAGAAGCAAAAAAAAGTGTGTCTGGTTCTCACGCTTTATAACATGATATAGAGCTTATCTAAAGCCAGACTCTATCTTTATAGCATATATTTGTGAGTCATTCAAATTCCATAGAGAGGAATATATTTATGCCATTGTGGCTTTTATCCCTTTTTTTTTTTATAAATGGTAATCATATATTTTATTTTTTTCGGTGACAAATCATTTATTTAAGCCTTGTCACCCTGTTTCAACTTGCCACCTTCAAAAAAGTAGAATACAGTGTGAGAAACGAGAGACAAAGCAAGTGAGAGAGAGAGAGAGAAAGGGTGAAAATGGTGTGACAGCACACTTTGTTTTCTTCTTGGTTCTCTTTTTTTTCTTCTCTTTTATTTTTTGTTTTCTTTTCTCTTTATTATTATTATTTTTTCAAAAAAGAACAAAGCATTGACCACCTCACCTTTATATTTGTAATACTAAACAATTCATTGTTGGCTGTATTCTTTGCATATGAAAATGTTGTTGTTATTGTTTATTTGTTTATTTTACCCATCGGGATTTGTTCCGAAACTATAAAGTTGAAACAATCTTGTTACAATAAAGGAAATATTGAAAATCAAGTTATTTCTAAGGAGTAAATAAAAAAAAAAAGGGAACTGAATCCCATATGGATTTCATTCATGAAGGGACATCAATGTTTCTTTGTAAATAAAGCCTTTTTCGAACCTTTTCTTTGTTTAGGATTTACCATATGTGTATTTGCCGGGATTCTCATTCCGGTCTGCGAAACCATAAGAAAACCAGGATCGAAGGTTTATTTCATAACAACCTCAAAAGCTATTATGACAATGACACGCCACATGACTTTATAAGCCGAGTCTTTTTTTTTTCTCATTTCTCATTCTTTTTCCTCTCTTTGTTTTTCTTTTCTTTGTTTTTTTTTATTATTATCTCAAAGAAAAAGAAATCTTTATTTGACAACAACAAATATCCTTAAATGACAGAACTCCATAACGCAAATAATACTTATAGTTCTTCATACGAGTGGTTTGACCGTAGCAATAGCAACAGCAATAATTATTCTAATTTACCCACCATCCCAACTGCCCAACTCCCACCTATTAATTTTGCTATTAACAATAACATGAGTAACAATAACAACGTTGAAAGTGGTATGGGGTATCCACACACAAGCAACAGTAGTAATAGCTTATTAGAGGATGAGCGCAGATCTGCTAATTATACGGCTACACCAAACGCGTCTTCCGGATGGTTGAACAACAACAATAATAACGACAATAGTACCACCAACAATAATAACACAGCTGGCTATTCGTCTAAAGATTCATGTGATTTATCTTATGATGAAGATTATAGTTATCACCATGGCCAGCCTACGCCCTCACCTTCTGCTTCTACAGAACGTAGTCGGTCAAAGAAACACAAGACACCTTCTACAAAAGACATTCATGTAGAGCGAAACACGGAAGGAAAGCCACCTTACTCTTACGCAACCCTTATCAAGTATGCTATTGAAAACAGCTCAAGAAAAAAGCTGACACTCAGTGAAATTTACCAGTGGGTCATTGATCATTATCCCTACTATGGTTCAGCTGGTACTGGCTGGAAGGTAAGGAAAAGACCCAATTGCTTCATTTACTCATGCTTTCTTCCTTAGAACTCAATTCGCCACAATTTGTCGTTGAATAAGAGCTTTGTACGTGTGCCTAGACCTATTAATGAGCCTGGAAAAGGTTCTTATTGGCAAGTTGATTATCGTGCTGCTGAAGCCGAAATGCGGTCTAAATCAACCATGACTGTTCGTGGTCGTGCTAATCGGTCCGGTAGTGACCCTGTAGGTGCTAATCCCTATCACCGTCCTAATAATAGTTGGATTCCTTTGGATAACAGTACAAGTCTCTCCAACAGCCAACGCTTTAATCGTGATTCACGCTCTCTATCTTTGGATGCTAATATGAACACCAAAGTGTTCCCTTCTCATCCTCCACCATCATCAATTTCTACTACTTCATCTTCATCATCATTTGGCCCTCATTATAATCATCATTCACATCATCATCCTAGTTATTATAACTATCCTCCCTATCATCATGCAAGACATTTAAATAATAGACACAGTGCTGAGTTCCCACGAAGTTCTTATCTTCCCTCAACAGCCAATAGTTACGATATGTACTCTGCAGCTGTAGCAGCCGCCAATGTGGACTCACCTAACTATGGTCATTATAACAGATTATCTCAACATCAACAACAGCAACATCAACAACAACAACAACAACAACAAGAACAGTTGAATTCCATGTATGAATCAAGCAATAGCTCTTATGGTCCTCATCATGGCTCTCTCTATTCAAACCACAACAACAACAATAATAATAATAGTGCACCCACAACGCCAAGCATATTGCAAAAGGCAGAATCCAATCTGACAGAAAATGAAGATGATTCTTTTCCAACGCCTCAACCTCATTTTAAACGCATTCAGCAAGATTCTTCTCCTCAGCATAACAATGGTACACCATCACCACCTCAGCCTACTTTAGATGGTACCTCAAAACCAGTCCGTACGAACAATGAATATGATTGGATTGCTTAATTTCTTTCCCAAAACACTTCTATGCAAAATACTGTTTTACATATCCAAAGATACACAAGTATATATCCATATATATACACATACACACATACATACATGATACATACTTTACCCTTTTTTTCTGACCCCTATCATGATCATTGCTCTTTTTTTATTATTATTTTATTTCATCATCAAAAAATAAAAAAATAAATCATTGTTTTCTTTAAAAAAAATAGACTTGAACCGTGCTTTTTTTTTTGTACTATAAAAAAGTAGTTTGGCTTATTTTTTTTTTCTTTCGTATTTGTTTGTTTTTGTTTATTTGTTTGTTTATTTTTAAAAACAAAAGCCTCAAATACACACATTAGATCTAAAAAAGAATGATCATGTTTGTACGTAAATTAGTGTTTTGGTATGACAAATGTCATAACAATTCCCGTTGTTGTTTCATATGAAGCAGTTGTAAATACTATTATTTTAGTTTCAGAGCACATTTAAGTGGAAGCTTGGTGAATCAGATAAGAAGAACACTAGTATGTAAGATTTTTATTGAAAATAGATTGTTTGATTACAAGGCGTTGAACGATATAAACTTGCTTATACTCAATGTACTACACAGTGATAATCAAAAAGCAGATAGTATTACTGCACGCTCTCTCTAATAAAAAAAAACTTCGTTTCAAAAGCCTGCATACAAAAAAAAAAGACTGTCGACTAACATCTCATAAACGAATGAAGACTTTGCTTTTGAAACAAAATTTCTCTTATTATGCGAGGGCAGTCTTCTTTCAGACCAAAAATTTATAAGTTAGTTTACACTGTTGTTTTCCAGAGATTGTTGCAAAGAAACAGTCTCTTTAGCTTTTTTTTTGTCTGATAGCTGAAATTTGAACAGGAGAGTACAATCCGACATGCACAGACACAGCACTTTGTAGTGTTCTTCAGTATTCTTCTTGATACCAATCACATTTTGCTACCATTCAGTACTGGTTGTTTTGAGACATTGATTAACACTGTAGAGCTACTGTTTGAGGGTAAAATGAATATCATCCGTCTGCTTTCATTACACTGGTGTAGCTGTAACCATAATCCGAAGAAGAGGAAAAGAGCAATAGGGAGACATTATTCATTCTTGCTCAAATGATCGATGAATTCACCTGATTGGTTAGCATTACACATATTGTAGATGCCTTTTTTTAAGGCACATATTATAAACACACTTATATTTATACGGCTTTCGCAAAGACAATTAAAACCAAACTCATTTGGGCCAATAAAAACTTAAATTCTTTACTTGCATGAATTTTCATGGATCGACAACTAAGTTGTCAAAAGGTACTTTTTCCTTCTTTCTTTTTAACTGAATGAAAATAAACTTTAAATCACCTCATGTTTTTATGACAGTAATTGTAGTGCAAAAGTAATGCTGTCATTGACCTTTTTTTTTTTGGTGAAGTACAATTATCCGCGGTATTCTATACATTGCTTCCCACCTCACAAGATGACGTAGTAACAGAAATCAATGGAAAGTATACTGGACATTGTATGACCATTTGTTTCTTTGTTCTACCTCTATCTTCTTAGATATAATATGGCAGATTTGTGTTTCAAAGTAAAGGGTTTAGGAAAAATAGAAAAGTAATCATAAAGTACTACCCTTAGAAAAAGAAAGGGATCTCTCAAGGTTTCACGATATTGTTTAGTGCAAAGCTATATGGAGAAATAATGAGTGACAAAAAAAGTCAATTTAAATCTCCTTGTCTTTAAGTTCAAGTCGTTTGCTGTGAGAAAATTAGATTACTTAAGCGAAACTTTTTTTTTGGGTTTCTTCGTTGTATGTATGAATAGAGTGTATGTGATTGTCAATCAGATAACAGATTAGATACGATATAATATATGCATAGAACTGTATATAAGGAAGTATATACAGTGTGCTTATACGAATATTCTGTTGTTACTGTGATCAGATTTCCCCGCAAATACAGAAATTGTCGTCATCAGATGATCTTATAAAAATGCATAAACTCATAGGAAGTTATTGCTAAAAGGAGAAATAACACTTTTTCTAAACAGAGCTAATCTTGTATTGCAAGTTCACATCATATGTAAATGAGAAAAAAAAGTATATATACAAGTGTTACTTGTGAAATAAAAAAGAACTTTTCACGTATCTAATATCATCTCAACATGGCTCCAATTATACCTGCCACTTCAAGTAAAATCGATCCAAATGCGGCCAAGTCTGAAGCAGGAATTATTCTATACTTGTGAGTTACTGCACATGAATAAATAGTAGCAAATTTACTGATATATGCATAGAATCACTGCATTTGCAGCTATTGGTGGTTTCTTGTTTGGTTGTAAGTTGTACTTGCTTCCTATAGATTTCTTTGTTGACTTTTTATATAGACGATTTTGGTGTCACAAGTGGTGTAATGGCTATGCCACAATTCCAAGCTTACTTTGATCCATTAACGCCTGCTATTAAGGTACACAACTAATCGCTTATTAAAAATCGATATTCACCAACTCTTTCTTGTAGGGTGCCTTAAACTCCTTAATGGGTTGTGGTGCTGCTTTTGGTTGTCTTGTTGCAGGTGTCATGTCAGATCGTTTTGGCCGTCGTGATACGATTGGTGTATCTGCTCTTATTTTTATCGTAGGTGGCGTCCTTCAATGTGCCTCTCATAATATTGAAATGCAATTGGTTGGTCGTTTTATCTCTGGTCTTTCTGTAGGCGCCTGTTCTGTTTTATGTAAGTTGACATAAACATCTACAGCAAACTCAATCATTTTAGCTCCCATGTACAATGCTGAATTGGCACCCAAGGAAATTCGTGGTCGTTTGATTGGTTTCCAACAACTCATGATTGACACTGGTCTATTGATCAGTGCTTGGCTCGACTTTGGTACAATTTATGTCAACAGCGATTGGTCATGGCGTATTCCTTACCTTGTTCAAGTGGCTCCTGCTATTCTTTTGGCCTGTTGCCCATTTATTTTACCTCGTTCTCCTCGTTGGTTGATTGAAAAAGGTCGTACAGAAGAAGCCTTGGATGTTCTTGCTTATGTCCATGGTAAAGGCAACCGTGATCACCCTTACGTAATTCAAGAGTTTAATGAAATCAACGACAACGTCCAACTCGAAAACAACGTGGCTGTCGATAGTTACTGGAGCATGATCAAGGACCCTAAGAACCGCCGCGTCCTTTGGGTTGGTTGCTCCGTCGCTATTTTTCAACAATTGACAGGTGCTAATGTGATTATGTATTATGCTGCATTCATGTTTCAACAAGCGGGTCTTAAGGGTTCCATGTCTTTGCTCGCCAATGGTCTTGATTATGCAGTCATGGTCATCTTTTGTATCCCTGGTATGATCCTTGTCGATCGAGTTGGTCGTGTCAAGTTGATGACGATTGGTTCGATTGGTATGTGTGCCTGTTTCTTTATTATAGCTGGTCTATATGGCGGTATTGGTTACACTGAATGGAATGAAGAACAGTTGAGTCATGTTGTGAACATGAGTAACAATCCTGCTGCTGGAAATGCTGTGATTGCATTTATCTTTATCTTTGTTGCTTTTTACGGTACCACTTGGGCCCCTGTAGCATGGATCTATATTGCTGAAATCTTTCCTTTGAGAATCAGAAGTAAAGGCTTTGCATTGGCCTCCGCTGTTCTTTGGGTCGGTAATATTTTGGTAGGACAAGTTACTCCTATTTTAATGGATAAAATTACTTGGTAAGTTACTCAAAAAAAAAAAAAAAAAAAAAAAAAAAAAAAAAAAAAAGATTCAATTTACTCACTGAAAAAAAAAATAGGGGAACTTATATTATTTACGGCGTCATTGGTATTATCATGTTGGTTTGGATATGGCTCTTTGCTCCTGAACCTAAAGGTCTTTCTCTTGAAGAAATTGAAGTTGTTTTCCATGGCCCTATTGTTGTGACCAACCTGAATTATGAAGAGTATCTGAATGCTCATCGTGAAGATGTTGAAAAGATTCGTCAAGAAGTCAACATTCAAAATAAGGAAAAGGCAGATGAAAAGCAAGAACACCAAGACAAAGATGGTTTTGACATTACTCATTAATTGTATCATTTTGTATTTTATTTAATTATTATATTAAACAAGAACCCCATCGTTCAAATGGAGCTCGATAAACGGGTGTCATTCCTGTACATATTTGACTTTTGACTTCATGGTTTGAATTGATTTGCGATGATGTGTATGAGCCTGTGTTTGCATTGTAATGGCATAAAGTCATACCCAAAGGTGGTGTTGTTGGTCTCATAATAGGGGATAAAGGTGTATCTTCCATGACATGGTCTTCTGGTGGTGATGCTAAATAGTCTAAAGTATGAATGCGTTTTGTGTCATTGTTTTCCTAGTTTGACAGGTTAATTCATTGAGTTTCATCATGTACAAATGTACCTTTTCTAATATATCCTCATTCTTCCTCTTTGTTTGTTGATTGACAGTGCTCATAATAAACTATTAGAAAAAAAAAAGAAGAAAATTATAATTCATTGCTTAAATACACTAAGGGTTTTCAAAAAACTTTCCGGTTCTTGTCCTCGGCCTTCGGAGACTGAGTTTAATTATATCCGAGATGTAATTCCGAGGAGCCAAAGACTTGTCTGTTCCTATTTCTCATACAATTAGTCATTATATGGCTTGGATTGTGAAAAGGTTTATTAACCCTTTTAGGGATTTGAGTAAAATCTCATTTTCTGTCTGAGAAAGACAATAATAGGTGTTTGGCATTCAAAGAAAGTAATTGACATTCTCAATCATCGTAACGGTTCCCTTTGAACGTATTCATACATATCACTCCTATTTTATTCAGGAACAAAGCACTATTTACTCTGTTCTTCACTTTCGATTCATCTGTCATCATTTAATCTGTAACCCAATCTCAAATAATGAACACCCCTAATAAAAAAAAGAAACTGGCTCTAATGGCACTTCCCAAAAAAGAATTAGCATTTTCGGAGATATAAAAATGAGCTAATGTTTTGTTGTTTTTGATGAGAATTGAAAGGACCTTTCCAGACTGAGGCACTTTCTTCATATCATTGGTCGATCAATGGTACACACTGTGTTGTTTTAATTGTTTAAGAAAAATTGATTGACGATCAGCGCCAATAAGTTATCAGCAGTTTCTGTTTTACTCCCCCAAGGCAAGACACCAATCACATCGTGTCAAATTTCTCAAAGGTCAATTGCGTCTTAACTTGAAAGAAATAACCATCCAGGACATTGTGTTTGATTATTTGACAAATTTAAAAGGTGTCTTTGTTTTGATCCGCAACGACAGAAAAAATGCTGTTGTCACTTGAATAAGTTAAATAGACACGAAAAACGAATGACTCAATTGTTTGCAACAACAAATGTGCCCATGCGTACAAATTAGGTTTTTAAGGGGGCAATTCAACCATCATAAAGAGAAAAGCACATCAATTGATCATTTGAGCCTAAACAAGCGAATATACCGTTTATATCGCTATCACGGCATACGTACGGCCTTATCTGAACTCCTTGTCACTGAATGGATCATTGCATGTTTTATAAATACATTTTTGACTCAAAATTTCCCTTAAACAAAAACATCGCGCACAGATGCATAAAAGAGAAATTAACCATGGTATCAGACAAGTACGGTAATTACAGCAAGCGGGAAGCTGCATTTGATTCTTCTATGAAAGCAGTCCAAATTACATCTTATGTTTCAAAAAAAAAGAACAACTAAACTAAACTCGTAAGGAAGATGACAGCTTAAGTATCTGGGCCAATCACAACGGATAGAGTAACTATGATTTATTTCTATCAATTTAAACGTTTACAGAAAATAAACAAACAATCGAAGATAAGGAGTGACATTAAATAGCTGCAATGTTGTGTTCAAAGAAGGAGGAAGATGTCCGAATGCTATTGTCTATCTCCATATGTAAATGAGAGCCAAAAGGCATGCATCCTTCAAACACAGCTTCCGACATAAGTGAGCTGATTGTTTCTACTGTGTTGGTATCATTCTCTATCAAATGATTTGTTATCTTCCGAAGACTATTCCAAACAACAGAGAGAATAGCATTGGATGTATTCGAACCTGGTATACCTGGATGATGTACAGGAATACTATTGAATATAAGCTTATGTGTTTATGAGTAACCCTTACCTGTCGAGGTTTTGTTGTCTTTTGCTAGTAAACTTTATACTTGTGGCACTATTGTTTTCGTCTGACGATGCCACGACATGATCAGCTATCTCAGCTGACGATGATGACACACCCATCACTACTAAATCTTGTGAGCCTATGCCTGCTGTCGTTGGTATAAAATGAGATGGCTCAACTTTAGTAAATGAAGGTGGTTCAATCGTTGCTAATAAGTCTAATACATCTTGGTCAGAATCTACTTCATCTTCTGTATGATCCAGCATAAGACCATGAATGGCTTTTTCAAATTCAGTGGGTGAATCTTCGTCAGAGGAAGGTAGACTATTCTGGTCTGAGGAGTCTTCCATCAGAAATGTGCCAGTACCATCATGGGAAGGCAAAAAAGCATTGGCGTCTAGATCAGAAAATGACTCTGTATCTGATGGATGATTTCGGTTGGAAGCTAACAATAAAGGTGAACTTGTGGTCGAGATAGGTGATGTAGAAGAAGGTAATGCTGAGCTAATAACGTGCCAATCATTATCAGAATCAGAGGTAAATGGCTGTTGTTGTGCGTAGTCGGAGCATTCTTCAAGAGAAGAAGAAGAAAAGTTCAAGGTTCTATAAGTAGGTCTTCTTTGTTGTTGAATAAAAGCCATAATAATAATAAAAAAGATGAAGAAAGAAAAAAAAAGAAATGGTAGGGAGATAGAAAAGACATGATAGGATAGAAATGCAATTGCATTGATTGGCGGATTTCAAATGAGTTGCGCACCATTCAAACAAAGTATAGTCGTGACTATTTTTTTTTATCAGATTGCTTTTTTCGTAGCAACACTGTTTATCGATCAATGCTAAGCATTATAAACTCATTACGTCAGTGAAGCACTTTGAAGCAACTAGAATGACCCATAATTTCAAATCATAAAATGTATATTTCTATTTTACTCGACAATGGGTAATTCATTGAAGCAAAAACTAACCTGCATCCTTCCGATCAAACTTTGAGCCAATAAAATCAAACAGTATAAATTCATTTACTATAAATGGATATCTATAGAGTTCAAGATAATCTAAAGTGCACTTTTTTTCTTTTCACTTCCATCACTTTTCTTCGTTATGTCCATTGGCTATTCTCCCCCTGCTCCTGGATCTAAGATCATCATTGTAGGTGGTGGCTGCTTTGGTATCTCTACTGCTTATGCACTTGCACTTAAAAACCAATATGAAATCTATGTGTTTGATCGCAACGAAATTCCTTCCCCTGATGCAGCCTCATGCGGTAAATAATAAATAAACAAACCATATGTATTGACAGCCTGTAGACATCAATAAAATCGTACGTATGGATTATGCCAACGACACCCTTTATATGCATCTCATGATGGAAGCATTTACTATCTGGGATGAATGGAATAAAGAACGTCAAGAGCAAAAATTAGATCCTGTGTACCATAATGTAGGTGTCCTTTTGTTCAGTGACAAAGACAAGATGGGTAAATTTGAAAACGACTGTTTAAAGAACATTCGTGAAGCTGGGTATGGTCATCTTGTAGAGGAATTCACAAGCCCAGAACAAATCATTCAGCGTTTCCCCTTATTTAAGCAAGCTGTTGAGAATGGATTTAATACAGCTTATTTCAATAAAGCAGGAGGTAAGTGTTGGTTAGTCGTATTTATCTAACTGTATGCTTAGGCTGGTGCAATTCTTCAGAAGCTGTGAAGCATCTCTACAACAAATGCGTTCAACTTGGCGTCAAATTCGTGGTGGGCAATGAAGGCTGTTTACAGGAATTAGTGAGAGATCCTAAGCAGCCTCAAACGGTCATTGGTATCAAGACACAAGATGATATCACTCACTATGGTGACCTTGTCATTTTAACAACAGGCTCATGGACTGCTAGTTTAGTGGATATGTATCAGCAAGTAACAGCTACTGGACAACAAGTGATTCAATTTAAGCCTCCTCAACATCTTCTCAAATCCTGGGAAAATATGCCTGTCTGGTGTGGTAACTTATCCAACACAGGCTATTATGGATTTCCTCCTAATGCAGATGGAAAAATGAAAGTTGGCAAACACCATAGCGGGTAATATTCCTCTATCAACAATCACCATAAACTTATTCCTTGTAGTTACTTGAATCCTTGTTTAAAAGACGGTGTCTCTTTTCCTCGAACCCAAGTGACTCATGCACAAGATACAATTCCTATTGGTGCTCTTCATGGTTTTCGAAAGTTTTTGAACAAATTTCTTCCAGAAACCTCCAAATTAAATATCTCGCATGCTCGCGTATGTTGGTAAGTATATTGTAACGCATATCATGACTTTGCCATGACTTTGTGTCTCATACATATTAGGTATTCGGATTCCATTGATGGTGATTTTGTTATTGGTCCTCATCCAGATTATAAAAATCTTATTGTGGCCACAGGAGATTCTGGACACGGATTAAAGTATAAGCATGAGAAAAAAAAATCAAGATGAGATAAACTCACTCTGCTTATCTAGGTTTATTCCCGTCTTGGGTTTCAAGATTAGGGAGATCATTGAAGGTAAAGATACAGACTATGCCCGTGCATGGAAATGGAGAAACATGCAGACCCAAGATACCAAACTAGATGGTCTTCGGGCTGATGCTTTGTTACAAAGATTGGTGTTATGTGAGCCCAACAATAAGGAAGCCAGAATGGCAACATTAGAAGAATTCAAAGTTGATCCCAGAGCTAAACTTTAATTTCTTTACCTTAATAAAAAAAAGTTCATATAAAAAGAGAGAAAAAAATGTTTTCTTTTTTTTTTTTCTATAATTCATTTTCAAATGCATACTTATACAGCACCTAAACCTGGTTCCAAGATTATTATTGTCGGCGGTGGATGCTTTGGTCTATCTACTGCCTATACACTCTCATTAAGCAAGGAGAAAAATTATGATATTTGGGTCTATGATCGCGAATCCATTCCTGTTCGAGATGCAGCTTCGAATGGTAGGATTATCCTGGGTGTGCATAAACATTGATGGGCTTTTGTATAGACATCAGTAAAGTGGTTCGTATGGACTATGGCGATGCTCGTCTGTATACGGATCTCGCTATTGATTCTATCGACATTTGGAATCAATGGAACCAAGAAAGAAAGGCACAAGGACTTGTTCCTGTCTATCATAACACAGGACTCTTGGTCTTTAGTGGTGAAGACAAGCTCTGTGAGAACGAACTACACAGTCTAAAGCATATTCGAGCTGCTGGTCATAATGATTGGATTGAAGAATTGAGTCCTCAAGAACTTGTGTCAAGATATCCCTTTTTTGAGAATGCTGTCAAGAACGGCATCAGTGCTGCTTATTACAACAAAGTAGGAGGTAATGCTATTCTAACATCACGTTGACATACTCATACCTCAGGATAGGTTGGTGCAACTCTGCTGAGGCCATCAAGCATATTTATCAGAAATGTCAAGACAATGGTGTCAAGTTTGTATTGGGCGATCAAGGCTGTTTTACTCAATTGATTACACAAGCTCGCTCTGTGGTCGGCATTAAAACCAAGGATGGCCAATCTCATTTAGCAGACCGTGTTGTGATGTGCACGGGTTCTTGGACCTCCAGTGTCATTGATATGCATGATCAAGTGATTGCTACAGGCCAAGTTGTGATTCACTTTAGACCGACAGAACAGATCAAACAAGCTCTTAAAGACTTGCCTGTCTGGTTTGGTGACTTTAGTCGTGCAGGATTCTATGGGTTCCCTGATAATGGCCATGGTGTGATGAAGATTGCTAAACATGCTACTGGGTATTTGAATCCTCGTCCTCAAGATGGTGTCTCTGTGCCTCGTACACAAGTGACGCATGAACATGATACGATTCCTGTACAAGCAGTCAAAGATTTCCGTACTTATTTAGCCAAGTTTTTACCCATCACCAATGCATTAGATATCACTTATGCGCGCGTATGCTGGTATTCAGACTCTATTGATGGGGATTTTATTGTTAGTCCTCATCCTGATTATGATAATTTAGTTGTAGCTGCTGGTGATTCTGGGCATGCTATGAAGTAAGCCACTTATTTTTTTGAAAAAAAGACTAATATCCCCTAGATTCCTTCCTATGATGGGAACGAGAATTGTAGAAGTCATTGAAAACCAAGAGAATGAATACACAAAAGCATGGGCATGGAGAAAAGTGCAACCACGCCAAGGCTTTTATGATCGACCTCTTTTGATAGATGAACATCATACAATCAGAATGGTCACACAGGCAGAATTGAGATCATCCAAACTATAGTTGCTTTATTGGAATAAATAATTTATTGCTTGAAACATTCGGTAAAGAATTGAGCAGTCATTTGAATAGCTTCATTAGCTCTCTTGGCGTTTTGCTCATCAGCGTAATTACCACGAGCAGCACAGAAACCATGGCCTTGATCATCAAAGCGAACATGCTTACATAAAGCACCAAAAGGCTTCTTAGATAAAATTTGCATGTATTCAGTCATATCGGGTTCATTCTTGGAGGGAATAGCAAGGATAGGAGCACCGGCCTTTTCGGCATCCTTGACATCGACAAAGGAAGGATGGATCAAGGAAGCGCCAGCAAAGAAAGGATTGGAAGTCAAGGCAACACCAATCTTGGCACCCCAACAGAAACCAACAATAGCAGCAGATTCTGCGCCATCTTTCTTGAGTTGTTCTTGGACACGGTTGATGTCAGGTGTCATCTAACCCCCCATCTTAGTTACAGTCGTATCTATGGTTACTTACGTTTTCAAGAGTGCCAACTTTGGTGATCCAGGCAATCAAAGCAGACATATCGCCTCGTTCAAAATTCCAATAATCACCGCGAAGGAAATCAGGCATCACAACCTTCCAACCACAGTTCTTGGCCAAAATATCACAGAATTGCATTGTGTTGGGGCTAGAATAAAGTTAGTACATTGTGTTTAACCATCAAGGATACTTTACTGGAAACCAAAGATATCATAGATCACAAGAACAGCCTTCTTCGCGTCCTATTGAGTCACAAGTGTCAGCCACTCAATAGACATGGTGTTTAAATCTTACCTTGGGACCAATAGTGTAAACATCAAGGTCATCAATCTTTTCTACAGCACCAACAGGAGTGTAGTCAGATTGAACAGGAGGAAGAGTACAACAGGCCTTTGTGAATGCCATTTTTAATTTAAATAAAAAGAAGAGTCAAGAATTGCAAAGTTTTTTATTTATTTATTTATATATTTATAAACATGGGAAAACATTTTTCCGGCATAGATTCGATCGAGTTCAGATATTCCCATTTTCGGGATAATAATAAAATTAGGATTAATAATCAATGTAAATTACCAACTAACGTCTTTCTTGCTTAGCTGGGCATCGTGCAAAATTCCTCCGGGAACTCGAGGCGGAGGTGTGTACACTTCTTTAGGATCCTTGGGATGAACAAGCTGCGGTTGATCTTGATCGCGCTTGATTTCTGAAAAGTGTTGTACTTTAACTACATGATCATCTAAAGGAGTAGCATTTTCAAGTTCTTCACGACGCTATATGAAATATGAGTTATATGCTATCTATCTACATTGGCGCTTACTGTCTTGGATGTCTTGCCTATACCTAATCGGGGTAGACCTCGGTTAAGACCTTCTAATAACATACAGGCTTTACATAGAGCATTAGAAGACATGTACCCACAACGCTCACACACAGTTTGGGTAGGCATCTTTGTGCCTGTTTTGATTTCAAATGCTTCTCCCGATTTGATAATATCAATAATAGCACTGGGTCGAATGGCTTCTAAATCTTTCAAGAAAGTACGAGCATGACCACGATAAGCATTAGGTGAATAAATGCATTCTGTTGAAAAGTAATCCAGTTTCTTAAAATAAGCATACATGACAATCTCTTTTTCATAGGTATATTTGAATGGCTTGGATCGTCGAATGTTACTTTCGCCCTGAGTCACGATTTCTGTACATCTACCGAGTCTTGCGATATCACCGCGAAAGACTTGTTCAAGTTAGAAAGGGGATGTTGTATGCAGTAACTTACTGTTCATCAATACTGTCTCGGCTATATCATCTGCATTATGGCCAGTCACAATATGACTGACCCCCAACATGACAGCACCTCGATCTAATGCTTGACGTCTAAACACACCACAATAGGTACAGTTGTTCTTTCTGCCTACTTCACGCACAATCTCATCCATACTCCAACCATACAAATCATGATAAGATACAATCTTGAGAGGTAATTCATATTGTTGTTGATTACGCTTGACAGTTTCTAAGGAATCATCTCGGTAGCCTGTGATACCTTCATCGACAGATAGTAAATATAGATCGAGACCATAATCATAACGATCATTCAATGTCTTCATCACATGTGCAAGGACAGTGGAATCTATTGACAGTGTCAACTCATAAGAAAAGAGCAGAACCGTCACTTACCTTTTCCTCCACTGGCGCCAATAGCCACTCGTTCTCCTCTTTGGAAAAGGTTGCTGTCTTGAATCGTATGATGAATCTCAGTTTCAAAGACATAATAAAAACATTCTTGGCAAATTTGTTGACCTGTCTTGGGTCTCTTGAGAACGGCTCTTCGCTTAGCACAGAGCACACAGAGTTTGACCATGATGAAGTATAAAAGACAGCTGTGCAAAAAAAAAAAAAAAAAAAAATGAGAAAGTGACCTGTGACTGTCAATGCTCTTCAGGTCCAATCCTTTCCCTCTTTCTTTCCCTCTCTCTTTCTCTATGGATCTTAGTAGCCTGTTAAATAACCAAAAAGACAATACCATTTCACTGTCTGATCTACAAGTATTGCTCGAGAAAAATGATAATACAAGCACATTAGAGAAAATACGGACCAGTACAACATATGTCTATCCTAGCAACAGACAAGAATCCTTTCTGTTCTTTGATTATTTTATTCGTGTCATTCTATCCATTGTATCTGACGATGATCCATACCATGCCCAATATACCAAGTCCATTATTATAGACTCTTTACGCAGTTGCATCAAAGGCATTATTGACCAATACGACATAACTTGGTTAACTCAGTTTTCACACTACTTCACGCGTCAGACATGGTCTGCTTTGCACGATAATATGACAGTCCTCGTATATCTGTATGGACTTGTATTGGCACTACTCAGGGAACCGCAGTCTATCAATACATCCAATGCATGGATTTTAGGCATGATTCAATTTATGCGTTCCAATTCAGCTGCTTTAATGAGTCATTTATGGCTCAATTGTTGTACTTTTCTAGAAGATGAAGCAGACTATATTCACCAAGGTGATGTAAAAAAGATATATATTGACTTTCTCGAAAAGGGAGTGCGACAGAAGATTGTGTCTTTGACAGCTATTCAAGAGATGTGGACGATTTTGAAAGAATCGAATGCACCGTATTTATCAACCCAGTTGGATCAACAGTGGGGATCTGGACTTGTTAGAGCGTCTTTTACAAAAGATGAAGTTATGTTGGGGTACATTTGCTTTAAAGATGTATGTCAGGATCGAAGTATAATGAGTCAGTTTTATACACCTTTAGGTAAATTCATCTCTCAATACAAAGATTGATAACATAGCATAGACACTCTGGATAAAAATCCATTGCTAAATCAAGATATTTTAGCAGCTACACCAGCTGATAAACATGCTCAAACCAAAGCAATTCAAAAGGGCACTTTATTTTGGATTCAACAGATGAGTACAATAGCATCTCAGGCATTTGACATGCACTTGAAAAACTTGATCCTTGACCACTATCCTACAGATCAAAAGTCAATATTGGACCTTCTTTTGTCTGACTGGACTATGCGAGATCGTTTTCATCGACATTTGGATGTGGTGATGGATACTTTGTTGTCTCAATTGGACCAAAAGAAATACAATATACGTACTTGTCCTTACTATGCCTTTGTACAGCTGTTCAGTCTATCAGAACCTCAAAACAACAGTATCAACAACACCACCTATCAAATCAAATCAGGCGCTTTTATTGATCTTTCACAATTCAGTAATTGCACAGATAGTGTCTTGATGCAAGGATGCTGTAAAGTATTGCAGAAAATGACATTGTATCCCAACCCAAATCATCAAGTGACTGACTGGGCTGCTGACTGCTTAAAGTCTGCTAGTGCAGATATCATTCAGTTCTATACTGGCTGGTTGACCCAAGGACTTGAAAGAGAGCTTGCTACACAGTCATCTAACACATTCCATCAGTATGCCAAGTTTACATTATTGCTGCTAAACACTTGCGTGACTCAATCAACGCATGTAGTGCCTACACTCTTACAGACACTTTCAGACACAGGTCTCCAATGGCTCCTTCAAACTCATCGTAAATCAGCCAGTATCTTGTTACATTATTTTGATGATGAATCACAAGTATCCAAAGACATGGTTGTCACTCAACTCTTGAGTACAAAGACAAAGTCATTTATTGACTTGTTGTTGAATTACCTAAGAGACATGATGTCTGGTACAGATCCCAAATTGCCTCGGTCAAGAAGGTGGTTTAAAAACCACTTCTTAAAGAATGTGTTATTGCTTGTATGTGAACAAGCAGACACCAGCGTGAGTGCCTGTCTGTTTCGACAGTGGTTCAAGACACGCGATGATTTTGAGTGGTATTTCAGTACACCTTTACCTCAACAAATCACACTGGATGGACTGGATCTAACCAGGTCCCATCGTATCTATGGCATCAAACACACAGGTCTGGCTGCTATGTTTCAAGATATGGTAGGTGATCATGTCAAAAAGGAACGCTTGATTCAAATCTGGTTTGATTTATGGGTCTCTGATCATACCTTTACTGTGCCTGTAAGCTGGATCTTGCAATGTACTGGTCTTTATGATCAAGCCCCTGTCTTGATGAAGCAAATGATCAAGAAACTGATCTATGTGGGCATACAACATACTGGGTTTTTGGATGCAATGATGGACTTGGTGCTTTTGTCTGATGCACCTGAGCCAGACAGTCTGTTTGAGCTCATTCTGGAGGTTGCTTGCGAGACACAAGGCATAGAGACAACCTACAAGCGTATCAATGCCAACATTATTCATCTCATGATTGAATTGTCTGAAGAACTGGACCTGGCAACCACAGTGCAACCATCCAACACAGCAGAAAAAAAGCTTTCCAAAAAACAACGCCGAAAACTAAAGAAACATGGTAAATTACCTCACAACAAATTACGCTCCATGATGCGTAAACATGAAGAAGAACTTGAGAAGTATTTACGCGAATCCAACACATCCACACACAACAATGGCTGCTTAAAAGCATTAACTACACTTGTACAGCGACTGTTTAATTTTCTTTTGCGATTGTTGCTCTCAGTCTCGACAGTAGATTCAACAAATAATTCACTTAGTATCAAACAAGACGTTCAGAGGCAATTGATGAGCACACCTTTGTTTTATGAACCATTAGCTAAATTCGTCAAATTGATTCGACAGCCAGAAGATTTGCAGGAAGATATTCAGGCTACCATTGATATCAGTACTGATTATCTAAAGCGCTTATCTGATCTATCATTGTTTAAAGCATCACAAAATATTATGCATGAACAAATCAATTAAAATCTAGATAGATGACATCAACATACCTGGCCAATAAGCCAATACCATAAATTTGATTTTTTTTTAAATATTCATTCTTTATTATTCTTTTTAGTATAAAATGAAATGAAAGAAGAAAAGCTGTCTTTATTACCTTTAAAACATAAAGCAGGTGGTCATGTAGCCATGTTTCGGTTATCAAATGGTCCTTTATGTAAAGCCATTAAAACGAATGAACATGCATTTTATTTAAATGTCATGAAGTATGAAGGATTAAAACCTTTTCTTCCTAGATATATGGGACTTATCCATGTTGTTTATGACAAGGGATTTCCAGACATTGCATTACCGTCTGATCGAAAAAGACTCTGTCAATTCCAACAGCATGGTCAAGTGGATCCTCCTTCTATTATCTCCATAGGCGAGCCATTTATGGTCATGGAAGACTTGACACTTGGTCTTGAAAAGCCTTGTATCCTTGATTTAAAGATGGGTACAAGACAGCATGGTGTTTATGTGACAGAAACAAAGATGAAAAGTCAAAAGACAAAGTGTGAACAGTCTACAAGTAGTCAATTAGGTGTTCGTGTGTGTGGTATGCAGGTAAGCCTCTTTTTTTTTTCATGACAAGATACTTTATTTAGTATAAAAGACACAACATATAATAATAAACATAAAAGGTGTACCAATTAAATAAAAAACAATATGATCTACAAGATAAATACGTAGGGCGCACATTATCACCAGAAGGGTTTCGTCAAACCATTCACCATTTTCTTCACAATGGTCCTTGTTTTATACCCATCTTGATTCAACACCTTCAAGAACTGTATAAAGTGATTAACAAAGACATGGTTGGCTATCGATTCTATGGTGCAAGTCTATTGATTGTCTATGACGCTTTTTGTCTTGATAAAATAACCACTAAACTTATTGACTTTACCCACTGTATCACAAAAACCGAAATGGACACCAATCAAGCCAACATGACATACCCACCCGAAAAAGGTTCTCTGTATCCAGATGAAGGATTTCTTCAAGGCATTTCTACACTTTTAGACATATTGCAAGACATGCAACACCAATAAAACTTTTTTTTCTTTATTCGCTTCTTAATCGAAGACCTTGACGCAATTCGTCTGTCAAAGGTGTATCATTTTTACAACGGTCACATTGACAGGTAAACAAATAAGACTTGTCTAAATAAGTTTGACGGGTTTCCTTATTCCATCGAGGATTGACATAGGTTTCGTACAATTGTTCGTCTTTTTTGATATCTCGAATAGCGCGAACTGTAATCTTGTATTGTGAGTGCTTTTGAGGGTAGTCAATACTGACATTAGGATAACAGTTATGGTTGATGTGTGAATGAACAAGATACATGCCACCGTTTTGATTGTTGATGTTGAATTTACCTAAATAGTTTAAAAAGGTAGCTTCGTCGTCAAATAACGATGTCAATAGACTGTCAGGCAAAGGCTTTGTGATCTTGCATTTCTTGGGTGGCACTTTATAAGCAGCACGCAACAAGTCACGTGCCTTGGTCCATAATTCTCGGGTAGGTCCTTCCATAAAAATCCATTCTGTTTCTTTGGCTTGACGTTCTTCTTGTGACACAGTAGCAAAGGCATCTAAATGACCCATGACTTGATCTAATTCACCGCGCTGATGGGCCAAAATCAATTGGGCGTAAATACGAGAAACAGCCATAGGTGCTTGCCATTTCTCAATCTCACAAAATGCAATAAAGGATCCAATCTTGTTGTTTAAATGAGTACATTCTAATTGATGGAAACTCTCCCATGCTTTGGCACGGCATTCTTTACTACAATAATACATGTTGCAGTGACCACAGTGTTGTGTTAGACGGTTAGGATACAATAAGGGCTTACAGCAGAGACCACAGGCATTGCCATTACGAGCCAATTGATAGCCTTCCCAAGGAGGAAAGTAAGTAAAAGGTGTCTCGGTAAATAAGATTTCGTCTTTTTTGATGTCTCGAGCAGCAAACAGACCTTTGCCTGTCACAGGGTCGACCATACGAGCCACGACACAGTCGGAAACAGACTTGAAGTCAAGCTTAGGATCGATATAAGAGACAGGGACTGAAGGGTCGTCTGCAAGACCTGACTTGACAGGTTGTTTGGTGGTGGTTGAATTGGTCAAGCCAGTGGACTGCATATACTTTTTGACACGTTTCTCGCTTACTTGCCACTCAGGCTTAGCTGCAAGAATTTGCGTGGTGACTGTCTTGATACCAGCTTCAGGCTGCTCAAGTTTAATGCTCTTGATAGCTGAAATTAACTCTTCTTCAGTAGGGATGATTTTTTCAGACATAACGAAAAAAAAAAGGAAAAAGTGAGAAACTAGGTACAAATTTTCTCTCTTTTATACAAGCCACCTTGCTGATTGGCTCATCTCCCCCAGTCTAAATTTTCCGCTATTTGTTTTTTTTTTCTTCTTCTTTCACATTAAGAAATGAACGATTCTACCAAAGACACTCTTTACAAGGTAAACAGACACAAAATAGATGCTATTTTCTGACTATCTAAATAGGTTGCTGACGTTACAAAAACCATCATTCATTGGGGTTTTATTCCTTTTGTTATTTACTTGGGTATGACCCGTAGTAACCCTAGACCCTCCATTCTCAAGTAAAGTAGAACTGACCCTTTTAAAAATACGATTTAACCGTGTTTTATATAGGCTTGTTTCTCCTCTTGCTTAAATTCACTTGTACAAAACTCATTTATATTGTATCAATCATCCTTTTGTTTAATTCAATAAAAACTACAAGAATAGCTTGTATATAGAAAAAACAAACAGAGATTATGATGGTTTTTTTTAATGCGACAAAAAAGAGAAAAGAAAAGCTATATATATATATAAGTCGAGAGCATTAAAAAGAAAAAAAGAAAAGGAAGCTATGTATATATATATATATACATATGTTTAAAAAAAAATTGCATAGTTAAAAAGTCATAATTTAAAGAAAAAAAAAAAGGCATTAAAATCATAAAAAAGTGGTATTGTCTTGCTGATAATCATGAAGTGACCAATCTTGTGATAAAAAGAACTCTTCATCTTTAAGAAAGTCAACAGTAGATGTTGTTGTTGCTGTTGTTGTATTAGGTACACCAATTAGACAAGATGCATTCTTTGTATTACTCTGAATCATGCTTTGATGATGAGCAAGTTGTGTATCAAAGTCATCTACAATAAAAAACGAAGGTTCATGCTGTGGTTGACGCTGCTGACACAACATTTTCTGTGTCTGTTGATCTTGTTCCTCTTCTTCTTCATCTGAAGAGATATAACTTTGAGAAGAAACATCGTCCAACATATCTTGTTGCTGTTGCTGCTGTTGCTTGCTGCGTTTTTGTTGTGATTTCTGCTGTCGATCTTCTTTGTATTTGATTTGCATCCATCGTGTACGACATTGCCGTTGTGTTCTTCCTGGAATTGTTTCTGCTATTCGAATCCAACAGCGACCAAAATCATTCACACCCATTCTAAGTAAAGTATCTTCCTCAGCACCCCATTTGCCTTTACGGACATAAGGATCCAATGCCTCGGTCCATCTGGCTTGACATTGGATACCTGTACGATTAGGAATACGCTCAGCAATCTTATTCCAAGGAATGGGCTGTAAGCGACCTTCATTATCAGTCACATTGGCATATTCAAGCACAGAATAACGCAAGATGGCATCTTCATTTTCTGTCCAACGTCCCTTGTGTATATTAGGACTAAAGGAAATGAGCACAATATCACAGACATACAATTCACTCACTTCAAAGCACCAAGCCATCGTGTAGAACATTGCATAGGTGTTCGATTAGGCACATGAGAAGCAATCAAAGACCATTTATGTGGACCATGAAGCTGAACTGCTTGCTTTAATAGCTCATCTTCTTCCACTGTCCAACGCGAATAGGTTGAAGGTCTTTTGTTTCGCTTGACTGAATGACTTCGTGTGGTTGTTACAATAGGAGACATGAAAGGCGTGTAGGGTGTCCATCGAGGACCATCATATCCTCCGAGCGAAAATCGTCGTTTACTACCTACAGGTGACATCTTGCATCGGAATGTTTATTACGTCTTTTTATGCTTCACCTTACCATATAGGGTGATGTACATGCAGATGATAATCCACCATAATGAGGATCATAATCTGATAAAGTAGGTGTCTAAAATCATAAACACTTGTTTCGGAAAATAAAAAATAAAAATTAAATGTACCTGAATAACGCCTTCTACTTTAAGAATAGGTTGAGGTTGTACTAAACCTGCCATGACTTGTTGTGAGAATCCCTGAAACAAACGTCAAAATTTCTCGAGGAATGCTTCTCTTTCCTTCTGTTACATACCTGATGTTGTTGTATACTCATGTCATGTTGATAATCCTAACAATACAAAAGGTTTCAATCGTCCATAGCTCATGCAATGAATTTACCTCTGAAGTATTCCAACAAGTACTACTAAATAAATCCATCTTTATGTTTTATGATTGAACAGGTTATGTACAACTGAGAAAAGAAGAAAAGAAGAAAAGAAAGAAATGAAAATGCATGGATTTTATTTCCGTATAACGAAAAATATGAAGACATTTCTCGATCCGAACATTGGATTATCTACGTTTTTGTTTTCTTTTTACAGAAAAATATACGGGAGATTATGTTCATTACTGTTTTTTTTTCTTGTATGAAAAATTACTTGATTGAGTTTGGTTAAGGTATGTTGCATATTTGTTCTTTATTGAGGAACAAATGATTGGAAATAAGCTCCTTTTTTTTATCATGTTTGTCGGTAAAAAAAAAAAAAAAAAAAAAAAAAAAAAAAAGGAAGGGAGAGATATAGGAATTTCTTTGTGAATAGCTTAAAAAAAAAGAGTCTTATTTCATAACGTCAGTGACAAAGATATAGCACCGACGGATGACATGATAGTACATCATTACGCAGAATTTTGACCCTAAGGTATGTCAAATGGCATGAATAACAATTTTAAACTACGATAGAATATATACGAAGTTTTCATGTTGGGGACTTCAGGAACATAATTCTTTATCATTAGGTTTTTCTTTCTGGAAGAATTAACAATTTGGTCCTAAGAAAACATAGTGCTAATAAGCCAGTTAAAAAAAAGGAAAAATTGATTAATGCCATTGTTCTTTGTTTAGCTAACTCAACACATAAAGGATTCATAGGCAGGGATAGCCTGCGATACTGTAGTTTCTTATGAGCCTTTTTTGGGCAATTTGGACATTATATGACAGAGGCGGTTAAAAGTCTGATCGTATTTAATTTTTTAATCATAAACTGAGCAATGACAGATTCACTCATCAAGTAGGGTGCAGTTTTTTTTATAGCTTATTAAAAGAAACACTCAATTCACTACTATTGGTGTTGAAAGTGTAGTTACTAAGGCGTTTCAGCAAGCGCTAAAGTATACCGAATTTTTCCGAATGTACTTTAACATGTCTATCTTATAGATAGCAGCCCTTTGATTTGGTTTTAACTGATAGTTTGGAGCTTCCTTTGTGCCTTTCATACAGACTGGCTGGTATTGGCAACTGAAAAAAGGGAAGCTCCTATTCTCTCTTTCACATCTAAAAATGGAGCTCCAAGCTTACATGGTTCTTTCACGTTAAAACAGACCCCATGCCATGACTCCCTCTAACACGGGGCGTCGTTAACCTGAAAGCACTGCAAAGTCTTGGTCGCAAGTTGCTGCTCGGAACATTGTGTCCTGGCGTAGCCCTTCGCCTCCATCAGCCACCAACTATGCAACCTCTTGATCTAGCTCTCGATGGGCATCAGCTTTAGATGTCACCTTCACCAGTACCATTGCACATTTTATTGTTGGACTCGAACAAGATAGCATCTTGATCGGCATTATCAATATCCTAGATGTTAATCGCCTGAAACAGTTGTTGGAATCTCAGAAAGATGCAAATATCTACCATTTCTTCGGCACTTTGCTTGTAGAACCAAAGCACTTGCAACGAAGATTTATCAAAACTTGCTGGGATCTTGAGTCTCTCATCTATCAGTCACTCTTGAACGAAGGATCGACTCTTGAATTGATAACTTTAAAAAGTGCTACTGTTGGATAGAAGGCCTTTTTTGGGGACGTCCTGTTTTCGCTAAAAATAAAGCATATGGTTCTTCTTGTGGTTAAGCATTCTTTGTTTGAGTTGATCGAAATTCATCATAAATATTGATAGTCAAGCCTACAGAAAAAAAGGGGGATTGGCCAAAATTTACAATCTTGGCAATACGTACACCCTTTTAATGAGAAAATTGACATATTCATAAGTATCAATTTGCATAACGAAACCAAACCAAAAGCTAATCCAGATCATAGTCCTTCTACTTCATAAACCGTTCATATCTCGCTTGTGAGTTATTGACTAAATTCCTCATTTGAGCCTCCAAAAAAACAGGCTCCTTGACTGTTATGAGCGTTGTATCTCTCAAGTGATTGTTGAGTTAAAATTTCAATGTCGCAAAGTCTCCGTATCTCTTCGTTAAGCTTTTTATAATGTCATCCGAGGCTGGCTTCGGGTCGCTGTCAAGAAAGTAGAAAGGAAAGGAAAAGGAAAATCTTAATCATTCATAAATTTCTTTGTACATAGTAAAGGTTGGCTGACACCCTCGCTTTATCCAGTACAGATAAGCAGCTGATTCTCTCCTTCGTCCGGTCATGTTTCTACGCCTATTATGCATCTTTTTTTCTCTTTTTTTTGTCTTTTACACTATAGTACTTCATCGTCTATGTTCCCTGTCCTTTTTTCTATATTTTTATAATTTTATAGTTTTTTTTTTGCACTCTCCTTTTTTTGAACTGATAGTTAGACATTTACCCTATAGGACCCAGTCTTCATGACCATATAAATAAAATATAAACTTTTACCGAATTTTTCATGAGTAACATCCTTTGGCCTTAAGAGAGTTTATAGTAAAAAGAGTAGCCAATAGAAAGAGAAAGTTGGCTTAAAATTAAATATTTTCAATCTCCACGAAAAAATCAATTGAATACAACCCCCCCTCTCCCTCAATCCTATTTTTTTTTTTTTTTTTTTTTTTTTACAATGATAGAAAAGATAACCACTGTGAATCTGAAGCACTAAAACGATCATAGATGTCTAAACAAAAGGCCTAACTTGACTGTTGTATGACGAGTTTGTCGAGGATTTTGAGATCTTGCGAGATCGATGATATAGGCGTCTTTTTTTTTGTGCCTGATCAGTCGTGTTTTCTTTCTTAATCATTCATTTGACATGATGAAAAGAAGAGGTCCAGAGAAAACAAAATTCATGTTGGCTTTTTTTGACTTGATCTTATCTGATTCATTTGAATGTTTATTAATTATTATGTCTTTTTTGTGTTGTAGTATTTCTAATAAAGATGTATTTTAAGAGAGTATTTTTTTTTTACAAAATGCCCTAAGATTTGTTAGCCTACATTCAATTTGGCTGCTTACTCACCTGTGAGTAATATTGATAGGTATCATAAAGTCGTGTAAATACATTACAACAGCTACTCATAATCAACTTATCGACATATGCTTCCACTTGAGGCTCTGTCAATTGTAACTGGAATCGATCACGAAGAGCAGAGACGGTAGCTGGTCCATTTTGGAAACAGGGTAATTTGCTATCCTTGGACATCATTTCTGTCAACAACAGAATATTATCGCTGTGTTTACGAACAGCCAAGAAGGCTGCTTTTGTTAATGCCTTATACTCTGCAAACACGTCACTATCCACTCCTCCCAGGATATCGATGTATTCCTGAGGTAACTTGAAAGGCGCCATCTCAAATCCAACAGAACCAGGTGAGTTAGACAAAATGAAGCCAAAATCGATATGAATAATATGGCCTACATCATCGACTAAAAGGTTACCATTATGTCTGTCTTTGATTTGCATCAGGTAAGAAGCAACAGAATAGCCAGCTAAACTTCTCATGAATGCATCTTGCGCGTTCTTGTACCTTGTAGATTCGCGTGGTCCCCAACGCTATTCACAGAAATGAATTTTTCTTTTTTATGTAGATGCACTTACTCGAACAAAGTAATCTCCAAGTGAAAATACAGCACCTTGTTCATTCCATTTTCTTGTATACGCTTCTTTTTTAATAGAATGAATTGAAATTGAATTCTTAACAGTCTCAATTAAGCCAGAATCATCCGAAGTTACCAATACACGAATACTAATTAAGGTCAATACCAACTTCTTTTTAGAAAATCAACCCACTTACTATTGTACCCAAACATTGACTTGAGTATCTTGCCAGATCTTTTGCATTTCTCGAATCAATTGAATTGCAAATTGTTCTTGTCTCAAGTCAGCTCCATTCTTCACAATCACTGAAATCAATCGCCAATTAGGTAAATGACCATAAGGAGAAGAAGCACGGATTCTTTCTTTTTTAGTTTCCCAATCTTCAGAAAACACGGCTGCACTTGGATCTTCTTTATTGACGACCATGGCTACTCGTTGTTCATCGTCCAGTTTCTTTTCATGACCTGCGCCCTCTCCTCCTCCTCCTCCCATGCCTTTCGCCACACCTTCCATGGCCATCTTTTCCATACGTTCGTCTTCTAATGCCATCATTTCTGCAATCACTTTATGGCGAATACTTTCGGTACTTGTACGCACTGTCTGTTGTTGAGGTTCAAGTCGCAACTGAGCCAACAAGATGGCTGCTGTCTTCATCTTTTCTGCAAACTCATCATCGTCAAATAAGGGTCGGGTGTCCTTTTGGGTTTCTTGAAGATCAACTTCACTACTTGAGCGTTGCTTTACACTGGGCGCGGATGCTGATAGATCGCAGCTCGTACGAGCACTGGTGGGAGACCCGAGATCGCCTAAATCGGTCATGGCATCCTCCAATGCTTCTTTTCGCTTTGTTGTCGAAAGTTGCTTAAGACGATGGTGTTTTCCCTTTTTGAGCTTACTCAAGGATGACTTGAACCCGTTTTCCAAACTAAGTTCATCATCCAATACTTCAATCATTAACAAATAAGGTGCCTATATAACGCATATGAGTTCTATGTCTATCTACACAAAAAAAAAAGTGCGGCTTACTCTTTCAGCCGAGTTCAAGACAACAGCATCCGTTGGACTAATACGAACAATACGATGATGGTAAGGTCGATCGACTGTAGCAGGACACCACAACGGCATACAAATCTCAGCAGGTAAATTATGGTTCAGCAAGGTCAATTCAGCATGCAACGCACTCAATCTGGCTGGTTTAGGCACAATCACCAACCGGGTCGCAATATCCACCAAGGCCAATAAGAACTGCATTTCGGAGCGAAAATAATTGGACCGGAGCAACTGACGACGATCATCCAAACTTAATTTGGCTAATGCATACACTTCATCATCATCTGAATCACCACTGTCATGGACCAGGTCATCGTCTTCTACAGGTAGCACATCCATCGACATGCGCTTAGGCGAAAATTGGCCAAAAGCTTCTTCTGAAGAGAACGAACGTGAAGGAGAGACCAAGGTGGTGGGTGTAGTCGGTTCTTGAGCTAAAGGAACTGAAGACTGTGCCATGGCCTTCATATTCATGCCACCCTGATCGAGCAATTGAAGAGGCGGCATGGTATCTTCATGCGTTACCAGTGTGGATCTGACTTTTCGTTGGATCTTTTGTTGGGCTTGTTTAAGGTAACGGGATACGCTGAATGCTTTGCCTTTATGCAAATCTTCTAGTGAGACAGTGAAATGATCCTTGTCACCCAAGACAGTCGAAAAGGCAGAAGAAATCGAATGAGGGCGCACAGGTTTGATGGATAGATTAGGTTGAGAATGTGAACGGTGAAGGACATCATCCCCTTCAAATGTATTGCGTCGACTGACCACAGAAGCATCCGATGAATTAAATGTCTGAGGTCTCGCCTTACGTCCCTGAGCAATTGCTACACTACCTACAGGTTTAGTGACAGCAGGTTGACCAATACCTGCCAAGAGTGCACCCATCCCTACAAGAGCAGGTAGAGGATTTTCTCTCACTCTTTGTGTTCGATCTAAACCACCATTGGCAATGACATCGTCTTGTTCTTCATGGCTGCTGTCTGTAAAAATAATAGTTTGGCAACGATTAAATACTCGTTTACAGAGCTGAAATGAAGGATGATTTGGATTGGCAGACAAATCCGATAAATAAGCTTGTAAATACCAAAGACACTAACATAAACAATGTTAAGAATGAAGCATAAATATGTTAACTATGTTGTGTATTTTTTTTTTTTTACCATGACAGCAATATGTGTTGATTTTTCGCATGCATCGATAATATAGAGTTCTAATGCCACTGACTCTGTGGGTCGAGTAATTAAAAGATGCCTATGATTGCTATGTTAACCAATTTAGTTTATGATTCATATAGTATTACATGAGTTGAGGCAAAAAGAACTCGATTTCTGCAATAGGGAATTTTCGAAGTTGTGTGCACAAGTAGTGTTGTATACCGACATTATCGGGATGTCGAAATATATACGAGATCGCAATCCAGGCATTAAAATATTCTGATGTAAATAGTCTCAACAATAAGGCATTCGACATGGGTTCAAAAAAAATATACACACACACGCACACGCGATAGGGTTACTATGGAAATAATAAAAAATAAAATAAATTCAGGGCAGCCTGTGCTTAGTTACAAGCAAATATATATATATAAATATAAAAAAGAGTGAAAAAAAAAGAAGCAACTCTAGCACAGACATTGATGAGAAGGGAAAAATAAAAAATAAACATCGGTTATTGAATTAGCCAAATTACATTAAAAACAGAAATGTGCTTATAAAAGGTGAATGACGTTAAGCCTTATGCTCTATAGTCCACTGATTGTCATACCTGATTAAGAAAATAAAAATCTTTATTTTGTATGCATATATATTATTGTTCAGCATCACGTAATATCCAACCAGACCGTGTCTTAGTCATACCTGAAGGGAAGTTTTTTATTATTATTATCATTATTATTTATTTATTCGGATAAAATCGAGAAAAAAAATAGCCTCAAAGCGGACACAGAAATTATGATGAAACCCTTGGAAATCTATATAAAGCGTACTATTTTATTCTTTTCTTTTTTTTTCCTTATCAATTCATATCAACATGGTTTTGGCAAACAAATTAAACACCTGGAACAAGCTTCAACAATACTACGACGCCGAGGGTAAGGATATTGTTATCAAGGAACAATTCGAAAAGGACGCCCAACGTTTTGAAAAATATCATCGCGTCTTTAAGGGTGACAAGACAGACACTTCCATCTTGTTTGATTTCTCCAAGAACCGTGTCACTGATGAAACTTTGCAAATCTTGCTCGAATTGGCCAAGGAAGCCAAGGTAGACGAATTGCGCAAGAAGATGTTCACTGGTGAACGTATCAATTTCACTGAAGACCGTGCTGTGCTTCATGTTGCTCTTCGTAATCTTTCTGATACACCTATCTATGACAATGGTGCTGATGTGATGCCTGAAGTTCGCGAAGTGCTTGCTCACATGAAGGAATTCTCAGATGCTGTTCGTTCTGGTGCCTGGAAGGGTTACACTGGTAAGCGCATTACTGATATTGTTAACATCGGTATTGGTGGTTCCGATCTTGGTCCTGTCATGGTCACTGAAGCCTTGAAGCCTTATGCTCAAGAAGGTTTGAAGCCTCATTATGTATCCAACATTGATGGTACTCATCTTGCTGAGGTTCTCAAGTCAGTCAACCCCGAAACTACACTTTTCATCATTGCCTCCAAGACGTTCACTACTCAAGAAACTATCACCAATGCTGAATCTGCAAAGGCTTGGTTCCTTGAATCTGCTAAAGACGTAAGTCAATAATTTTAAGATCCGATGGATGCTTATCAAGATCATCATTCATACTCACGCGTTTTTTTTTTTTTTTTTTTAGCAAGCTCATGTAGCTAAGCACTTTGCTGCTCTTTCTACCAACACTAAATTGGTGACTGGATTCGGTATCGATGCTAAGAACATGTTCAAGTTCTGGGACTGGGTTGGTGGTCGTTACTCTCTCTGGTCCGCTATTGGCCTTTCAATTGCTATCACCATTGGTTATGAAAACTTTGAACAACTTCTTCGTGGTGGTTATGAAATGGATCAACATTTCCTCAACACTCCTCTTGAGGACAATATTCCTGTCTTGATGGCCTTGATTGGTATTTGGTACAACAACTTCTTTGGTGCTCAAACCGAAGCTATTCTTCCTTACGATCAATACATGCACCGTTTCCCTGCTTATTTCCAACAGGTAAAAGAGCGTAACATATATATATCGATATTCATGGGGTTAAATAATAGGGTAATATGGAGTCCAATGGTAAATACGTGTCTCGTTCAGGCGAACAAGTTCAATACGAAACAGGCCCTATTATCTGGGGTGAACCTGGTACCAATGGTCAACACGCTTTCTACCAACTTATTCACCAAGGTACCAAGATGATTCCTTGTGATTTCCTTGCTCCTGTTGAAACTCAAAACCCTATTCGTGGTGGTATTCATCATGACATCTTATTATCCAACTTCTTTGCTCAAACCGAAGCCTTGATGGTCGGTAAGAATGAAGAACAAGTTCGTGCTGAAATGGGCAGCAGTGTTCAAGAAAACATTGTGCCTCACAAGGTTTTCAAGGGCAACAAACCCACCAACTCCTTCTTGTTCCAAAAATTGACACCTGCTACTCTTGGTTCTCTTATTGCCATGTATGAACACAAGATCTTTGTTCAAGGTGCTATTTGGGACATTAACTCTTATGACCAATGGGGTGTTGAACTCGGTAAGCAATTGGCCAAGGCTATTTTGCCCGAATTATCTGCTTCTGGCAACGTTTCTTCTCATGATGGATCCACAAATGGTCTTATCAACTATTACAAGAACCACAAGAAACAATACCAATAAAATTTTTTTATTTCTCTAAACGGAGGCAACAATTTCATCTGCTTTTTGTAATGCTTCAATCATCTTCTTGCATTCTTTTCTTCTCTGTTTGGTAGATTCAGATTCTTGTAAGAGATCGTCCAGAACATCATGTTTATAAAGTTCAGTCAATAATTCACGCTGAAGTTCTTCTTTAGCATGGTTTACTAAATTCAACATGATGGCTTTAGGCACCATGTCGACCATTGTACGCTTCACAATATTGTAATAGGATTGAATCAATAATTCTATCAGGTTGAGTAAATACATACAGACTAAATGACTTACTAATCACTTCAATTTCCATAAATTCACGGTCAGAAAGAGCACCGGTAGCCTTCAGTGTCGTAGGAGGCGTTTCCATCATGTTGGCAACTGTCTTCTTGGTAGCCTTCTTATTGCCAGAAAAGAAACTACCAAACAAGGATCCATTACTGTTGGTTTCTTCAGGCAACATGTTGGCTGTCTGTAAAGCATTGGATTTCTTGGATGCCTCCTGTTGACTCTTTTGCATGATACGTTCATTTACAGTAGCAATGGCTTGATGACCATTCAAGAAATCAGGATGCGCCGTATTAATATAACAAGCTTCCATAGAGACCAAGTCTGTCACCAGTTTAGAAGTAGGTTGCAAAGCTCGTTTAAAGAAAGCCAACACCACTTGATAAAACTTATCCTTGAGTGTAGGGAATCGCTTAAAGAACTGCTTTGTTAACAATTGACCCAAGATACGGACCAATTCATCATAGACCATATTGATACATTTGACACTGGGTTCTTCTAATCGTTTGATTTGTTGCTTAATGATCACTTCAAAAGCTGTTGTAGCCACAAACAAAGCAGGTGTTGAACCAGAAGAATTGTAAAGAATGGTACGAATATCAATATCCTTGATCTGATCAAGAGGATCAATGCTCTTGACACCATTGGCATACAGTTCATGGAACACAAAACTGATACGTGCACCACCAGACAATTCAAAACTCGATAAGTCGTTTGAATTACCATCAATAATCGTTCTGAATTCAGTACAGAATTCAGTAATGATGTTTAGTACAAGGTTAGCACGGTTAGAAGAAGAGCCCTCTTCATCAAGAGGGTCGCCTAAGGTCAATAACTCTTGTTGGTATTTAATCAAAGCAGCTTGAATCTTGGCCTTGATTTCAGGCAATGTGTTGCGAATATGATGCATTAGGATCATATTGAGCTTACGGGCTAAGAAGGGTGTACCACAGTATTGTGCTTTGGATTTATAGGCTGCGTGAGACTCAAAGAACTCACGCTCTGCATCCAAGGCACGCTTGATGGATTTGTTGGCCTCGATATCGCGTTGACCACGATTGACTACAGGCACATATCCTAATCTTAAAGGAATGACTCGACCTGCCAAGATATCAATCACATCGGTCCCTTGATCCATTAAATCCACCTTGGTCAAGACACCAATGGTACGCAGTCCCTCAGGATCCACATCGCGGGCCAATTTCAGACCATCTGAATTCGCCAAGTCGGTATTCGCACCAGTGACAGCCAAAATAATAGAATTGGGTTTAGTGATATACTTCAAGATCATTTCACGAATTTGCTTTTCAATGTCTTTGGGTTGATCACCCACAGGTACTTTGGTCAAACCAGGTAAATCAACCAAGGTTAATGTGAGCACATTGGGTGAAAAGATACGTAAATTGATAGGTTGAGGTGAAATACCCAAGTTTTTGCCTGTCTTGAGTTCGGTGTCCTTGACGATTTCTTCACGAATCTTGTTGAAATCATAGAATTTTTGGCCTGGTAAATGTAAGAATTCGCCCCATTCGTTAGGGTTGCCGTTGGCCACTTCTTCCTTGGTATCGGTGGCAGGTCTATTGATGAGTTGAAGAATCTGCTTTTTGGTTAGAAACATGTACATACATGGGATGACTTACCAAAGGTCGACGAGTGACAATACCAGTACCACGGGGAAGAAAGTCGCGGCCTACAATATTCTCGAGAACAGATGACTTGCCACTGGATTGAGAACCAATAACGGCGATCTGAGGTAAATCCACTGGGTTATGAACACCCACAGTAGCAAATGCATCTTGGAGCTTATTGACTATATTTCACTCGATAAGTTCTATTGAAATCATGAAGCATCTCTTACCTGTCTTGATAAGCTGTGAGTCCATACTCATATTATAAAAGTGTTTACAATAAAAACAAAAAAAGAAACTTGCAGCATGACGTGAAGGTCCAAAAAGCAATAGCGGACTTTAAATAGAATGGTACTCCTCCCTTCTCTGTTTATGATGTGCCTGAATCGCATCTGTAACAAAAGGAAATCAGCCATATTTATACCATATAAGGAATAGCAACAATGAATCTTTTTTTATTATTTCTATGTTAGAAGATAGATTGAACAAGTCATTTATGTTAAAGGAAGAGGGATGATAACCCGCTCTGTAGCAGTGATAAAAGCCATCTTATTCGTATTGAACAAAGTATATGGTATCATCTTCTTTTTCATGCGCTACTTTCTACTGATTTCTTCTTTATAGTAAGAAAAAAAAGAAAAGAAAAGAAAAAAGAAAAAAAAAATGGGGTTTATTTGTCACTGTTCATTGATTAAAAAAGGTTAATTTGATTTAACCCCTTTAGAACAAGATTATAGTTCTTCCAGAAATTGTTGTCGCACCAAGATGTCGCATTTTGTATATTTTGCACTATAATTTTTCAACGTTTGCGACATTACTTCTTGGAAACACTGTATTATGACAAAGTTAAGAAAACAACCGAAATTGGTAATGTATTTTTATTCTTGTATCATTGTACTTTTTTTTTTTTTATGACAGAATATTAAGCAGAAGACATCACTTTATGTTTAAACTATACAAGATTCAAAAGTCTTTGTATGTTGAATATACATGTCTTTTAAATAAATTTTATCGTATCGTTTGTGATATAGTTGCAAAAAGATGGTTATTTTACACATAAAAAGTGTTTGTGGCTACTTTGTATCAAGACTGTTTATTTTAATACAAGTCTTTCACTGAACTATAAGTACGTGTCCGTGTTAATGGTTGATATCCTCTATATCGAGTATCATAATGAGGTTGATAGTATGAATTCATGAACATAGGGTCATTATACATTGGTCTTTGATTTGAGTAATAAGACATATTCATAGAAGGATATTGTGTCATTGCTCGATACATATTCTGTTGCTGCTGCTGTTGTTGTTGTTGTTGTTGTTGCATTAAATGGGCAGCTGCAATTGTATTGGCTAGAGCCAATTGTTGCTGTTGTTGCTGTTGTTGTTGTTGTTGTTGTTGTAATAAAAGTGGGCCATATAATGGCTGTTGCTGCAGTAGTTGCATCATCATTAAATCTGGGTATTGTAAATGATAAGGCATGGCCATTTGTTGTTGAGCCATCAATTGTGTTGCTGCTGCTAATTGTTGAGCTTGCCTTACTCTATTTTCTTCCATTGGATTGACTATTTGTGGCTGTTGTTGAGTTGGTGGCTGTTGTTGTTGTTGTTGTTGTTGTTGTTGTTGTGGTGGTGGTGGTGGTGGTGGTGGTGGTGGTACAGTTACATTTGGTTGTGGAACAGATACATGTTGTTGCTGCTGTTGCTGTTGTTGCTGTTGAGCCAATATCATATTTCTTGACCCATGAAACCGAGGTGGAGGTGGTGGATAATAATTAGGTACACTAGCTAGTCCTGTTGCCAATCTTAATTTGTTCATTAGACTACCAATAATACCTGATTGGTTAGGCACATAAGGCCGAACTACATTGCTTGTTTGTGGAGGAACAATAGGTTGTATCGGAGCAGAAGGTCCATTCACAAGAACTGCTGGTTGTGTTGGAACTGGTTGTACTGGAACTGCTGCTGGTTGTGCTGCTGCTGGTTGTGCTGCTGCTGGTTGTGCTGCTGCTGGTTGTGCTGCTGCTGGTTGTGCTGCTGCTGGTTGCGTTGTAACTGGAACTGGAGCAGGGACAACAGTAGTAGCAGGGACAGTCTCAACAGCAGCTGCAGTAGCAGGTGGTGGTGGCGTTGGTATGGCTGCTACAGGCGTTACTGCCCTTGCAGTGGAATCTATTTCAGGCATTCAAATACAAAGAAAAAGACAAAAAGAAAAAAGAAAAAAGAAAAAAAAGTATCGAATGACTGATGACTATACATCGCCTTATTTGTCTAATGTGTACAGTATTTCCGGAAAGTATTCGTGGAAGAGTAAAGAAAGAATTGGGGTCAAAGACAGTCTTTCGATCTTACATTTTATGTAGTTGAAAAATGAGTAACTTTGTAAAAATAACCAGTAGTCTTGTTGCTCCATTGGAGTTGATAAAAGGTGCAAATGGAATAAGATATCAAGTTTGTCATTCTTCATAAGGTAAAATATCACTCTTTTCACCAGTTACAATATTATACCCATCTAAACATAGTATTTTCGGGTTTACACACAACAGAACAATTTTCTCCAATAATCACTCTCTATAAATAAACAGCATTTTGAATTAGCAAATAATAACGGAGGAGGTATAACAGACACTGACCTGATTCTAGAGATAAGGTTTAGTACAAAGTTTTAATCATTGTGTCAACATCATAGTTATTATTGCTGCAACCAACATTGTCGGCTAAGGGAGTGAAGCATGTCCTTGATAGTGTAGAGTTCAATAAGTTAATACGTTTTACAAATGAGAAAAGTGCGGCTCGGAGAGTCCTTTACCGTATCTCTTTAGCAACGTTCGTAATAATAAAAGAGATGGTCCGAAAACAAGCAGACAATGCATAAGTTGTACAAACCTATCAGCATAAAATAAGCCAATAATCATGTTCCAACACAAATTCCGATTTCTCTTTCCCTTTTCTTTTTATCATTTTTTTGACTATGCGAGGTACCAAGGCACTGTTACTATTGACCTTTTTGTGGATAGTAGCCTTGACTGTTGCTGCTAAAGATTACTATGAGATCCTTGATGTACCTCGAGACGCGCCCAAATCACAAATCAAACGTCATTTCAAAAAACTTTCAAGAGTTTATCATCCTGATAAAAACTCTGGTGATGAAAAGGCTTCACAAAAGTTTATGGAGATTGCCAATGGTATGTCTTTCTATCCTTACTTGATCTCATCTCTTCTTTCTTAGCTTATGAAATCTTGATGGACGATGAAAAACGATCCATTTATGATCGTTATGGTGAAGAGGGATTAAAGCAAAACAACAACCATGGTGGTGGAGGCGGATTCCATGACCCCTTTGATATTTTCTCTCACTTTTTTGGTGGTGGACACCGTAAGTCATTAGGGACCATACAATATACTGAATCTATGTGTGTCTATATAGGTCATGGTGGTCATCAAGAAAAAAGAGGCCCTGATTACCACATTACACTTCAAGTCACTTTAGAAGACTTGTACAATGGTGCCGAAATCCAAGTTGATGTCTCTAAGCAAGTCTTGTGTGATCATTGCCATGGTAGTGGTGCACGTCACCCCGATGATATCCATACATGTAATGCTTGTTTAGGCAGCGGTATGATTGTCAAACGAGCTCAAGTAGGACCTGGCATGTTTCAACAGTTTCAACAAGTCTGTCATGCATGTGGCGGTAAAGGCAAAACCATTGAACACGCTTGTCCTCATTGTGCTGGTAAAAAAGTACGCAGAGGCAATGAAAATTATTCGCTTTATATCGAAAAGGGTATGATGGATGGCCAACAGATTGTGTTGGAGGAAGAAGCAGACGAGTATCCTGAAACGATTCCTGGTAACATTGTATTCTCGACACAGGCAGCACCTCATCCTGTGTTTGAAAGACGAGGCAATCATTTGTATACAAAACAACATATTACCTTGATTGAAGCACTTGCTGGGTTTAAAAAGACCATCACACACTTGGATGGTTCTACTATTGAACTTGTGAGAGAAGGTGTGACTCAATATGGCTATGTACAGACCATGAAAGGACAAGGCATGCCATATCACCAAGACCATTCACAGCATGGTGATTTGTTTGTAGAATACCAAGTCGTTTTCCCTACGCACGTAGATGCAGAAACCATTGAATGTAAGTTGAATCCATCGTCTTCATCAAAGCTGACATTCGATAGATTTGAAAAAAGGCAGTACATTTAAGCCTCACCTCATACACCAAGAACTCTAGACAAATTTATTGAAACAATAAAAATGGATTTAATGCTTGTGCATCTGTCCGCTTGGCCACACGTAATTTAGCTGATCGACTACGAGCATTGTTCTCTACTTCTTCATCTGTAGGCTGAATGACATGTTTTGTACAGATCTCAAAAGAAGGCACCACATGCTGCTTTGTGGGCATGATCATCTTATGACTCACATCCGTACTGTATTTGAGTGCCTTTTTGTATTCTTTACTGGCTGCTCTCTTGAGACTAAACTGGTTTTGTTCCGCATCTTGAATCGATCGTTTACCAGAACAATGTTGCATGAAGTTCTTGACGATGCGATCTTCAAGTGAATGGAATGTGACAACAGCCAGTTTACCCTGAGGCACAAGTAAGTATTCACTGGCTGCTAATGCGTGTTCCAACTCGACCAGTTCATCATTAATATAGATACGAAAAGCCTGAAATGTACGTGCTGCTGAATTCCTTAGCATGTCATCATGGCCACGCTGCCATCGTGGTTGAGGACATGCTTTCTGAATAATGTTGGCCAAGGCCAGAGTGGTTTCAATAGGACCTGATTGCCTTGCTGTTACAATGGCAGCAGCAATCTTGCGTGAGAGACGATCCCCACCATACTTGTAAATAATGTCTGCGATTTGTTCTCGACTGAAAAAATTGACAATCTCATAAGCAGAGATGGATTTCCTTAGCAATGCTTTTTCATGATCAGATGCGATCTCGACATGTCTTCCACGTGAGGCCATGCGCATGTCTAAAGGACCATCTAATTTGTATGAAAACCCTCTTTCTGGTGTTTCAATCTGTCCACTCGAGACACCAATGTCCATCACGATGCCATCAAAACAAGGTGTTCTAAACAAGTTGCATTAGTGTTGATAACAAGTCATTAGCTTCATCTTTACTGCCATTGTAATTCACGTTGGATATGGTCAAGAATCGATCCAAACTTGCCGTGAATAGGAAATAGTCGGTCTTTATAAGCTGGTATGGTAGCGAGTTGTTGTGCTTTTGTATATGCTGTCGGGTCTTGATCAACAGCTACTACTCTACAATCACAACTGTCTAAAAGAAATTAAATGAAAAGTTTCTTTAGTATATACACATTACCTAATAAGGCTTTAGTATAGCCACCATCACCAAATGTTAAATCACAATATATGCTACCATCTTTAGGTGCTAATTGAGATATCACTTGAGGTAATAATACTGGCACATGTATCTTGTGATAAGGTAAATAAGTGGAATAGACACGTTTTAGGAAATGCATAACCTTAGTAAATAAATATAAAAAAAATTTTTTTTTTTGAAGTGTGATGCAATTGACTTTAGCTATGTTGCCACAATTAAAACTCCGTTGGTTGCATGTCAAGTTTAAAGTGTTTGAGTAACATTGATTTTTTGCATGTTCATTGATAACAGATTCCCACCCCCCAAAAAGAGAGAGAGAGAGAGAGAGGGAAACACTTTATTGTAAAAAGGAAGAGTAGGGAGTTTTTTGATATTTTTTGCGTCTTTTTTTCTTGATAAAGAAGCGTAGTATCTTGTCATGGATTCTTAGATCCAAAGTGGATGGGCAGTTCATCTGCTGTAATACCAAATGGCGCTTATACCTCTGTTGAATTCAATGGACGCTAATCATATTGATAGGATCTATTCAATTGTTAAGAAAGAGAGAGAAAATGTATATATATGTATGTATGTGTATTTACCTTGAGCTTTGGATCTTTTTCTCTTTTTTTGGTGTTGCTGCTTTTTGGTTTGTTTCTTCTTTTCAGTAGAAATAACAACAGGTGGTTTTTTTAAACAACTTTTAGTAGGTTGAGTCTCGATGACAGAGTCTTCTTCTTCAGAATCACGAGAACTAGCATAACAGTCTTCTTGTATTTCAGTCACAATATCATCATTGATCATGTCTTCATTCAGTGTCTTACGTTGCCATTCTTCGCGACTCTTTTGCTTGGCAGCATGGCGGCACTCTTCTAAGGTAGGCAACACATACACAACATTGTGACTCAAATCAAAACTAACTCTACGAGGGAACTATTGATCAGGGTAAGTACCTATATGGACTATAGAAGGGCATATACACTTACTTGGTTATTCAACATATTAAAATTTTAAAAAGAAAGAAAGAAAGGGAAATAAAAAGAAACTCGCTATTTATTTTTGACATTTGATTGAGTCAGAATTGCACCAATCATGTCATCCTTTGTTACTTGCTTGAAAGGCACCATCATAGCCAATCAACAAGTCCCTTTTTTCTTTTCTTTTTTTTTAAAAATTTGGATCAGCATGGACATATCGGCACCACCGCCTTCTTACAAGGCAAGTCCAACAACCATGCGTATCAAATCCTTTTTTCATGCTTCACCACCTCCTTTTGCAGTACCTAATGACTTTGATACCAGTTCACAAAAGGGCTTCAAGAGCAACAGTTGGTTTAACGGAAATAATAACGAACAAAAACCAATTCGTCGAGTGGCTTCAGCACCCAATACCAAACTACTTGATATCAACAGACACTCTTATCAAAGCACAGCTAATAACAGTATGGCCTCTATACCTTCTCTTATGACAGACTCACCTCCCATGCAACGACTACGTCGCATCTGTCGTCGTACGTATTCAAGCAGTAGTATCAAAGTCAAAAAAGTAGAAGTGGGTCCTTCTAGTTTTGTCAAGATACGTATGCTTGGTAAAGGCGATGTAGGCAAAGTCTATATGGTCAAACAGAAAGGAACCGATAAACTGTTTGCCATGAAAGGTAAGTTGTCCATGACTGATGTTTATCTGATCACCATAGTCTTATCAAAGCGAGAAATGATTCGTAGAAACAAGATCAAGCGTGCTTTAGCAGAACAAGAAATTTTGACCACATCCAACCATCCTTTTATTGTCACTCTTTATCATTCATTTCAAAGTCAAGATTACTTGTATTTTGTGATGGAGTATTGTGTAGGAGGTGAATTCTTCCGAGGTAAAGATTTTTCTTTTTTTTTTAAAAAAAAAAGGGGGGGAGAAACTTACTGTTATGATAAGCACTTCAATTACGCCCTGGTAAATGTCTATCAGAAGAAGGTGCCAAGTTTTATGCAGCTGAGGTGATTGCTGCTTTGGAATACTTGCACCTTCAAGGACACATTTACCGTGATTTAAAACCAGAAAGTAAGTCAGAATGTTAACAATCTACTGATAGTATCCATAGATATCTTACTTCATCAAAGTGGACATATTATGTTGAGTGATTTCGACTTGAGCAAAGGATCTCAACCACCAGGTAATCCCTGTGTGGTGAAATCAGGATCCCCTCATGTGGTAAGAAACAATGCCATCACTGCTTATTCGCTTATTCTGTTCTCTTAGCCCCCTTCCATTAATACCAAAAGTTGTGTCAATCATCTTAGGACCAATAGTTTTGTAGGTACGGAAGAATACATTGCACCTGAAGTCATTAAGGGGTGTGGACATACAAGTGCAGTCGATTGGTGGACATTGGGTGTCCTTATCTATGAAATGCTGGTAAGTCAATCTATTGTATGTACATATATATATATATTCATCATGCATTAGTTTGGCACAACACCCTTCAAGGGATCAGGCAGGAATGAAACGTTTTCTCGAGTACTTCATTGTGATGTCCAGTTTGGTGAACAACCGTATTACAAGACCAGTATTTCAAGCAATGCCAAAAGCCTCATCAAGCGATTATTGCATAAAGATGAAAACAAGCGATTGGGTTGTCGAGCAGGTGCTTCTGATATTAAGGCACACGGATTCTTCAAGTCTATTAATTTTGCCTTGTTAAGACACTGTACACCACCCATTACACCACTTGTACAAAAACCCAACGGTATTGATGCCCTTAATTTTAGAAAAATGCCACCTGAAAGCATGAGTTTTGACTTGGAATCGGATGATATCTTGCTTACCTTAAACACGAATGAACAGAATCCATTTGAAAAGTTTAATTCAAGTAAGTCAATATACGTGTATGGCAATGACTTATAGTATGACTCAGTTACACTTTATCATGAAGGGGATTCTGATTCGGATGACTATACGTTTTAATAATAATGATAATGATAATGATAATAATAATAATAATAATAATAATAATAATAATAGTGTATTAGGCAGTAGAACCTAATACACCCATCTTTTCTAATGAACGAGGACCCATTTCTTCCCATTCTTGTTTAGTAACCCACCAACTGTCTTTATCCTTCATGATATCAGCAAGGACAGCACCACCAAGATAGACCATATGCTTACGTCTAGGAGGGTCTTCAATACGAATCTTAAATTTCTATGACAGCATTGAGTGATAAGGATAAGATATGCTACACTTACATTCAATCGACTGGCATCACCATTCAATACGTTCGTAAGATAGAGTTGCTTCATTTCTTTCTCTAGACGACTAGGTAAACCAGGATACATGGTAGAACCACCCGAGAGTACAATGTGCTTATAGAGATCAGCACGAATATCAATATCAGCAGCCTGGATAGTATTAAACAGCATTTCAGCCATACCAGGTGCTTCCACATCAATCAAGTTGGGTTGGAAAAGACATTCAGGGGCTTCAAAACGTTCAGATCCAACCTTAATAACACGACCATCAGGAAGTTCATAACTTTCAACAAGTGTGGTTGTCTCATTGCCTAACTTTTGATCCATTTCAAGATCATAACTAGCAGGGTTGAATAACAATCATAAGACAGTCTATATGCTTACCTGACATAACAAAACTTTTCTTTGATTTGACGCACTGTTTCAAAATCAGCAGTACGATTAAATGCATAACCACGCAAAAGCAACAACTTGATAAGGTATCGAGTCACATGACGACCAGCAACATCAAGACGACGTGTCAGGTTAGCAGGTGCATAACCTTGATACACAGGCACCTACACAACATATATTAGTTATACATAAAAGACAAATGGATCTTACAATATGAGTCACGCCATCACCAGAGTCAACCACCACACCCGACATAAGACCCTGAGCAAACAATGTCAAGACAGCCTGAATAGCCACGTAAATACCTTGGAACCCATATTCTTCAAACATGATTTCAGCCATCTTTTCACGGTTCTTTTTAGGGTTCATAGGAGCTTCTGTCAAGAGAATCTTGCTGTCTCGGGGATTGATCTTGAGCATTTCATCAAATGTGTAGTTCCACAAGTGACGCATATCTTCCCAGTTGCGAATGATACCATTTTCCATGGGATAAGACATTTGAAGAATATTACGGAGTTGAGCAGCTTCATCACCAATCATAATGTCTTTGACTTGAAGGTCACCTACTCGCTCCTCAGCACGTAAGATGGGACGACCTACAACACTGGGAAAGACATGTTCGGGAAAGTTGGAACCTGCATAACCACATTTGACAAACTAGATGGAGGGGGAAAAAAAAGCGCGTTAGTCATAGATGTTTTATGGTAAGTGTTACTTACACCTGTACCATTGTCAACAACAAGTGTATTTGTAGCGTTCATTTTCTGTCTAGATGTTATAATAATGATAGAAGAGAGAGAGAGAAAAAAAAAAAAGAGAGAGAGAGAGAGAAGCAAAGGAATGAAGCCGAGAAGGTAAGCGGACTCTCTTTTTAAAGCTCAAATCTTCTACATTCAAGGACAGATGATGGGCTTATGAACAATTTCTCGGGTATGAAGAAGGTATAGTTGTACATTCAGGCACTCATAGTACAATAAATGATCAGTTTGTGTGTATATATACATATGTTCATTTGAAAAGAAAAGTAGATACTATGAATACTTACAAAGAAAGAAACCAATGCATTAAATACATTACTTTAAATGTTAGCCTACTTGTATATACTTTATTCGAATTGTATTGAAAGATATCCCCTTTATTGTTTGTACATTAGTGATTCTATAGTTTCTTTTTCTTCTCTCTTCTAAACAGAATTCATTGTCATTGGCGCATAATGAGTATTTATCTCAGCTGTATATGACGTAGACAATTCTATTCCTATTCTTCAGTAATACCCTTTATTGAAAAATTCGTGTAGAGAATAGAAGGAAGATAAATGAGTAACAGTCTATGTGAAATACCTCCCTTACTATCTTCTCATTCGATTCATATCACTATACAATATGACCCACCAATACTAAGCTGTGATTGATGCCAAAAGCTGTACTACCAAATACTAAACTAAATTAAACATCTTAAATCACCCACAAAGAACTGAGTGCGTTTAAGCATCATCTTGGCTCTTGAATCATGATGTCTTTTTTGCTGGGTTCGAATGACATAAAAATTGGGTTAATTGTTATTTCAGTTCAGTGTATAAGCTTAAACATTCAACTCAAAATGTCAATTGAGTCTATTCATGTCTTTTGAGGCATAAACAAAAAGACAATTGAAATCATAGTCTTTTGGTTCTATGTATAATAGCAATACTGATATATTGAGACCAATGACACTGTCAACACATGCTATGAAGCATAAATTGAGAGGGAGAAAATCAGTCACAGAAAGCAACGTCATCTTTTAAATGAGTTGAAATAAGTGGGTTATTAAGCCCTGCTGACGCCCCTTTAAAAAACACCCTCGAATTTCTGGGGAAAGTAAAAAAAAAAAAAAAAAAAAAAAAAAAATATAGCAACGCAAAAAAAAAGATTACAAGAGCTTTCTTCTTTTCTAGTTAAACAATAACTTTCAACAATGCTTAGAAACGTTGCTCGTATTGCCCGTCCTCTGGCTGCTCGCAGTTTGGCTCCTGCTGTAAGCATCACTCCTTATATTAGACATGTGGAAATGGAGTTTGTCATCTCTCAACATGGAAATGCATCAACACTTTGACCATCATCACTGTAGATACATCTCGATATATACGCGAATGATAGCATGAAGCAACACGATAATTACTTGTTGACGGGACTCGAATAGACAAAAGAGAGACAACACATGACATATTTCCACTTGTTTAATATAAAAGAGAAAAAGTGTGTTGGTCGCATTGTATGCTGACTATTTTATGTAGGCCCGTCTTAACCTCGGTGCTGTTGCCACTGCTGCCCGTACTTATGCTTCTGCTAAGCCTTCTACTTCTGAAGTTTCTTCTATCCTCGAACAACGTATTTTGGGTGCTAACTCTGAAGTTGATCTCCAAGAAACTGGTCGTGTCTTGTCCATTGGTGATGGTATTGCCCGTGTTTACGGTTTGAAGAACTGCCAAGCTGAAGAAATGGTTGAATTCTCCAGCGGTCTTAAGGTAAATAATACAGAAAACAGAAAAAGAGAGAAAGAATCAGATCATTGATGAGAACATATGTTAGGGTATGGCTCTTAACTTGGAAGCTGATAACGTCGGTATTGTCGTCTTCGGTAACGATCGTTTGATTAAGGAAGGTGATACTGTCAAGCGTACTGGTGCTATTGTCGATGTCCCTATTGGTCCTGGTCTCCTCGGTCGTGTTGTCGATGCTCTTGGTAACCCCATTGATGGTAAGGGTCCTCTTGACGCTGCTGGTCGTTCTCGTGTCCAAGTCAAGGCTCCTGGTATCTTGCCTCGTCACTCTGTCAACGAACCTATGCAAACTGGTATCAAGTCTGTTGATTCCATGGTCCCCATTGGTCGTGGTCAACGTGAATTGATCATTGGTGATCGTCAAACTGGTAAGACTGCTGTCGCTCTCGATACCATCTTGAACCAAAAGAACTGGAACAACGGTTCTGATGAAGCCAAGAAGTTGTACTGTATCTATGTTGCTGTCGGTCAAAAGCGTTCTACTGTTGCTCAACTTGTCAGAACTCTTGAAGAAAACGGTAAGTTCATTTAGATATATGCACCTGTATTCTTATGTATATCTTATAGATGCCATGAAGTACACTATTGTTGTTGCTGCTACTGCTTCTGAAGCTGCTCCTCTTCAATACCTTGCTCCTTTCTCTGGTGCTGCTATTGGTGAATGGTTCCGTGACAACGGTCGTCACTCTTTGATCATCTATGACGATTTATCCAAGCAAGCTGTTGCTTACCGTCAAATGTCTCTCTTGCTTCGTCGTCCTCCTGGTCGTGAAGCTTACCCTGGTGATGTCTTCTATCTTCACTCTCGTCTTTTGGAACGTGCTGCCAAGATGAACAAGAGCTTCGGTTATGGTTCCATGACTGCTCTTCCCATCATTGAAACCCAAGGTGGTGATGTCTCTGCCTATATCCCCACTAACGTTATTTCCATTACTGATGGTCAAATCTTCTTGGAAGCCGAACTTTTCTTCAAGGGTATCCGTCCTGCCATTAACGTCGGTCTTTCCGTCTCTCGTGTCGGTTCCGCTGCTCAAACCAAGGCCATGAAGCAAGTTGCTGGTTCCATGAAGCTCTTCTTGGCTCAATACCGTGAAGTTGCTGCTTTCGCCCAATTCGGTTCTGATTTGGATGCCTCCACTCAATTCTTGTTGAACCGTGGTGCTCGTCTCACTGAATTGTTGAAGCAACCTCAATACACTCCCTTGTCTATCCAAGCTCAAGTTCCCATCATCTTTGCTGGTGTTAACGGTTACCTCGATAAGATCCCTGTAAACAAGGTTGTTGATTGGGAAAAGGATTTCATCAGCCACGTTGCTACTCAACACAGTGATGTCCTTGAAGAAATCCGTACCAAGGGTGTTCTCTCCAAGGAACTCGAAGCTAAGCTCCGTGATGTCTGTGATAACCACGCCAAGGGTTTCTACTAATTTATATCATCCATGTAAAATATATATGAAGAAAAGGGGGAAAAAAGAAAAAAAAATAAGCATTTTTCGCACTTTGTTACAAATAAATCGTTTATAAAAAGACATGTGATGCTTTAGGCATTTCAGTAGTGAATAAGGCTATATTTTTCCAATGTTCTGTCCATTGTTTTGTATGCTTGAGTTGGTTTGTGACAAATGTGTTGTACATCATGGATATGTTTGTCTGTTGTTTATGCAAAAAGGACAGTTCAGACATAAGACAGTAACGGATAAAGATGTCTCGTTGTTGAGTCAGTGTTAATCCTGTATCTTGGTCTCGTATGTGTTCTGGTAAGGTATGTTCTTGTACTTGTTGAACATCATGAGCCACTGTAGGCTGTATTTTTCCTGTTTGATATTTGGCTATCAGTCTAGAGAGTGTTTGATTGGACATGGTATTCAGACGTTCTTTACGCTCCAAGAGTTCCTACAAAAAAAAAAAACAAAAACAAAATAAGCATATATATATATATATATATATATGATAAGGAAGATAGTTTGTACTTTGAATGCGTCCAGTAAGTCCCTTTGTTGCTTTAAACTCTCCACGATCGTATTGTCTGTGATAATAGCATGTTTATGAAGCATGGCACCTGTTTGTTGTAATGATTTTGATATGCCTTCATAACCATGTACCATTTGCTGACAACCCTCACAGTTGGGCACCCAACAGTCCTTATCCAGATCACTCACAAAACTAGTATGATTAGAATACAGCATAAACCCATCCTATTGAACTTACTTGAGTGTCATACTATAGCGAGCATAATCTGAACCTAATGCTTTGTTTAACCTGTTCATTTGGTTCATGATCAGACACATGCGCTCATACAGTTGAACAGATACAGTCAGTCTTTTCCTCATACGAATGATACGATCATCCAAATCCAAAGGAATCAATTGCTCCAATCGTGCCATAGAATAGGATGTCCTCACAAATTCTTCGTCTAAAGAAGGAGGGTGTTTTCGTCTCCATGTAGTCATTTCCTAAGTCAAAATGAGTGATCAAACGAAACCAATAGGGAAGAGGGGGGGGTTACCGAAGGATGACTTAAAAATGCCTTCACTACTTCATCTTTACCAAGCACAGGATGTTGGATCACTGCATTCATAAATCGAGACAGTCCCTTCCTTCTTCTGTCTTCAAACACGTCTGTTCCTAATCAACTTATTAACCTAAAAAGGGGCTTTTTTTTTTGTAACTATCTTTACTTCCACCTAGTTTTTTTGGTGGTAAATGTGGTATGATCCTACATGGATATCGCTTAAGTAGTGTCTCCCATAACCACCAAAAATCACTGAATCTTCTTAATACGCTAGTGCCTAGTTTCTCACTTTTGATCTGATAATTGATGTGTTTAAACAAGAATCCCTCTTTTTCTAATGTCAATGTCAGTGAGATATGATCGAGGTCTTGAAGCCATTGATTTAATGCTTTTTGTTCTTCTTGGTATAATTGAGTGTGCTGATCGTCCTGCTTTATTGCATTGGGTTGTAAAGTCAAGTGAGTGAGGTCAGGAAGTATGGGTATAGGCAAGTCTTTAAAGACATCAGTCCATGTTATTCTTGTTGGTTCACTTGCCTTCTTTATGATGATAGACTGTTTCTAATGAAATATCCATCTTTTTTTGTGCACAAGCAATTAAAGCAAGATAAGCATTGAATTCATTCCGTGTAACATAGCTGATTTCAGGACTTATAAAGTGCATGACCTAGAATATAGAAAAAATAAATGAACAAAACCTATAGTCTATAGATTACTTCTTTTTGTGCTTGATGTGATAAACCTGCTGTCTTCAAGATGATCTCAAGTGCTTTTATGTTTACTGTTTGATGATGTGGGTTGCATTGGCTGTAAATATCTGTATAGGCATCAGGTACATCCACACCTACTGTTGAATGATGAGTTATTGTTTAACACAAGAGACTTACATAATACATTGGATAGTTCGAATGGAAATCCAATCTCCTCTTGATATGTAGTACTCCAAGGATCTTCTTCATAAAGAATAGGCGTCGAAGATGTTAAGTATCGAAAAGAGTGGCTATATATGTTCTCAAAATCGTCACTTGTATGTCTTTGCATCGTATTCAAAAAAAAAAAAAAGAAAAGGAAAGAAAAAGTGAGAGCAAAAAAATCCGACGCAGGATATGCTCCCTTTTAAAGCACCGCTTGTCATGCGTACAAGTTAGTCATTCAAAAGAGATCTTTGTAGACGAACATAATCATGTTTAGTATCTTGAAAGTGTCAAGTGTATTTTAAGCATAGAATCAAGAGTGTTTATGGTATCCATTGTTTTTGGTATATGCAAAGTCGCACAACAGTCGCGTCTTAAACCAAAGTCCGGTCCGCTATTGATACGCGAATAGTTTAAAACAAATTTTTTTTTTTTTTTTTTTTTTGTTAAAGACGCGTTTTCTTTTCTATTCATCTATACATCGTAAGTTGTCAAACAGAAAACATATAAACTGATATACGCCTTAGTTACCATGCTCGAAGCTCGTCTCCAACAAGCCAAACTTCTCAAATCTCTTCTTGAAGCTGTGAAAGAACTTGTGACTGAATGTAACTTTGAATGTAATGACTCTGGTATTGCTCTTCAAGCAATGGATAACTCTCATGTTGCTTTGGTTGCCATGTTATTACGTTCTGATGGTTTTGATCCTTATCGTTGTGACCGTAACTTGCCCTTGGGTATCAATTTGACTAACTTGGGTAAGATCTTAAAGTGTGCTCGTAATGATGATATCTTGACCATTAAGGCTGATGACGATGGTGATGTGTTGACCATGATCTTTGAAAGCAAAGGTAAGTCACTTGTTAAAAAGAACTAGACCTAACCCATGTTTGATAGACAGTGACAAAGTGAGTGAATATGATCTCAAGTTGATGGATATTGATAGTGAACACTTGGGTATTCCTGAAACTGCCTATGAAGCTGTTATCACGATGTCTTCTGCTCGTTTCCAAGAAATCTGTCGTGATTTATCAAGTCTCAGTGACTCCGGTAAGAAATCAAATTTATGTAGATGTCATCTAAGCATTCTTATTTTAGTGACTATTGAATGTACAAAGGAAGGTGTCAAGTTCTCTAGTGATGGTGAAATTGGTAAAGGTGCTATCACTTTGAAGGCCAGCAGCAGTGTGGATGATGCTGATGATGCTACTGTGATTGAACTCCAACAAGCTGTTGCCATGACATTCTCTATTAAATACCTTGTCAACTTTACAAAGGCTACTCCTCTTTCTGGACGTGTTAGTTTGAGCATGTCTGCAGATGTTCCTCTTTTGGTTGATTATAAACTTGATAATTTGGGCTATGTTCGATACTATTTGGCTCCCAAGATTGGTGATGAAGCTTAAATTGTACAAAATAAAATTTATTTTTTTAATCTATAAGATGGTAATTTGCTTGATTCATACAGTGGTAATGATTCTTCATATTCTAATGCACGTAAAAACCGAGGGGAACTCTCTGTGTCTACATCGTACATTTTCAAGTCTTGTGAAGCCCTGATACCATAACCCAGTGTGCCTATCTTTAAAGCGAGTTCCATATCTACTGTGGCATGAAAAAGAGGGCTTAAAAATACACCTCGACTACTCTTGATGTGGATCCGTAGTGTATAAGACAGTTGAACCACTTTAGAATAATTAACAGAAGGTGTCAACTCCACAGGTAATTTGAGGCAGACATGATATTCTGCACCTTTACCCAACGGTGTCTGAACAATCGCATATTTGTATGGTTTATGCAAGTGAGATGCAACAGTACGTGTGACAGAAATGGCTTTGTTGGGTACTAGCCTGACTGTTTCACACAATTCAAGCAAGATCGAATTCACTTCAGCAGGTTGATCTTTTGTTTGTTTCTTTGGGCGACATGAAGTGACCACTGTGATGGGTATCGTATCACCAGGCACATAAGCAAGTGAACACAGCCTGACAGACACGTCTAATCCATGCCCATGTCCTTCTTCTATCACAGGTTGTTTCAATAGACTCGTCTCAATAAATGGCATATACTGAATGGTTCTTTGTGTCATGACAGTAGGTAAAGTAAAAGTGGTACGGATTAACTTGGCTGATAGATCAAAGCGACATTGGTAGAGTGCATGTTCCATAGAAGGAGGAAATTGAGTCATAGGCATCTGGATAGTGAATGGAAACTGATAATGGGGTTCTGATAATAAGCAGTCGTCCCTTGTTCTTTGCCAAAGGGTTTGTTGCATACCAAAGAATGGGTTCTTGATTAATGGCACTAAGAATTTGATGCCATCATGAATAGCTGTAGCATGTTCTGCTCCTCGAAATGTAAGGACCAGTCGATCAGCAGCAATAGGTGATTCTTTCATGCGAAGATGAACAATGCCTAAGCCAAAGAAGTGAGATATTATTATATTGTTATTATCGTTTACCTTGAAAGACAGAACCTGGTCCGAACACAGGCTCATTGTGTGTATTAAAACCAAATTCAGGTAAAAGTTCAATAGATAAGTTGATAATAGGATCCATAAAGAAAAAGAAGAAGAATAAAATAAAATAAACAAGACGATATTAATAGAGAGATGTCAATCATTTATTTTGATCATATCATTTTTTTTTTTTTTTAGAATGCATTAAATGTGTAACTTGAAAGTCTAGAAGTTGTGTGTTGATAAAAAGACAACTGCTATTGTATTAAGCTATTGTGTACAATCCATTTAAATCCAAACTTGACATGATTCTGTACACTTTTGATATGATTGTCAAGAGTAAAGAAAGTTGCTTTATTTGTCATAAAAGCAGTGACCTTCTCAAAAGTCGGTTATGCCAAGAACTCTATATATGATCACATTCTGGATTAGGGTTGCACGAATAAACAAGAGATTCTAGAGGTTTTATTTAACCAACAGTAATAGAAGAGGCGGATGATGAAACAATAGAAGCAGCTACCGTGCATTGTTTCTGTCCATCTTCTTCATAATCAGGTAGTCTGATTGGCTCATATTTTGGCAATGTGTCTTCATGTTGAAGGTTCTCAATGAACTTCGGGGTTGGTAATGGGTCATGTTCGCTACTGAATTTGGTATATGCTTGCAGCTCATCATCTGTACGTATACCACGTCCTAAGGTGCCTATCACAATGGGTGTTTCAAACATAGACATGGTCGATGTTGGCCAAGGTAATGTCATGGCTTCTTTTAGTTTTTTGCTGTCTTGTTTACTGACGGCTGAAGAAAGAGAGGTACGTGCTCGTTTGATATAGACTTTGATTCTTAATTTATAAGAAAGTGACATTATCTTACTGTATTCAAATGAAGGAGGCAAGTAGGATTCAAGTTGGAGACCAAGATGGTGCTGTTGTTCTGTCTCGTTGGTCTCGTCTAGTGTATACGATTGAGTGCCTACCAATTGAGATAAAAGAGGCTCTTTGTCTGAATGAAATTGAGATATTTGGTATAGATTCATGGTGATACTATAATCGAATTTAAAGGAAGGTGCAATGAACGAAGAGGCTGATACATCGGGTTTGGTAGTGCATATGATGGCTTGAATTGTATCGCCTGATAAATATTCTACCGAATGAAGCTTGACTGTGACAGCAGGCATGGCCATCCATTTATTCCTGTGTTTCTTTCGTTTCTTGACATCTTCGAGGTAGATAGGCGACTTGAGTAGTCTCGTCTCTATGAGGGGAATATAGTTGATAGGGATGTGTGCTGTAAGTGGTGTTTCATCGTATGATTCTGCAGAGTCAAGATAGGCGCATAATTTATAGCTGCATTTGTACAAACTGTGGTTCATGGAAGGAGGGAATTGAACCAGTGGCATTTGAATGGTGAATTTGAATTTGTAGGCTTTTCCTGATCGAAGTTCTTCGTCTTCTTGTCTTCGTTTCCATAGCGTAGATCGAATGCCAAACAATTGGTTGCTTTGAGAGCGTATGAGTCCAGGTCCAACATCATAAGTAAGCATAGATTCTGCACCTGAAAATACAAGGCGAAGTCGAGTGGCTTTATAGATTTCGTCTCTACATCTCAATTTGACATAGCCTATGCATACGTCAGAGAGATAATCTAGATTTATTGTTTACCTTGGAAAATGGTGCCTGGGCCAAAGAACTTTTCTTCGCCCATTGTCCAGCCAAATTCAGGAAGAATCTCGATTGAGATGATAGCAATGGATGTGTTTTGCATGTTTTTTTTGTTACGACCACTCAATATTACATCAATCATGGTTGAAATTCATAAAGAAAAGAAAAAGATTAATTAAAAAAAAAATAGGCGGTACTTGATGTTAATGGTTTTACAAGATGTAAGTCACTCTATATTCTCACACAAAATGAAACATACCTCTTTTTTTTATATATAAAAGAGGATATATTCATAAAAAGCCTTTATGTTGCATTGAGAACAAGCTCTGTTTTTCTTTTCGTAAGGACTTGAATACCATTGAATGAAAGACATTAAAAAAAAAAGTACTTCCAAGGCATCATTCAAACTCAGTAGCAAAAAAAAAAAAAAAGAATTATGCTCTTATCTACCAATCATATTCTATAATCTTTGTAGGATTACTTATCAGAAAAAAAAGTCTAAATTTATTTGTCTTCGTCTAACAGTTCCAAATGACCTTTAATAGCACCACCCACACTGACACGATCAATCAAGAATGTATCATGACCAAACATAGCATCTAATTCATAATAAGTGACACGGTTATTACCAGCTGCACGGAGACATTCAGCAATTTCCTTTTGTTGCCAGACAGGGAAAAGAATATCAGACTGTACACCCAAGACTAAAGTAGGCATATGGATCCCCTTCATGCCTTCCACTAAATCTTGAGTATCAGGATCAGAAGATAAAGTCGTCAATCTCTTCTTGTCTTCCTGTCCTTGTTTTGCAGTTGCTTCTGTTCCTTCCAATGCAGACTGAGTACCATTGATGGATCGACACGCTTCAGCCATCATACGTGTATCTGTTTGTTCAGAAACATCCAGTGCTTGACGATGCTTTAAAATCTGCTGTAGCTTAGGTCTATTTTGTTCTCGCTGTTGTAGCAGTTTCTCTGTTTGTGAATAAGACATGTCAAACATGTCCATGGCTTTTGAGATATATAATAAGGAATTAGGATCATATTGAAGACAGAAGCGTTCGCCTTGATGATCTAGGTAAGTTTCAATCAAAAAGTCAGGGCATA